TGGAAGGTTGGGAAGGCCGATTAAGTCGAGGGGCGGAAAGAGGCCTGCTTGAATTGGTGGGCGAGTAGCTGGTTATCCGCGGCTCTAATGTATTTTCACATGAATGTTGAATGAAAAAGCATATCATGACATGGCCTTATCTCCTGTCTAGGCTATAGTGGGGTTGTAGTACGAGGCCGTGTGGCACTCACACGGCATACATTTGGCGCTAACTAGTGCGATGAGCTTCTAACGTCATAATGGTCTGTATGATTGTCAATCATCAGCTACGATGTTCACTGTCTCCATCCATGAACGTCTTCGTCCATGGAAGCCTCCTTTTTCTAGATCGTCTAGAAGCACCTGCATAAAAGTTCTAGCGGACCGAGCTCTTGCGGGTAAAGAAAGTCTACGCGAGGCCGTTGCAAGAGCGTTCCAAAAGTCGCGGTTAAGAGGGACTGGTGCGGGAAGATCCCCTGCTAGCGGGCGTCGCATGAACCTTGGTGTTGGGAGAGGAGGTCGCATCAGCATTCACGGGCAGCCACGACGAAGCGCAACCGAGTCAACAGTATCGACCTTCTTTCTGCTTACAGGAGGCGGCCACGACATTCCGGCACCTGCTTACCTGATTCACACACACACACGTCGAGGACGCAATTGACGTCGTCGCGCCTCACCCGCTTAGCGTTCCGAAAGTCGTGCCACACCGGAATCGCATCACCAACTTTTCTAGTCACTGCCGCAGAGCCCCAACAACGCCGCGGTCAACTTTTCCCCGCCCGGTGATGGTGCGCTTCGGTGCAAGGCCTCGCTGAGAGGCACCATAACCGCCCGAACCAGCCCCGCCTGGCAACAACGACGCTCCCTGCAGTCCGCGTAGCAGCAACGCGAAAGCCGCCGCGCGGCGACACGAAACACAGCAATGGCGCCCTCGGGGACGTCGATGTTCTCCAAGCTCAGGCCCGGCCATGCGAAGCGCAATGCCTCGAGTCTCGCTTCACCAGAGCCCGTTCCAAGCCCCGCCGCCCACGCCCACGCCCACGCCCATAACCCTCTACCCTCGCCGTCGCATACCACACCCGAGTACTTTTCCTCCCCGCGCTTCAACGACAATGCCAGCTACACCTCAGGCTCCCCCATATCGCCCTATCCGCCTCAGTTACCGCCCATCACACGCGTCGCCTCGAAGCTCGACAAGTCTGTGTCGCCCAACAGTTCCCAATACACCACCAGTCAGCACTCGGCAAGCACTGGGGGCGGCAGCAGTAACATGGCACAGGACCGCGGTATGCTCTCCCCGCCCCAAAGGATACAGGGCCATTTGTCTCCTGGCTATGAGAACAAGCCGCTCTCTGCGCGCTCGAACGCTGGAAGCACTCCCACGAGCGCGAATCGACCAACACAGAACGTGCCACAGAAGACTGAACCTGCACCATCGTCTGAGACACCTCCCCAGTCATCCTCACATCTAGCACCCTCCGTCATATCCCCCAGCTATACCAACTTCTCCAAATCACAGACGTCACTATTGAGTGGCATCAGCGACAAACTCACAGGCAGTTCCAAGGGCACCTCAACACCAACGGCAGCCCCCAGCAAGTCAAAGTCGAGACTGACCCTGCGCAACCCCATGTCGCTTCTAATGCGACGAAGGTCAGGACAGACCCTGGACCCGCTCGCCGACGAATCGCTTGTCACTCAACGGTCGCCGTCGAATGTCCCTCCCATGCCCGACAACTACGACCCCAGTATTCGCGGAAAGATCAGACATGATTTTGACGCGCCCAGACTGAACCGAGGCTACTCCTACAACAATGCGTCAGAGGGAGGGGAAGCGCAGGAGGAGATTGCTCGTGCCAGCCCACCAAAGATCGAGAAGGAGCATACACCAGTGTTCCGTGAGCACTTTGACGATGACACCAGCTACGAACAGTCGCAAGCTGCCATACGAGCAGAGCAGCTAGTGAACAATGACTTCCTCGCAAGAAACTCAGTACAATTCCCTCCACCTGATCGCTCAGCTCCCCCTCCACCGCAACCCAAGAACTCGCCGCCGCTGCTGCCGCCTCCTCCTCCTCCACAAGCGTCTCCACCACCTCGACCGTCTTTCCAGGGTTTTGAGAACGGATCCTCGGTTTTATCACCTGTACAAGAGTCAGAGAATCCCCTGGATATCTCTACAGATATTACTCCACGGAAGAACAAGTCGACAAAGTCACCGCCGCCCCCTGCACGATCGAGGGCAACGTCTGTTACAGACCCATCCTTCCAGCCAGCGGGGCTACCAGCACATTTTAGCAGTCGAGCGTCTAGGTTCAGCTTTCAAATATCTGGAGGGCCGGATTCCGCGCAAGAGAAGATGCTCGAGGAGCGACACAAGGCCAAGGAGGCAGAGAAGAAGCAGGCGCGGAACTCTACCAACTCGGTCGAAGATGAGTACGACGATTATGGCATGGACGACTACGACGACATGGATGGCGGCTTTGACGAAGAGATACCAATGCTTGGTGAGGAGGACGAATTTGGCGGTGGTCTAGGAGACCAAACGCTGGACTCTGGCATTAACAACTTCGATTTCTCATCTCTGTCGATACAGCAGCAGAGCCTGAACGATACCACGAGTCCTATGAACATGATGCAGATGCCTGTTGACATGAACGGAAACCCTATCGGTTTTGCCATGTCGCAGGAGATGCTTCAGCAGTATCAGATGTCCATGATGGGTGGTCAACCGAATCAACAGGGTATGGCGAATATGCAGGCTTCGGGATGGAACCTGACAAGCCTTTCGGGTAAGCCTGTTGAGCCTTCTCCAGTCGAAACCCCTGGGACATCCGAAGATGCGGCGCCTTCAGATGCAAAACAACAGAACTTTGTGAATCTCGATCTCGATGACGACATGTACTTTGACGACGGCCTCATTGGCGACCAGGACGACATTGAGCCTACAGAATTTGACGAAAATGTCTTCGACGACCCTAACGGGCCACTATACGAGAGGAAAGTTAAGTTTGCTGAAGACGAGTTGTCACCTACTACTCACCAGTCGCGTGCACTTGATGCCTTGAACTCGGAAACAGGTTACGAGGCGGATGATGACACTGTACCAAAGCACTTCGAGAAGTCGGAACCTTCACTCGCACACAAGACTTCGATCGCACAGCAGCGGCCTGTACCCAGCCTCGATAACCTCAGCGCATATCACAGTGCGCTCGCTGATGCAGCACAACGCGCTGAGGCTGCTGGCCGCTTCACCAGAAAAGCGAGTGTGGATGCTGGTCAGACTAGTTTTGACGTTGACGATCAGCCCTCACCCAGCCATTCGCGGCCTAGCCTTGTTCCTGACGACGGGCGCTTTAGTGTAGATACCATCAGCTTCCCGCAGGACGATGACATCTACGGCATGAGCTCTGGCTATGTGGACGACTACGACTACGACTACAGCGATTTTGACTCGGCCATGGAAGATGACCCAATCATTGCCGAGGCCAACGCTGAAGCCCTGGCTTATGATGATGAGGGATTCTACGGCCAAGAGTTCGGTTTCTACGCATCTGGAAACGGCGAGTCACCCAGCGCTTGGGGTGGCTTCTTTGGGCCATCTGGTCTTGGTCGTACGGTCAGCGGTCGCAACGCTGTGCGAGAACCGAACTTGACGCCCATCACGGAGCGTAGCGAGTATAGCACGCGCAATTCATTCATCAGTCTCAATCACTTCCGCGACGGACAACAGCCAATGTCAAGTCCTGGCTTAGCGCAGCTTGCTCGTATGAGTCCGTACGGCTTTCCTGGACCTGAAGAGGAGGGAGATATGAGTCTCGACGCACTGCTCAAGCTGCGCAAGGGTGCCTTCGGGAGCAGTGTTGCCAGTTTACCAGTCAGTGCTGCCAACAGTCCGCGCAACTCTTCTCCCATGGGCATGCAGTTCGTACCCCGAACATCAAGTCCTGTGGGTAATCGCATGAGAGAGCAGCCCTCTGACTCACTCGAGAGCTCATACTCTTCGAACAACATCTCTTCTGATTACCAGAACGACAATCAAGACAATGAAGAGGACGACGAGGGACTCACGGATGCGGTTAATGGCGCGTACGAGTCTGGCCGCTCTAGCGAAGATGATTACGACGGAGACGAACGACCCGAAAGTCCTACTCTCACAGCTAGCGATTACAATAGTCTCTCCAGTCCGACTGGATATGGTGTTGGGAACGAAGCACCACTTCTGCCTCCCATTTCGGAACTATATGCCCAGCACAACATGATGAGTCTAGCAATGTCCCCAAGTGGCATGTCCGCCACCTCACCGTCCAATATCTCTCTCCCCGTATCGCCATTTCCAATGCCACTCTCGTCGCCATACCTACCGCAACACCAAAATCGACCACCCAATCCACCTTCAATCGACACTTCGCTCTCTTCGCCATCCGCACCTACCGTTTCTACGTCTGGCGGACCACGGAGACAAAGCATGGGTCTTAGTCCCATCTCAAACTCCTCTCCCATTACACCGAATGGCGGAAGCGGTGGCGGCTGGAACCGTGGTCATAGTAGGAAGGGTAGTGCAGCGGATAGCGTGACATATGTACGCGAACACGACGAAGCTGGAGAAGGGAGATGGGTACTAGAACGTCGACGCACGGCTGAAAGCGGGGAATTGGAGTTGATTGGTAGGGAAATTGTGGAAGGCGGACGGATATGAAAAGACGTGCTGACATGAAACCGCCTTTTCCTCCTAGTCTTCGGAGATATATGGACTGACTGGTAGAAGGAGGTTCGGAGACAGGATTTGCATTGATGGCGTTTTTTTTTCTGGCATGGAGCGATGTTTTGCTGCTGTGTGAACGTGGCATTTGGACTTGCCCTTTTTTAAAGCGATGAAGAAAGAGAGGCTGGTTCCTTTTTTTTTACGAAGATGAGCGGATGAATGATTAATCAGATACCTCGATTATTACAATCATGAATGTTTTTTGTCTTGTACTTTGGAATTTTTGAGAGTGATGTTGAAGATATCACATCTCCTACTACAACGTGTCTGCAATTCTCTTTTCCCGAATCAATATCCTCGCAGCCAAATCCGGAAACACCAACTCGTCATGAACCTGGTTCTTCGGTCTTCCTTCACCCGGGCGAAATGCAAGTTCGTACTTGGTTAAGAAGTGAACCACAATCATCTTGACCTCGTTGGCAGTGAAGAAGCGGCCTGGGCACGCATGGGGCCCGTATCCAAAGTGCAGCCACTCGGTGTCTATGCTAGAGAACTGGTGACGGTTCTCTTCGCCTGGGACAAGACGCTTGTAGTAGTAACGCCATCCATCGAAGCGCTCTGGGTCGTGAACGATCTGCGGATCCGCTGATATGGAACTGGCAGCCACACAGACTTGTGTGCCTTTGGGGATGTGGGTGCCATCGGAGAGGGTCAGTGACTTGGCGGCATAGCGTTGGAAACTCACTGCGATGCGTTAGAGTGCACCCCTGTATTTTGTTGTTTAGGGAGATAGGGCTTACGTAGTTGCGGGGGATTCACCCGCTGAGATTCTTTCATGAAGCTGTCCAGCTTGCGCATTCGGAATAATGTCTTCTGGTTTAAGTCGCCGTCCTCTTTGATCGCAGCGAGAGCTTCTTCTAGTATAGGCCCGATGTATTCCGGATAAGCGCAGAGGTCATACAGCACTTGTGTTGCCGTTAGTGCCGCAGGCGGAATCGACGCTTGGCTCATGATCAACGCTCGGTGTGCTATGTTGGTAGGATCGCTCTCGTTCTCAGTTTTCGCAAGATCCATCATCCACTGTACAAAGTCGTTTGGTTTCACGTAGCCTTGAGGACTCTCTGCTTGCTCTTTTCGACGTCGTTCCACAAGTGGGACGATGAGACGTCGAGCTTCTCTAACGCAGTGTTTTGCTCCCCATCGGACTGGTAGAAGATGGACAATGAAAGGGTGAAGGAAGGTCGGGAAGAGTCTGAGTATAATGCCTGTCGGAATAGCCGTTTCTGTGTACTTGATCGACGCTTGCAGCCACGCTTCGTTCTTGCAAAGGTCAGGTCCGACGATGAAGTGAGCGGACATGCGGGTGGTGATCCGGTTTAGAAGGCGCATTAAATCTACCTCCTTCCATTCGTCTGATATTTTCTGTTAGATCGTATTCGCAGTGAATAGTGATTCCATACCTTTGCATTCGGGCGTTTCCTCAGACGTAGCGGCCTCAAGTTCCTTCTGCATGATGGGTATGAAGTAATGTAATGCTGGAGTCAGCTTGCTCAAGACAGCCTTTGTCATGATGCTGCTATCTACCGTAAGCTGCAACATCGAGTATTTGCCCACGAAGTTCTGGACAACCACAGGTCAGTGGCAAATCGCGTTAGGTGAGTTCGTTTGCACTTCCAATATCACATTTTGTGAGGTGATATTTTGCAGTGTAAGAAGAGAGAACTTACTCGATATAGCCCATGAGAAAAACTAAGTTCTGACTCAGGGAAAGCTTTAAGCTCGTTCAAGTATTTGTTCGAAACGACAAGTAGGTCGATATCAGCACGGAGAAGTTTGAACATCGAAGTTTTGCTCTGTATGAGAAACTACAATTAGCCCTCTCTTGCCAAACATGAAACACCTGTTTGGGGGAGACTGACTTGGCTGTATCCTTGGGCCAGTATGGATGAAGCATTCTGAAGAAAACGGTAACGTAGAAGGAAGATTGGTTCTAACCATGATCGACGGTCAACAATTGGCGCTTTGACATTTTCTGTCCTGTGTATGAAGAAACTGAGAAAGTAAGAGATGATCACGATCAGAATGATAGGTGCACGTATGTCTCCCATCATGATAAAGCTAAGTCAAATTCCAGGTTGTGTGGATGACTGGCACGAATGACCTTGAACAACTCATGTTATCTATGATCTTGCAACAATATTTTGTAGAGAGAGATGAGGGTTAGTGAGATGATCACACGGGATGTCGGTCAGCGAGACAGACACCCAAGACAACGTCCTATGGAGTACGTAGGCCAGCGGCCCACTACATGGCTCGATATACCTATCAATTAAAGTACCGACGAAAACAAGATATACTTTTCAGTTCGTATCTACGATCGTTCTTGGTAACGGCCTTTTCTGTTTCGGCGTTTTTCCGGCACCATCACGGTGTCAGCAACGTGCGTCACCTATGGTGACTAGTCACAAACTCCCCGGTTTTGCTTGACTGAACAAATTCACCGGGATCGATGGTCTTAACAAACCCGCCGATGTTGCGTACCTGGGCAGGGTGATCGAACTGTGTGCCAGAACACCAAGAGGACTCAAGCGTTGCACATCGGTTCTGCGACTAGTGTAAGGATTTCACAGGCCATTTTACCCATCTTTGACTCCGACCCCGACGGCCAGGCTATGAGTACATCGATATATACAAACACACACCAACTTGGCCGCAATTGAGATGGTATCTCTGCCACTATTAGTGACTTTGGAGTCATCGACCATTGTGACCGAGACGAGATAATCGCCTGGAGGAGCGTATGTGAGATCATCGCGGTGGAGACTGCTTCTCGTGTATTTAGTAGCACGTGAATTGTCTATATGCTCCGAGTGCTAGACACCGACTTTGTCCAACTGAGCCTTCGCTCTCTATATAGCCCGCGCATCTTGCTTTCAACGTAGACCAAACAAACAGGAGGCTCTGAGCCCTCTCTCTGCATCCAGAAAACTTGATTCGTTCAGACATCACACTGAAAACAACTCATTACATTAAGCTTCATGGAGGACCAGATCTTTATTCAGTCTCGCCTTATTGATCCGGAAGAGGCCCGTAAGAACGGTGCTTTCACTACTCTTCCTATTCGCATCCACAAGCGAAATGACATTGCCGATGATACCGCTCGTAGAGTCCTTCGTGATTGGGGTCACCATGTAGGCGATGGCATGGAGAAGAAGGCACTCACATCGTTCAGTCATCTAGGCAATCTGAATGCCTTCACATACACTGAGGCATTGCCGGAGAGACTAGGTGTATTATCCTATTTACTCGACCTTGGGCTAATCCATGATGGTATGTGCTCCACTTGCAATCTTGTCTCAAGACGAGTAAAGCTGATTTTGCTTGTTCCACAGACGCCACCGAAGGAATGGGCTTAGAAGATGCCATAGCCGAGCATCATGACTTCGAGCGATCCCTGGACGTTGAAGCGACGGAGGAGGTTGCTCAAGGCTCGAGAGCGGACAAGCTCAAGAGGCTTGGCGCAGAAATCCTTCTTGAAGCAGTTCGAATCGACCGCGAGATGGGAATGCACATGTTGGAGATGTACCAGAAAGAGTGGTTGGCCATCGTTGAGAAGAACGACGACAAGGAATTCGATGACTTGCAGGCTTACTACGCTTATCGAAAGTGTAATTTTGGAATGAGGTAAGCGTCTCCGCTCCCTTCACAGGAGGTTTCGTGGCTGACTGAAACTAGAGCATTCTGGCCCATGGTCGAATATGGAATGGGCTACCGATTAACCTCAAAGCAACACGAACTTATCAAGCATGTAATGGAGCCCATTGAAGAAGCACTCATGCTTACCAACGATTACTGGAGCTGGGATCGCGAATACGAGGATTGGAAAACAAATGGCAACCGGCTTGTCAACGTCGTTGACGTCGTACGGCGAACACGGTCGATACCTATCGACGCAGCTCGAGATGTTGTGAAGCAAATGATTATTGAGACTGAGCAGACTTACGTCAAGAGAAAGACCGATTTCTACAAGGAATATTCTGATGTCTCTCTGGAGGTGAGGCGTTGGATTGAAGCCGCCGGATGTGTTGTGTCTGGAAGTCATTACTGGGCGACAAGCGCACCTCGTCACCATGTCCGGTTCCGCGAATCGTTTGCACAGGAGAATTCTCCCTTGAACGGTACCAGCGACAGCTCTTCCCCAGGAGCTTCCAGCGAGACGAGTGCTTTAAGTGATGCTTGCACTAGTAACACCTCATTTGCTACGCTCATATGCAAGAGCCCTGAAACCAGGGATGTGCAGGTAGCCACGAACGTGGAGAAGAGCAAACGAGGGCAGAAGAGGAACATCGAAGATGGGTCTCGTCAAGACGGCCCAAGCAAGAAGGTCCATACAGAACTCGGTTGGGAGATGCCCGATGACATGGCGGTTCAATCTCCATGCCATTATATCAGATCCTTACCTTCGAAAGGGGTCAGATCGATGCTCATCGATGCTTTGAACGTGTGGATACAAGCTCCAAAGAAGTCTATCAAGGCTGTAGAGGAGCTAATCAGCTTACTGCACAACGCGTCGCTAATCCTCGATGACATCGAAGATGATTCGCCCCTTCGTAGGGGTAGGGCGGCCACACACCTCGTTTTTGGGCATTCTCAAGCAATCAACAGTGCAAACTTCATGTTTGTCCAAGCCGTTCAGCACGGACGCAAGCTTTCGAACCCACAGGCGGTGGACATCGTGCTGTATGAGCTGGAGCGATTGCATCTTGGACAGAGTTGGGATTTGTTCTGGAAGCACAATCTACTCAGTCCGAAAGAGGAGGAATACATCAAAATGGTGGATAGCAAGACTGGTGGTTTATTCCGTATGCTGTTGCAGCTTATCGTTGGCGAAAGCGCACAGGAGCCCAAATGCGATGTGGAAAGGCTGATCCGATTGATGGCGCTGCTGGGCCGGTTTTTCCAAGTGCGTGACGATTACGTTAATCTGAAGTCAGACACATACGCCGAGCAAAAAGGGTTCTGTGAAGACTTGGATGAGGGCAAGTTCTCGTATCCAATTGTACATTTCCTGCAACATGCACCGGAAATGTTACAAGCTCACGTCATCAGCATATTCCGGCAGCGACCGAGTGGTGGTACAGGACGAGAGACCACGCCGATGGCGAGAGGGGTGAAGCAACATGTGCTGGATCTCCTCGAGTCGGAGGGAACGTTCGAGGCTGTGCTGAAATTGCTCCGTCAGATGGAGGCTGAGATCATCGCCGAGATTGGGCAGTTGGAAGAGATCACCGGCGAAAGCAATCCTATGCTGCGGCTTGTGATCGAGGGCATCAGCGTGCGGGGGCTGGCGTAAAGTGTTGCCTTTTAGCGTATGGTCATGTGTGTTCTATAGGTAGATTGATTGGAACATCAGTGTATACGACGTATTGTTTGTGGAAGAGTATTGACGTGTTTGAGCCTTTTCCACAGGTGCAGGTGCACTTGCGCTAATGCGGGGGCTACGTATCCACCCCTGCTTTTCGCTCCACTTGTAGGCCTCCGTCCCTTACTTCCATCCCCGTCACCATCGCCATTGAATCAACCTTCGCATGGTCGAAGTCTGCTGAACCCTACTACCCCTCCTCGTCTCTTCGCTCTTCGAACACTGTGCGCTTCACCTAAGCCGTTTCGCTGCTGGTTAGCGATCGCCACACGATAATGTGGAAACATGCCACGACGAACAGCCTTGATAACAATCAGAATACTACATGTCGCGACTTGTGCGAACGGATGATCACTACACTTCCAAGGGAATTGAGGGATATTATCTACGAGTACATCTTGTGCGATATACAAGGATGTTGCTGCATCGACGAACGAGCCAGCGTCTCCTCAAGCGGGCCTCGATCACTGGCATGTAGAGAAGGTCGGCGACACGGCTTCGAAAGAGCTGCTTGAAGTTTGGTATCGCCCGGCCCGGTTCTACATGGGCGAGCATCTCAAATGTATCGAACGCTTCTTATCTTCGAATGTAGCTCGTCTAGGCATACGCCGCCACTTGATCACGAAGATTAGTATTACCTTCAAGCAGAGGAATGTAGTTTCTTGTAAAAACCCACTGGGGGAACAATTTTCAGACATTTCTACGTCTCGCCCACGTCTATTGGAACGACTAGAACACCTTTTCCTGTTGAAGCGCGGCGCCTCGATCCATCTTTATGTGATCATAGGCCGTATGGCCTGTTGCTATGCGAGGATCTTAGAGCTATGTATGCGTCATGAGAGGAAAGTTTTGCGCAAGGTCACCACCGCGATGTCCAATGTTCTTTCGCGTCTGAGTGCTGAGGGATACTGCCTTGCTACGGGTATCATCCATTTCTTCGCGGGACGGCCGGACAAATACCCGCTATATGACTTATGCTCAAGGGATCCACTCCTTGATGAGGAGGACTACTTTGCCAACAAACACGGTTCCTGTTTAATATTGCGGTATGCTTTTTGATTTCGACCGCGAGAAAAAGACACATGGCTGATTGGGATTAGGAAGCGTGTGTCAGCCACTCCCTCAATGTTACATTGGTAGCACATCGGTGGAATCCCTTTTCGCATGTTGCTGTGCCAAGACGCTACCGGGATCCCTGTGCTGCTGCCTAAACCCAAAGGACCCTCACATCACCTTTACCTTTCCATTGTTGTCGTATCATCCGTTGCGCTCTTTGCACCGATAACGAGATGTCTCAAGATACCACCGCCAAAGAGGTCCTGAAGCTATATCAACAAGCTGTCGCGTATGTTTTGGCGAGCGATGTTGATGCTAGCTTCCACTGAACCAGTCACCAGTGCACGACGACGTATTCATATGCGCTTTCCCGATCAGGACCCGGAAGCCATCACTCGACTCACAAAAAGATTGAAAATCTTCGATTTGTACGGACAAGCGTCGTGTCGATACATATGTCAAGAAGTCCTTCGCTCTCTACCACCCGAGTTGTGTGATGTAATCATCGAGAATGTCATCGACCACAATGACGCAATCGTGAAAGTGAACCGCATTTGCGAGCCAGTATACGCAAGCACGAGAGGTCAATTGCTAGAACATCACTGGAAAGTCGAATACGTTGGAAGACTTATGCTGGCGAGGATGATGACTGTCTGGTACAGAAATAGTAACTTTGTGATGCATGGGACGCAATATTGGAGGGAAGACTGGAGAGATTATTCTTTGCGTGTTTTCCTCAACGAGGAAGCACCTTGTCTATACCTTCCACGCTATAGATTGATCACGAAAATCTCAGTTACGATACATGCAAGTAGCTTCATTGTGGATCGAGAGCAGGGGAACCGAAACTGGAATGGTGCAAATTCAGCGGATTTGCGACCAACATGGGGACAGGTGGTTCAGGGCTTTGAAGCATTGTTTCAGTTAAGGAGCGGTGCGTCGATACAGATTGTCATCCACGAGTTAGAACGCATTAGTCTGGGAGATGTTCTGCTAGATGACATTCTCGCGACATGCACCGCTCCGATTCTGGAATCTATGAGTCGCTTGAAAAGAGCTGGGTACATCCTTAACACCACCTTGCTTATTGGCCAACGGAGTTTTGGGTATTCTTTGTGCGAGCCCAACTCGCTGGACGAAGACGCTACACACAATCCTGCAGGTGGAACAGGGTTGATTTGGAGGCGAGTAGTCGCTCCAGATGCAGTTCATCCCTAACTAACGTCACTGTAGGCCCTGTCAACCGAAAGTTTCTGTCACTTGGTACCAAGAGCTGCAGCTTGTCAGATGGTGAACAAATGATGAATTTCGATTGGTCGATCTTGGTGCTTCGAAAGAACGGGCTGTCTTACTGACCATGTGGTAGCCGGTAGCGCATCCTTCTGTGAGCGCATCCGTGCTGTTTGTATTCAAGCAATACAAGCGCCAAGTTCCCTCACAACCCACTATAATAACAACCATCATCGGTATATTCACGAGTCGCCGTCGGAGGATCTCTTTGACTCCAGTCAATGCTTTCACGTTTGCTTCGTGTGCGTCGTCACCAACATTTGCTAATCTCATTACATAGCAGAATGACATGTCACGTCTCTACTAGCACCTCGACACAGGATGCTACCATGGTCGGAATTGCTATCACAAGCTTAAGACATCTGCAAGCGAAACTAATCTGCGCTAATTTGGGGCTACAGTAGAACTTCAAGCAGTCGTTCAGAGTGAAACTCATCAGTGTCATCTCGTATGTGGATACCTCGCAAACTTCTAGAACGCTGTATAGCTCCTCGCTAAGGCCCACTAATAGCTTTAGTAGGCATAACTGGCGTGGTAGTTGTCTTAGGTACCGAGACAATCCACCGCGTCAACAAGTGAGTCTCTTGCATACTACTGACCGTCTCCGTCACTGGCCCCATCTCGCTCAGTCCAGGAACCACAGTAGTCGAAACAACGTATAAAGTTTGTGTAGCGTCTCTCACACCAGCACCAGAACTTGGATGAAACATACCCGTTCTCATAAGGTTGGCCAAGAAGAAGGCGCCTGCTATTGTGCCACCTACGACAACCAGAAAACAGAATATACCTATAGCAATTCGAAGTTTGTTGTTGCGCCAAAGACGTTCCCATAGCGGCTGCTGTGGCATGCGGTACGGAAGATGCTCAGGGAAGCTTTTACGGGATTTGGGATGTGTCGACAAATTTGCTGGGGTTGGAACTGCCGCCGGCAGTGCTCCCTCGGCATCAGCGCCCTCTCCGATGACAGAAGCTCTAGTTTGCCTGCTATCGGGCAGGTTTGGACCGTTGCGCATGCTTTCGGCACATTGCCAGAACGGGTTTGTGTTGGGAGTCATGGCACTGATGGTGTGATACGGTTGGGCAGCAGTTGAGATTGAATCGAGTTGAAAGCCGTTCTGCTAGTTTAGATGAGGGTAGAAAGGCTGGAAGAGTCATTGCTAGCTCACTGTAAGGTACATCATGCGCCCACGCCTAATGCTGTTGGTTCACAGTGTCGCTCTAAGATGATAGAAAGTGGGACGCGGTCCAAGTCACAGCGATCTTAAGAACTTCGCAGTCATCGTCAGTAAGCACACACAGGTTTTTTCTGATCCACACGGCTATATGCATCATCATGCGAGTAGAATACGACTTTTTTGTCCAGATATTGAACAAATCTGTTAAATTTTCATTAGGAATGACTCCGCTGACAAACATATACCTAAGGTCTGAACCTGGTCTTCTGACTACCACCTGTCCCATCACAGAGAAGAGAAGAAAGCATTAGCATCCGTAAGCGGACATATCACACACGTGTATCCTCCGGTCCACTTTCCACACACTGACCGTTTTCCTGGCACATCACAATTTCCCCTGCATTCTTCTATCGTTGGCCAACTACCTTTGCTAGTACAGGTCTTCTGCGGAGAAGCCACTGTCGTGAGACTAGTAGGCGCTTTGATGAAAGACACCGTAGCTGTAGGTGTCGTTCGACCCGGGATCGTCTGAGCTGTCGTTATGATGTACGTCATTTCTGGTGTTACTGTGACAGTACCTCCTGTTGATGTGGATGTCGTGAGAGTCGTCTGGTAGACGATGGTATGCTCATTGGGAAGTTTAGACATACCGATTCGAATGCCGATTAGCAGGGACGTTATAATCATTCCCAGGCCAAAAAAAAAGCTGAAAGCAATTAGAACCCATTTATCACCGAAACAGGCGCTGGCCCTGGCGAAAGAACGAGATGGAAGTTGGGCTTCTGAGTCGTGAGGGAAGTAAGGGTGATTCGAGTCAACGTAGTCTGCAGGAACGCCGGTCGGTTGAGGAGTGATTCCGGATAAACCAGTACTACCGCGTTGAGAAGACATGTATGCTGCTGTTGAAAGGCTTCGGTAGGATTTGGCGTGTTGTTGTATCGTGAAGATTTTGATCTTCGTACAAGAACTACTTGGATTACAGCGGGGGTATTATGTAGAGACTACCATTGTAGTGAACAAAGAGTCATAGGATAACATTATGAGAGCAGAACGTGAGCATCATTGAGTTCGCACAGGGTAGGAACGATCTAAGACATGACGAAAGCCGTGAATTGTAGCTACCTATGTACTCTCTCACGCCATTATGTAGCGGGAAGTGTTTGTGGTACTCCGAGCCTTCCTGGTGATCAGATTTCATGACGCGTGGTAAGTGTAACGCCCGTCTGCGATGACGCACTAGTGTTGCGGCGTACGGTATCGTAGTTGAAACGTAGACTCAATAGGCATGATTTTCAAGAAGTTTTGGACGTGTTTGCGATGATAGGTAGGAGAGATGGTAAGTAGGTAAAGGAGACGAAAAAGACACCATGTGTTGAGGAAGGGAAGTGCAGTGAGGTTTGCTATAGATCAGCGCAGATGCTTATCCGGTAGTCTCGGAGACACTGCGGTCAGACCCAAAACTTCCCAAATTGCCCACGAGACATACTTTGAATGAACAAATACAGGCAACACATCAGATTGTGATTGCATAGTAAAGGGATTGAGGCCAGCAGCAGACGAAGAAAAGAGCCCGATGCCACCCCGGTCACCTTTGAACGAGCCAAAAGAGCCAGTGATTCTAGGACGATTGTTTAGCCGAGCAGAAACAACAAAGTTCTGACCGAAGATCCACTTATCCCCGCTCCAACACACGGACGACGCATGTCGGTGTATTTCTCGATGGTCGATCCGACTCTTCCATCGATGAAAAAGAACGGCGAATTTAAAGTCATTTACACAATGAGCCGGCTTTGAGTCTGCGTTCACGCTCATGTTCAACGTTATCAAGTCACAAAACCGGCCGAGTGCACTAAACCGATAAAGACCGAACGGAGTATCCAATGCATTCGCGATGATAGTTCATCTTTTGAGACCTTGAAGTGTGTTCTAATTGCTACAGATCATGGAGTTCAATGAGACTGTCTCTGAACCTGTCTCATATCTTGCTTACCCGTTTTCTCTCCCTTCCATTGCAACCGCGGTGTTCAGTTGCTTTTTGTATTTTTTGTACTTATACTCCTTTGGTAGAGGGCTTAGTACAAACGCGACTTGGTATGCGCTTACTGAAGATGCACTGTCGAATCACTCAAAGGCGAGGGAACAATGGATGACAGATGCTCAGGAGCTGTTGTACGGAGGACTCAAAAAGGTATCGAAAATTCAGATGCGGGCAAACGTCCTGTGCTAACATGTCCTCGAGATCAAGGGCGCCATCATAGTCACTTCCCCCATTGGGCCGACAATCTTCTTGCCGAATTCGTTTGCAGGTGAGATTCGCAACATGAAAGAACTCAGCTTTAGTCGATCTATTGTGAAAGTAGGTTACGCTACTCAGCTTATGAACATCACTGACTTCGTCTTGTGTAGAATGCTTTGGCTCGCGAACCAGGATTGAACCCGATTCTGGCGATTGACTATCATGGAGTCATGCAAGAAGTTGCTCGGCTCGACCTTACTCGCTCTCTGGGTATGAGATACAAGTTTCAGACTGCTTACTTGACTGCTCACATCAATAGATTCCGTCACTGAAGTCATGAATACCGAAGTTGAAGCCGCCCTCCTGGAGATGCTAGGAGACATCTCCGATTGGAAGCCTGTGGATCTGAAGCCTCTCATTCACCGCCTTGTTGCCCGCATCTCCAGCCGCGTCTTCCTCGGTCCTGAACTCTCCAACAACGAAGAATGGTTGAACATTGCCTTGTCGTACGTCACCCAAGCAAGCATGGTGACGCGAAAGCTTCGTGGCTTGCATCCACTATTACGACCCCTAGCGCGGTGGTGGTTTCCCGAACTAGGCGTCTGTAGAGAGCAGGTTGACAAAGCGCGGAAAATTATCACTCCACTCGTGCAGGATCGTTTACAGAGAAAGGCCAACGGGCAAATCACCGAGAAGACTGCTGATATGTTAAGTTGGCTGGACGACAAGGCAAAGGCAAAGGGTGTGAAGATTGATTTCGCAGAGTTTCAACTCTTGCTCGTGGTGGCGGCAGTACACACGACTACGGAGACAATCGCAATGTTCATGGCTGATCTGATTGAGAACAAAAAGGCAATTTCACAGCTCAGGAAGGAGATTATTTCGACGTTCTCGACTTCTGGTTGGAAAAAGACATCGTTGGCTTCAATGACGTTGCTTGACAGCGCGATGAAGGAATCACAGCGGTTGAATCCTATCACGGATCGTAAGTGACATATCCAACTTCATTGATGATTCTTCTCTCACGCTCATAGTCTCGATGCAACGCATCGCTTTGACCGATGTCACTCTTTCTGACGGTACAATCATTCCTAAAGGTTACAGACTGGCTGTGGAGCACCGCCTTCGAGATCCAACCCTGTGGTCCGATGTCAACAAATTCCAACCGGGCCGTTTCCTCAAGTTACGTGATACTGATCGAAGCAAGTGGAACTTCGTCACTGGTTCGCCCGAACACCTTGGGTTCGGCTACGGGAAACAAGCATGCCCGGGACGGTTCTTTGCTAGTAATGAGATCAAAGTCATCGTCATACACATGCTTCTCAAGTATGACTGGGAGTTTACTGATCAAGGAAGATTACCAAACGGGTTGTCTGGGACAGACCGCTATATGGATCCGAGGCAAAAGGTCATGCTAAAAAGTAGGAAGGAGGAGATCAACCTAGGTTCGCCTTGAGACTGGACTCGTGACGGTTCAATATCTCACGGCGCCAACAATGTTGGCACAATTGTAATCATTTGAGTCCTCGAGAACTCTGAAGATTCCTTGCTGTTCAGCTCACTGCCAATTTTTCTACCCTATTCAAACCGATAGCCGACGTTTTACGACTTCTCTAGTGTATGGACGATGTAGGCTCCCTCCTAAGTCGTTGCGTCTCATGGTGGAGGGGACATTAATCACAACTCAAGCAATGAGGAAGTCTAAGAGAAGTGATTGATGCACAACCTTGAGAAAGCTGATGGCGTTGCTAGGGATTCGTTCGTGGTTTGATATGATTGAGCTAAGCATCAAGTACGTGTCGAACCCATGGTTTCCCTTGTTTGATTATTCTAGCAACTGCAATCGCACTCCTTGGGGTTGTTGCAGTTCTTTCCACACGACTGCTGCTGGCTGCATGAACCCCAGTCTGTGCATCCGTTCCAGGCTCCACTTCCATCACCGCCTGCAGTCCAGCACCACTGTCCACCATCACCGCAGACCTTCCAGCAGCGCTTTTTACCAAGATCGCATCCGTATGGTGAGCCTGACCAACAAGCGCGTTTGTCGAGGGGACTCTAAAAGATGGAAGAGTCAGTATCTGTATATTCAGGTGTGTCTCAGAAGCAGATGACTGCGATGATCTCCCGCTGAAAGCATGTTGAGATACACCTGGAGATGTATGGCATGAACTGGAATGTATGTCCAGGATATTGAGCTGGGAAGGGGGGAAGTGCAATTCGAATCAACTTACAGCTTTGTCGGTGAAGGACAACCAAGGTGTGTTTGGGGGTGGAACGGAAGAATTGGCGAAGTCGGGAGCTTCGCCTTCGTTGCCGGCGTGGGGAGCTGAGAGAACTCCAGCAGCCTGGATGGCACAGAAGAGGATGTCGGTGAATCTCATTTTGGCGGTTTCTTGTGGACAAGGTGAGTCTGACCAAAGGATTGATTGATGTGAGTGTGGTGGTGAGGAAGAATGGAGAGGGCTGCTCAAGAGTTATATACTTTTCTCCTCAACCTGACTTCGTATTCCAGCATCTGTTAGTCTGCCTAGCAGTGCTGCTCTACGCCTTGTTGGTCCTAAGTTTGATGGCTGCCCTGTTGTCCCATGTAACGATGATCTGCCAAGTATCATGGCTTTGGGTCCACAGGATCCACCATAGGCAGGGCGCCTGAAAGACATGAACACTCTCAATACCATTCAGGCTGAATTTTAACTCTACTCAACTCTGCTGGTGAGCCCGACTGGACCTTTGCTCATGGTAGTGGAATCTCTGAGGTCTCGAGGACGCGTTTCATGCTTGATCATAGCAAAATAGTGTGATGCAGATCGACCTGCGCTACTGTCAAAGTATCGAGCGGCTACAGTGTTTCGTGAGATCCAAGAGACTCTTTTGACGCACTCAGCTGGTAGGTGCCTGCGTTGCTCTAGCGCACTGCGAGCTGGAGATGTCACGGTCTAGGCTGCCCATGTTAACGTGCGTCGATTGCACCGGTGGGAAATAGAGCTCCAATTAGAAATTACGCCGAAAGTGCTCGTTTGCCCTGCTATGACCACCTTCAAGCTGCGTTGGTGAGGTCTGAGCGGTCTGTCGGGTACCTGTGGAGCGTCCCGTACACTAAGACGGAAGACCAACGACCGTTGCGCCACAATCCTCAGGGTCCATCCCCTACGGAGACACCTTCTTTCGCGTAAAATCACCTTCCAGCTACGGTAGGTGCGCTTGAGGCGGCATGCCGAGAAGCTAGGCGTCTGCGGGGCGTTCCCAGGGTCCAAGGGTCCACGGGTCATCATTGCGGCGTGCCGAGGTCGTGAAGAAAACGCGCAATGGAACATCGCACTGGAACCTCGCAATTCGTATCCGCCCAGCCTAACGCACGCAGTAGAAACGGCTCGTCGCTTTGACACGTCGCTTTGACACGTGCTGAGTACCAGTACTGCTGCGTCTACGTCAACCCAAACTGACCCAAACTGACCTCAACTGAGCTGCGCACCCTTCCCAAGACTACCGATGAGCACCTCATCCACCTTCTCTCCCAATGTCTCAATCTCCCACATCTGATCTTGTTGTCCATGAAGATAGGATTACTCTTACTATCGACGCTTCAGCAATCAACACGTCACTGATCCAGCGACGTGCTGTTACCATCTATGATCTGTCTGGAAGAACTCTGCGGATGAGACGCAGCAGAACTAGGCCACGCCACGACTCTAATTCTGATCCCTCAAGATGAGATAGAGGAGAAAGGCAGCATACAATTGTACAATAAGTACACAGAGATAAGGTGTTTTGATGTGACGCTTAGCTGCGTACGTGAGATGGCCAATCAGCTGCTAGCCTGTCAGTGTGGCTATGGAAGCCACAAGCCATTCTTCGCCTTTCGAGAGTTTTGTGGGGGCGAGCTAGGCGTAGCGCATGGATTCGCTAGCGCGATATCCTGATCAACGCGATTCCTCGCGCTGTGCAACCAAATTTTGATCGTTTTGTTTGCACAGAGCTTCTGGCCTTTCAATTTCCTCGCGTGATTGTGGAACACGGCGTCGCGTAGCAACCAAACATGGAGTCCATATTGAGAACTGCATCGAACGCAACGGCTGCCCACGCGTAGGTTGAACAGCTTCCAGACATGGGACATGTCTGACAGGAACACAGTTTGAAGCAGCGCCTGGATAAGTACCAAAGAAAGAAGCAGATGCGAACGCAAGTGTTGATAGAGCATGAATATTGCATACGTGAAGAACTTGCTGAAATTGAAGCCAATAGGAGGTTGCTAGAAACAAAGCTTGACACCAATTTAAGCAACGGCAGCGGATCGATCCGGAGGATGAAGAACTTATACAAGAATCGGTCATAATAGAACGAAGTCGATGCCATCCTCTATGCGAAGGCATGCAGGAGTATCTGCCACGCGAACTTCGCGACATGATCTACGAACATGCGATGGGCCCCACCGAGTGGCATAACAATAATCACACTGTTTCTGTACTGAGTCAAACAATCCCGCTAGACCAGAAGTGGTTTTGACTGGTTCTATACAAGATTTCTGGGGCATTCTTCGACATAAGAATCATATCACCCGCCAGACGCGACGGAAACTAGTAGTGCTGGTACAAGACCTGCACGTTCGACTTCGCAACAGATGTGGACCTCATCCGCGCGTTCTTCAAAAGACATGCGGCAAATTTTTAGATCCTTGAAACTTGGTCTTTCGGTCTTTGGTCTAGTTTGTCAGTTAGAGATCGCTGTCCCTCGGGATGTCCTGATGGATGAAGCAAGGTTCAATAAGACTCTTGGCCGAACTCTGCGAGATCTTGCTCTGCTGAAACAACCAGCACGCCTTCGATCAAATCTTGACACTTCCTTCAAAATTAACACACCTCCAAAGGCATATGACCCTTCCAGAACCAGTAATCTCGGCGAACCGGACCCGATTGCACGAGGCGAGACATTCAAAAAAAAACTCTTTCACAACTGCTCTCAAGCTTGACAGGTTGGAAAGCTGAGTTGAGATTTGAGGTGTGGACATTACATCAGAAGCACAACATGGAGCACATCATTGTCAATGGCACTCTTGGCGACGACCTGTGCAATGAGTTTGAAGTGCAAATGATTCTACCTGAACTGGCAGAGTTCTCGCACTCTCATTGGGGATATTTATTCCATAAAGTACGTCATGACCTCGCAGTATCGCCATCCACGTCGCTGACTTTGTTGCTTAGCTTTGTTATGAGCTCGACCAGGATGATGAAAACACACTGGTTGAGTTGTCCGAGGGAGATAGCGACTACGAATCAAGTGATGGCTCCATCAGCTCGGAAGACGGAACCGAAGATTACAGCGATGACGACTACTGGGAACAACCAGAGCTTACTGAGGATGAAACGTTTGAACTAGGAGTTGGTCTCGCGTTGTGTGCGAACGAGGATCTCAGCATACCTCCAATGCACTATTGTTAGCTAGACAGGTACGGTGAGGGTGGAAAGCGCCCATACGCAATCGGGCTGAATCGACCGCTCCATAGGCCTTCTCCATGATTTGAGGCTCCCTAGGTGGCTTAGGTCTATGCACATGAGACATGTATGGAGTACCTTTACCTGCCAATACTGACCTTGAACCCATCTCCCATTTTCCTTCACTTGGTGGTAGATTTACCTGCTGGCGCCCTCACTATCACCGCGTGCCTCTCAGGCGGCTTGGCAAGCTCGTTCTACTACTTATACTCGATTCCTAGATCATTCCTTCTCCCATCCACCTCCTCCATCCCCAACAATCTACATCGCCTACCGCTATGGCAACCACACCAGCTCCGCTAAGCGCGGGCAAGAGCCTACGTGCAAACTGCTTCAAGTAAGTTTCAGGTAGTAATTCTTAGCAGTAGCTGACATCATCTCAGGGCGCTGAAGGAAGAACTCAAGACAAAATCCGAGCTGCAGGGTCTGCGTAGCAAGATCGAACAGTTGCAAGACCACGAGGAATCTCTCAACGACAAGATCACTGCCGATGCGTGGAGAACGGCCGATGCGCTCCTTGCCTTTGCCAAACATGATTGCCTCGAGCTTTGCAACAAAGTTTACAAGGCTTTTCCTAGAGAAGTTCGAGACATCATCTATGGATACATCATCGGCTGTGGAGAAGTCGACATATATTCTGAGAACCATCGCACACGGCACAGATGTGGTTACCGCTCATCGAATTCGGAAACTCAGAATCGCCTCTGTTCATCAGGAATGCACACCGACCACTGGTGGAAGAATGATTTCGTAGGTGCCAAGATGGCCCGCGAGATTGGTGAGCATTACTATCGAGAATCTCACTTCCGTTTCGAAGTGGTATTCTCCCAGCTCGTCAGATTTCGCGCGACGGACCAATTCAATCACGGCTTCCTACCGGTGCACTTCGTCTCAAAGGTCGAGATCGTTATAGATTGTCGCGAATACAAGTTCCGGCCCATTATTTCCACCAAGGACGATGCTTTTGTCGACGAAGATCAAGACCAGCTATGCTCAAAGCGCGAACGGTGTTGCTGGGACGATAGGAAACCCCAAGAAGATCTTTTCGTGGAGCTGGAGTACCTGTTTGGTTTTAGACCAGGCACTGGCATTACCATCAGGCTGATGCGATCCCAGCACCACATTCAGACTACCCGTCTTGAAGACCAGGAATGGGTGTGCCACCGTGCAGTACCTGTTATCTTCCCGGTACTTCAGCGACTCAAAGACACCAACTGTCGCGCTCGTCTAATTCTCGGTACGGAGACTGATAGCGGGCCCGACGAAGACGGGTACATGCCCTTCGCTTCAAAGTGGAACCCGACATCTATCGAGGCCGTCACGGCAGAATTCTGGGAGGTATGTACAAGGGCCTTACTATGTATCGTTGTTTAACAGACTGACACCTGTAGTATGTCGAGACTGAGCACGAACGTGCAGTGCAAGCTGGGCTGGAGGCCGAATCTGACGGAGATGACATACCTTTAGACGGCTTTATCGATGGAGAGAACAGTATTCAATGGGACGTGGGGCCCATCTGGGGAGAACAGACTGCGTGATATATTCCTGTTTTCGAGAAGTCTTTGCTTTGTTCAGATTGGGTTTTGTTTCCACACGTACAAGACAGGACGTGAGCGACTGATGCTATTCAGGTCACAGTTAGAGTGACCTCTCTACATTTCCTTTGTAGTCTAAAAGTTCTGAAAATTACTCTTGCATGGCTTAAAAACTCATCTTTGATAGGAAGACAGTTTCTTATAGTCGTTGCCATTTCATTTCTGATACCTCATTGGATGATCCTTCATCCTACCGCGATACAGAATTTACATTCACGCGAACCAGCGCCCAATGATGTAACACTCGAAGGTGACCTTTCATTCAGCCTATAGGCAGACATACCAGTGATCTCTCTACTTCCTCCACTCGCCTACAAATGAACACCTTTGTCTGCCATTGAACTTCCCTCCCACAATATACCCTTCCACTCCACCTCTGCCACAGCTGTGGTCCGAGATACCAAGTAAATCACCACGTGTCTTCCCTCCCGAATATGGCGAGTCAAACGGAATCAGAGGAGCAGATGAACACTCTCTACGAAGAATGTTGCAAGTAAGTCATGTTGGTCAATTGCAAGACAGAGGTTTGACAAACGCTAGACAGCTCCGTACCGGGCTGAAACTCGAAGAACTCTACCAGACAGAGGTTAAGCGACTCGAACGAACGAGCGAAGTATGCAACGGTCAAAAGGAAAAAACCACTGCGGTTCTGAACAAGTACGCATAAGCCTCGTGTCGTGAGCTATGCGACCGCATGCTCGAGGTACTTCCCAGCAAACTGCGCGATACCATCTATGAGCACCTTCTACCTCATTCTGTCACAGTATTCAAGAGGTTGACTGCCATGGACTTTGATGGCCAGGTTTGCCAGGTTTGCGTCGAGCGTAATGGCTTTGTGGGATTCTCCACTATGATCCCGTTGCATCTCCACGAGACCGAATATAGACCCCAAGTTTTCTACCGAGAGATACTAGAAAGACTTTTCCAAACGACTACGTTCGATCTTGGGGACGACTTGAGCCTCATAGCGGCGCTTGGGTCATGGGATGGAGGACTCAGCATCATACCTGCTGATTACCCCCTCGACATTTCTTTCCTTCTCAAATTTGATTGGTTAGACCTTCGGTGCAAACACGATCCCTGGTTCGTTTATGACACGCAATTATGGCCCAAAGTCTTTCTCACTAGACTAGAGGGATTGTTCAGCTTCAAGCCTGGCACGAAGATCACAGTCTGTATCCAGCAAGACAACGTCTGGCAACCGATCGCACAAGAGGTTAACGAATTGGAATGTAAAGCCGTGGTTTCGATCATCTTGCCAACACTGCGAAGGCTCGCCGCCATTGGTACGAAAACTAAGCTGAGTCTGGATGGCGTTTGTGAACTGGAAATCGACAATGATAAGGTAATTCTGGAAGGTATGGAGGACCCATGGAAGAACGCGAGGAATCATTGAGCTCTTGTTCACTAGACCACACGCTGACTGCGATAAATGATAAGGGGCTGCGCTGCGGCTGAACAGGTCCAACGAATGAGCATAGTTGACCTGTATCTCGCGTTGCTGATGTGTGCTATATGCTCGGAATCTTTTCCAGCGAGGAAGGCTTGTAATTTATCGATGCGGCGTCGCTTTAAACATAGCGGGCTTAGCAACTATACGAGAATGCGGAGTGGCGTCAAGCCCACATCTTGTTGTCTAATCGTGTTAGCCCAAATTGGTGAACTACCTTCCGCACGATTAGTAAAATGTCCACAAAGGATTTGGTTGGCGTAAGCTAAGTGTATTTCCGTGGGTGAGACATGGGGGGCCTGGCCAAGGGTACGACATAATGTTATGCAGGGCATGAGTACCTAAATAAGCGATCAGCAGCACCCTGATAAACAATAGTACTGATACTTCGGCGCAAATGTAGATTTACCATAATCCTCCCTTGTCTTCACATGTAAAAAAAGATATGGCTATAGCAATGGATGAGATATCAGCGTCTGCGCAAATGGATGGAAGTTATTACACATGCGGACAACTCCGAAGGCGCGCTTTGAGGTAGGCGCAAATGCATCGAGTAAAGGCATCATAATCATGTACCATAGTACTGACATGACCTATAGAGCACTTTCCGAAGAAAGCATCCGTAAAGCCCGTCTCGCAGCACTACAGCGAGAACTTGCACTTCTGGAAAAGGATCTTGCCAGCACCACACCAACGACACAGGATGCTGTCGAAGAGCTTGCAAAGACGGAATGCCAACAACTTACCAACGCCATCTTGACTAGATTACCGCGTGAGATCCGCGACATGATCTATTTTCACCTCAGTACGCGCGATCGCGAGCTCATCGAGCGCGAGCATTTTCGGACAACCTTGGACCCGCTTACGAGATTATACTCGTATGATTTCGAGAGGTGGAAAGCGCAGCATTTTCCCACGCACTATTGGAATCCTGAATACGTATCCCAGCGCTTCTACTGCGAGCTCTTGGAAAACTATTACCGTACTAGTTCGTTCTTATTTGGTGATGATCCGGGGGTAATGAAGCGTTTCCTCAACACAGATGAGATGAGACTTGGGGTAGCTCCTAAAGCACTGGTTTCTAGCGTTGAGATTGGGCTGAATGCTGTGTCGCATGATCGAGGCTCCTTCCGCGCTTACATGTTCGGCATACCGAAATCACCAGAGCGAATGCGGGAGGCTCTCGATGGTATCTTCGAACTCAGACCTGGAGCTAGAATTGTGATTCGATTCGTGACCGAGGCGAGAACTAAGGAAGAGAGGGATGAGCATTGCAAAGGAGCGATGACAATGCTGTTTGACGAGGCGCAGGTGGAGAAGATGAAGATGTACAAGGTCAAGTTGGTGGTTGACGAGGGGAAGGTCTGGGATCTGGCCGAGGCAATGAAGGATGAGTGGATGGCGATTCACGGGTGAAGGTATCATACAACAGGAAGAGACGAACTCATTCTGCTCGATGACAGAGAGCTTAATGACTTCAAAGTGATGATTAGGAAACACGGAGTAAACGCAACTGAATGGCTGCTAGCGTGTAATCACGGTCAGCTCTTATTGGCCGAGATATGACGCCATCAGGGTCCAGGGGGAAGGAAGTAGCACCCCGCCGTAGCAAAATTGTTAACGCGAGGCTGCCCAATGCCCCTCGGTGAATGCTTCCACGCGTCAGACTCTTTCCCAGTGTCTTTAAACCTCAATTCACCCCTCTTACTTCATTCAGACGCGTCTCGATTCCATATCGCAAGATGGCCGGCGTTCCCAACACTTATGATGGTGCGCAGCCTTCATCCTGCACTTACTCCACCAATTGCTTACCCTGTATACAGCGCCCGTCCACATCGCCGTTATAGGCGGCACTGGCATCTCTTCCCTGCCAGGCTTCACTCTCGCCGCGACTCTCGATGTCGATACCCCATGGGGAAAGCCCTCGTCGCCTGTTTCTATCCTCCAACACCCTTCGCCCTCCTCCGGCAAGCCTATCCCGGTCGCGTTCATCTCGCGACACGGACTCCACCATGAACTCGCACCACACGAGGTGAAGAACCAAGCCAACATCGCAGCGCTGCGACACCTCGGCGTGCGCACCATCATTGCCTTCTCCGCTGTCGGATCGCTCCAAGAAGAAGTACGACCGCGCGACTTCGTTATCCCCGACCAGATTATCGACCGCACAAAGGGCATCCGGCCATTTACCTTCTTCGAGGGTGGCATGGTCGGCCACGTTGGCTTTGGCGACCCCTTCGACAAGAAGCTGTCCAAGATCGTCAGCCAGTGCGGACACGCGCTAGAGGGAGACGGCGTCACTCTACACGACAAGGGAACGCTCATCTGCATGGAGGGACCGCAGTTCAGCACACGCGCAGAGTCAAACCTCTACCGTGCGTGGGGTGGCAGCGTCATCAACATGTCTGCTCTTCCCGAGGCCAAGCTTGCGCGAGAGGCTGAAATTGGGTACCAGATGATTTGCATGGCCACGGACTACGACTGCTGGAGGGGTGACGGCTCTGAGGATGTCAACGTTGAGATGGTCATGGCACACATGAAGGCAAATGCTGAGAACGCCAGGCGATTCGTCGGCGCGGTGCTCAACGAGCTCAGCAAGGAGGAGCATGAGGAGCAGGTCCTCGCTAAGCACCTCGATGGCCAGATGAGGTTCGCAGGTGCCATGACAAAGAAGGAAGGACGCGGGCAAGAAGCGGAGAAGAAGCTGCAATGGCTCTTCCCTGGCTACTTCGACTGAACGAAAGCTGCCAGCAAGCGCGCTATTGGCAAAGGCGCATGACTTATGACTACGATATACTCAAATACTGGGAACCTGAGGTTACGCTATCCAGATCAAGAACTTCTGCATGCGCCCGACGGCTCTCCAAATTATTGGAGGTACGATGCAGCCAGTGAAGCCTATTGCGGAAGGTCGATAGCATAGGTAACTCCAAATACATTCCGTGTTTACATCATGGAAAATGTACGTTAGCCATATCGATAACTATCCGTCCCCAGCAGCCCGTTGGACGCCCGCGGGCACACTTGTCAAGCCTTCGATCTCACGATTCGCTCTCTTAGCACCTTCCTTTCTCGTCCAAGATCTACATCTACAGCTGCCGCAATCGCAGCTGCACTTTCCCAGCCTCAACAATAGGCTCTTATGTCCATTTCCAAGAACATGAGACACGACTAAATATTCGAATAGGAGTTTTCGGCAATGTGGACATGTCTATTCAGATGACACCCATGTACTACGCTGATCAGGTACCAGGGTATGCAACTCGATCAGATGAATAGTACCTGCATACCGACCGTTACCACGCGACAGTTAACGCACACTGAAATTCGGTACGCCAGCGCTGTACTTCTTATCATGCAGATCGATATACTACCAGGATCGAATTTGCGCCGCGGGGAAGACGCGCGCGCAGCATAACCCTAGTCTGACATGGATGAACAACGGCAGTCTTTGTCGGGTCGACACGGGAAGCATGAGTATAAGAAACATGACATTGTACACAGTCGTAAAGCAACTTCTGTTCGACCTCGTATCCAAGCATCACTTTCTTACCGAACGGTAGCCGTTGCGATCGCCACCATGGTTTCGGCGTGGTTCTTGACTAAGGTCTTGGTGGCTTTTGCGCCACTGACGACGGTTGTTTATGCGCAGTACAACACCACAACCGATCTTCCTTTGCTGTTGGATGCTACGGGAGATGAGTTGGTTGCTGGCCTTGAGGCTGGAGCTTTCACAAGCTTGGATCTAGTTCAAGTATGTTGCCCACAATTTGTACAAGCATGGGTATTCCTTGGAATCAGTCGCTGACATAACGTAGGCTTATGTTGGACGCATCATCGAAGTCAACAAGACGCTTCACATGGTGTTGGAAATCAACCCGGATGCTTGGACTATCGCGAAGGAACTAGATGAAGAGCGCGCCTGTGGAAAGCTTCGAGGGTTCGTCGTCTTCTGTGGAGTACTTGAGCTGCAGCTAATCGAAATAGCCCTCTCCATGGCCTCCCAATTCTTATCAAGGATAACATCGCAACTGATGATGAGATGAACAACACTGCCGGATCTTGGTCGCTGATGGGCGCTAAAGTTCCACGCGATTCTACGATCGCTGCCAAACTCAGGGAAGCTGGTGCCATCATTCTTGGCAAGACCAACCTCTCCCAGTGGGCCAACTATCGTTCCTCAAACTCTTCAAATGGATGGTCTGCTCGAGGTGGTCAGACGTACGGCGCGTACTATCCAGGTCAAGACCCCAGTGGCAGTAGCAGTGGTAGTGGTGTCGCAGCCAGTCTTGGACTTGCCTTTGGTACTCTTGGTTCGGAAACAGACGGCTCCATCATCTCGCCCAGTCAACTCAACAACGTTGTTGGTATCAAGCCAACTGTTGGTCTCACAAGTCGAGCTCTGGTCATTCCTATTTCTGAGCATCAAGATACCGTTGGACCGATGACTCGCACGGTCAAAGATGCGGCGTATATCCTTCAAGCCATCTCTGGACCTGACAGTGCCGATAACTATACGCTAGCTATTCCGTGGGCGAGCAACACTACAAATGTGACCAAGCCTGACTACGTTGCTGCCTGTACCCTGGATGCTTTGGAAGGAAAGCGTATCGGAGTACCGCGTAACGCTATTGGCACGCCCGACAGCTCTTCGGCACCCCTGTATGCTGCTTTCGAAGCCGCTCTCGACGTTCTTCGCTCTGCTGGCGCAATCATTGTCGATAACACCAACTATACAGCCTGGGAACAGTATCTGGAATCCAACGCTGAAGGTATCGTTCTCGACGGTGACTTCGTCCCCAACCTAGCGCACTACCTCTCGCAACTTACATACAACCCCAACGACGTCCAAGATCTGGAGGACGTTCGCAATTTCACACAGCACTTTCCTGCCGAGGACTACCCAGACAGAGACACAGCGGATTTTGACAGCTCAATTGCCCAATCGCAGAATTTCTCCAACACCGACATCGAGTTCTGGAATGCTTTGCAACAAGATTATTACCTCGGTGGTGAAGGTGGTCTCCTTGGCGCACTCTCAACATACAACCTCGATGCTGTCGTCGTTCCCTCGGACTATGCCTCTGGTATCTCCGCCATCATCGGTGGACCCGTGGTCACCATCCCACTTGGTGCGCTTCCGTCCAACACGACGGTTGTCACAAACCAGCGAGGTGATTTGAACGCTACGGCACCGAACATTCCATTTGGTATCTCTTTTGCCGGTGCGCTGTGGAGTGAGGAGAGTTTGATTGGGTTCGCATATGCGTTTGAGCAAAGGACCATGGTGCGGACGAAGGTTAAGCCGTATATCCAGCCGAGTATCGAGATTGAGAACGTGATTGGTAGCTACTAGACGGATGTTGAACAATGGGAAGATGTTAGTGTAAGACTGTAGTTTGAATAAAGAGTAGGTCGGTGGATGGTCACTACCGAATCTCCGAACTTTCTAGTTATACTGCATTGTATCGCTGTTGCAATGACGGCGTTAAGCGGACTTAGTCAGACATGCTGTTGTGAAACATCAATCAGGCGAACCGTGGCTTGTCTCTAGCGTTCTGTATACGACGTGAGGTTAGCGTCCTTTCAGATCCGACAGGGGAGGTGACGAAAGTCAGTCATTCAAAGTAGACGTACAGGAGTATAAATATGAGGACTAGTCAGTGTATCATGGTATCAAACAAGAGTAGGAATCAGCAGATAGCACCAAGCGATATTGCGCATCGAAACTTTGGCATTTCTTATAAACACCAGCTTCTAGTGAAACCATTATACTCCAGCAGCCATGTCAGCCAATACGCAGCAACCAGACTACATCCGCAAAGTCGCTCTCATCGGCGTCCGCTACCTCTCTTCTCTACATCATATTGCGTACTAACAAGATCGACAGGGCTCCGGACAAGTCGGCTCCCATATCCTCACCCACCTGCTTGGTACCTTGAAGCATCAAGTCACAGTCCTGACCCGCCTCTCGAGCGACGCCGCCTTTCCCACCAACGACAACCTTACCGTCACCAAAGTCGACTACGACGACGATAATGCCTTAACAGAAGCGCTCAGCAGCCATGAATTCCTCATCATTACCATCAGCGCCCGCTCTCCCGACACTCTGCACCCGCGCATTGTCGCCGCTGCAGCCAAAGCTGGGGTACGCTGGATCATGCCGAACTACTTCGGCTATGGTATCGGCGATCGGAAGCTTAGGGGACGCAACGAGCTAAACAATTTCGAGCGGTTCATCGAGGATGTCGAGAAGACGCCAGGTGCTGACTACGTAGCGCTTGTGTGTGGCTTCTGGTATGAGTTTAGTCTGGCGATGGGGGAGCCCTGGTTGGGATTCAGGATCAGGGAGAGGAGCGTGACAATGTATGATCAGGGGGAGAAGAAGATTAGCATGAGTACGTGGGATGCTTGTGGGAGGGCTGTTGCGGGTTTGTTGTCGCTTCCTGTCAAAGCAGATGCGACGACAGATGGTGTTGGATTGGAGACTTGGAGGAATCAAGGGTTGACCATTTCTTCGTTCCTGGTCTCTCAAAGGGATATCTTGGAGAGTTTGCATCGCGTGCTGGGTACCACGGATGAAGACTGGAAGATCAGGTTTGAACCTGTCGAGAAGAGGCTAGAAGATGGTAAGAAGCAGTTTAAGGAGGGGAAGATGTTGGGGTTTGCTAAGGCGCTTTATGCAGAGGTATTTGCGTGTGAGTGGGGTAATTACGAGACAGGACGCGAATTGGATAACGAGAAGGTGGCATTGGAGAAGGAAGATTTGGATGAAGCTACCAAGAGGGCGGTGGAGATGGCTATGGGTCCTATGGGGGACATCGAGGGCCGGTTTGGCTGATTCGAACCTGATAAGTGTATAAGAGGCAACGCAGTTTCTGTGGTATTGAAGTAATGCCAAAGTTCAGCATGTGATGAGGCGATGATGTACTATCGGCCATCATGGTTCATGCACTAAAGCCAGACCTTTTTGTCTCACTCACAACTCTCTGCGTTTTCATTCCACCATTTTAGCTGCGACATCGCAGTAAGAAGTTCCAAATCAATACAACTAGCTCAACCGTCCATCCTTTTCGTACCCTGACACACTCGTAATAGACGCTGAGACGCTGAGACGCCACTCGCGGTGTGGCGTGCTTGTGGACGCGCAGCACTTTACGACCTGGTTGATGCGCTATTTGTAGCGACCTCAGCTTGGAGATCTGGAGTCGTAATCTACTGGCAAGTCTAGATCTGCCTCCCTTACTACTCTTGAAGATGTGGGAGCTGATGCGTGCTCCTTGGCCATCTCATTACCAGCAGATATGTATTTCGTCAGCCTCTACGAGACGTAAGGTACGTGTTCTCTCCACGAGATGTAGACACAATGGTCCGATAATGCTCACACATCAGTAACTCGATGTTCGTGATTGATGTCACCTCTGAACAGCATGACGCCTTGATGTCAGCCTTGGCTTACATTCGATATCAATATGAACACAATGTAGAAGAACCTCGTGTCATATGGCTGTGCCGAGCACCCGAACATGCAAGAGAAGTGTACGATGATAGGCGAGCTGCTTTGTGGTAGGTGGCACGGGCCGTACGTGGTCAGTTCAGGGTCGCAGGTCGCCAGACCCAACTTCAACCTTCACCCGGCAATTAGAATCGATTTTCGCGTCGACACGAAGCTCGAGTGTGAGGCCACGATAAGTTGACTTTGAAGAGAAGGTTGTGTTGATGGTGCGCAAGAATCATGACGCCATCGGCAAATGTCAAAGCTCCTGGGTGGCGCGGGAGCTCTCCGCCACCCCTCAGCATCATCTTGGGGTCGTCGCAGAGTAATCTTTGTTCCAAATCAGCATTCGCCATCTTTACATAAAACAACTCCACATGCGCTTCCCTTCCTTCCCAACATTCATCCGCGCCTTCCACACGGTCACAAACACAACGAGCGCATTTATCCGATCGAACCCTACCAGCAATCTCGGTCGCACTATCTACAACTCACCGCAGCGCGCAGTCATCTACCGTTCGATGCCAAATATCCCCTTCTTGGGTGCTCTTTTTGGATCTTCTAGCAGTATGGCGGACAACACAAACTACCCAGTTCAGAAGCCCGAGGGCGAGTGGCAAGCACAGCTATCACCTGGTACGTCCACGTCAACGTTCGCATCAGCACACACTTACTGACTTGACCATAGAGCAATTCCGCATCCTCCGAAAGAAGGGTACTGAGATGCCCGGCTCCAGCACATACGACAAGCACTATCCTGACGCCGGCGTCTACACGTGCACCGGATGCGATGCGCCTCTGTACAAAGCAAACCACAAGTTCGACTCTGGCTGCGGATGGCCCGCCTTCTGGGATGCCGTGCCAGGCGCTGTCGGACAGAAGCCTGACCCTGGTCTTGGCATGATGAGGACGGAGATTGTATGCAACAACTGTGGAGGTCACTTGGGACATATTTTCAAGGGCGAGAGATTCGGCAACCCAAAGGACGAGAGGCATTGTGTAAACGGCATCTCTATCAACTTCTCCCCTGAGGATAAGAAATAAGAAGGAATAGTCGATAGAGGAAGAGCCCGTCATGTAGATATGGGGATGCGGTGCTAAGTGTATTATTGACGATGAAATGAGAGATGACACAAGATATGATTGCTTGCATTTGCAGGATATTGTGCACTGCCGTTATCACTAATTCATGACAGACTCTGGAGACTTTCGCCTATCGCCTCAGATCAATAGATCACACACAAGCATCGACAACACTCTGCTGACATCACACGATTTGTCAGGCGACACGAGTAGCAAGCATCGACTTCACGTATATATGGAAGTCAGCTTGCCAAGTACTATCAACAGCGATAAAGCATGGCACCCGCAATCAACGATCCTATCTCACCTACCGCAAGCGATTGGTGTGCAGTAGGCGCCTCGGATTCTGCCATCACTTGTAAATGGTGCGAAAACATCAAGTACTGCTTGGTGGAATGTCAGACGTATGACGCGCCGCAACACCATACCCTCTGCAGCACCTTCAAGGACTTTCAACAACGGCCGAGCGAAAGGCACTATCGAGCCATCTTGTTCTCTGCTGACGAACCCAAGCCACGATTCATCTGGCAACTTATCGACGGAGATCGAGGATATCACACGCCCAAGGAGGAAGACATATCTCATTACCTTCAGCGTGGCACTGAAGGCTACTACGTCAGCTGGAGTGGCAATGTCAGCTGGAGTAGCAGTGTAGTGCCTCTTCATGAGCTTAAGCACTCTATGTGCATCGATGTTGAGCAGAGCAGCGTCCCCGATGAGCGACTACCTAACATGTGTTTTGCCGCATTGATAAATCCCCACGTCAGGAATCTTCGCCGTGGTACCCATCTTGGCCGCGGTTGGAAGTATAAAAATTTGGACGAGAAGGACGCTTGGGACGAGGCCGATCGCGAGTTGCGCGACGGCTTCCCTCTGATCGCATTAGATCTGGATACGACTTCCCTGGGACCGTTGTTGGCACGCATTCTTGTCGGGACGCTTCAAGATACAAATGGTGTGACATAGGATTCTATTGAAAAGGTAAAGATTTCCGTTCAGTCGGGTGCATGACCTGGAGGTGACTATCGTAAAAGGCTTCTGCTCTGACCGCGCACCTGTGTGCCTATGATGCTATGTAAGGTCATCTTTGAGGCTTAGCCTTGAGGAGAAGGAAGTAGGTAACTGATCTAATCCCGAGTGCGCGCGAATAGCTTTGAAAGCATGAATTCTTTGACATCCAGTATGTACATGATGGGTTCTTTTCAACGCCGAAGGAGTGAGCCTATGTACATGAAGATGAGGAGAGCGAAGCACTTGTGTGGGTGCCAATGTCAAGGCAGTACCGTACATAATTCCCATTGCTGTTTCGCTATAGATCACTGCTGCTTGCAGTACGCGACTGGTCCATCGAAAGTATGTCTTCCATACATGAAGTAGTATATCATGGAAAAGACAACAAGGCATCCAAAGATAGGGCTTGCCCAGTTCATGTCGATCGGTGCCGGGTTCGGTACAGATGGGAACAGAATTAAGACAGCAGTGAGCGAAAGGTAGCAAAGCGATGTGATGTTGACCGCGAGACCCCATTTGCCCAGGCTGAATCGAGAAGGTAGAAGTGGTTCTCCTCGCACGCGTTTTCTCACCATGCAGCCGATAACGATGATGTTGGAGACGGAAAGACTAACACCTCCTAACGAAAGGATGATGTTGAAAGCGATGGATGAACCAATGATGATGAGGCACAATAGAGATGAAGACATCAGCGTGAACAACACCGCATTCAAGGGGATGTCCCATCCTTGGGGGACCTATACAAAGGTTAGCAATTGAACGAACATCTAGATGATAGGTACCTACGTAGGAGAGCCAACCTGAGAATGGCAGTCCTTTGTCGCGGGCGAAAGACCACAACTGGCGTGAAGCGGCCGTGACCTGGTTGACTGAAGCGAACAGAAGCAACAGACAGACAACTACTGTCAATATGTTCGTCGCTACTTTCGATTCGGTTGCGTTCATCAAGATCTGGATCCAAGGCTGGCCGAATGGTGTTGACATGATGGCCATGACATCGTTTCCCAGTGTCGAGAATACAGTGACAGTCATCACAAAGGCAAACGTATAGTTGACAGCTGACGTGGCAATCATGGCTCTCGGGATATTGTAGGACGCTTCTTCCACTTCCTCCGCCAGGTGAATAGCAAGATCGGCACTCCCCAGAGAGAGAATAGGACCTAGTACACCGACAAGTGTAGCGAGCCCGGTATTGCCCCAGCCACTAGGATCTTCAAATTTGGTCCATGTATCGTGTACATTCGAGCGTGGGCCCATTACCCAAAGTACAACGAGGAAGGCGAAGAAGCCGAATACGTGTAGGACGAGCGCAAGGCCTTCCATTAATGGAAGCTTCTTCACCAGTATGGTGTTGCCCAAGATGGAGCATAGCACGATAGCGATTGACAACAAGGTACCATGCCAGCCCTGGATTGCGTAGTCTGGCATGTTCAAAGCGATGAGGCCCTGGAGCTGTTGGGCGACCGCGAAAGCAGTACCAGCCATGCCTGTTTGCCAGGCAATGACACACAACCATCCTACAATACAATGTCAGGACCACGGCATATAGCGATGTAATCTTGAGCAGACATACCGATGACATAGCTGAGGAACTTTTGATGCTGTCTGGGTGCAAATTCAGAAACCCAGTGATATTGTCCACCAGCTGTTGGAGCCCTAGAAGATTTGTGAGCCACTGCTGATCCTACTACACGCTTTTTCTACTCACATAGACACCATTTCCGCGAACGTGAGCGTGACTGAAAACATGCCGAAGCACACTACGACAAGCATCCAGATGCCGCCAGCAGGTCCTCCATTGAATAGGGAGATGCCGATGCCACTAAAGTGAAACGATTGTTAGTAGACTTCCATGTTTGATGTACTGATAGCATACAGCAATGAGTATTCCCAGGTGTTGCCAAGGATTACAGCGAAGCCGAAGATGGACAAAAACTTGAATTGCCGCTAATGATATTGTAAGTACATTTCAGCAACGATTGGAGCATACTCAAACTAACCCTCAGCACCTGCAGCTTGCCCATGCGATCCATATCCATCTCGTCACCATGTGTGCCATGTTTCTCGCTCACAGCATATGCGTTCGCCAGCTCGATGCTGGTACGAAAATCTGTGGTCGGGGAAGGACCCTTGGCAATGCTGTCGTCCATGTTTGTGCGAAAAGCAATGCACAGAAAGCACAAAGGAAGGGTACAATGGCGAAAAAGAACAAACTCAGGGCTGCTGGGGTACGTTCAAATTCTATGGCATGGAGGTTCGTCATCCAATCCAAAGGATGGCGGAGACGTGATCAAGTACATCTGAATGCATATAGACTTTGCCGTTCGGAAGCATTTGGCACAGGTTAATTGGTGGGAACTGTTGAGAAGGATCAAAGGCAGGAAGGTGAATAGCAAGGTTTACACTCATCCTTCCAATCCACTTGCAGCCTCGCGCAGAAGTGGAAACGGTTGCATACGGCTACGGCCCGGGCGCACTTCGCGTATGCACAATCCAATAAGAAGCATAAGAAACTGCAAAACTTCCGATGATCTCAGACCATATGTGCCGGTTATCAGCCAGGCATGGGATAGCTGCAGGACTGTGCCTCTGTCGCGCATCCGGAAAAAGACTCGATATGAACGTTATAGTGGCGAGTGCGGTCATGCATCGCAAGTAAAAAGTAGGATTCGGGGCTGAAACTTGCGGCACGACAGCTTGCGTCATGAATGGTGGACAAGATTTAGTCGTTGTGATGGTGGGAGGAATGGCGGACTGCGCCGCTGCGGGCACGGGAGCGGAAAGAGAGGATTCAGGGTTTTAGCGTCAGGGGGGAAGTGAAGCCGGGCCCGCAGCGGTCAAGACACGGCACAGCTGCCAAGTCGCGTGGGGGGCATACGCGGCCAGACCACAACATAACTTCACCCGCGACAAGTGCCGCATTTGCCAAGCGAACGCATGTCGGTCGACTGCTCTCGTAGGTTGTATTCTACTCTGGCCAATGTGAAACTCCACTGGCGACTTGTCCAGGTACTTTTTAAGCAGAGTTGAGTGCGCAGCACAGCTCGCTTCTGGTATCCCAAAGTACCCATGGTCCAACGAGCTCAAACCAAGACTGTTCGTCGATTTCGGTAGTGACGTCCGCGCGGGACGAATCCTCCGTGCCTTCTTGCTGAAATTCAGCCACATAGACGTATTCCGACGTTTGTGATTTTATGCAAGAGGCCTCGGTTTAGGAAGCCCATCATTCTGGGACAGCCATGTTCGTCAAGGATGAGCAGTATCGCCGCATACACTTTGACCCAGGTCTACTCCTGCACCTCGAAATCTTGAGCGTGTTGGAGTGATATGAGCGACACAGTATAATCTTCCTCTGAGCGTCTGTGCTCCATCAATCCCAAACCAGGTGGCCGTGTATCGGATACAAAACACATGTCACGGTCGCTGGGAGCTTTGCTCGACAGGTCGATCTTACGCAACAAATGGCGTTTCCATCGGATTTCTTACATCTTGCTAGGGAGTCAGAAAACCGCTTCGCGCGAATCACGACAAACGACCACAGCGCGGCACTCTGGATAGCCACAATACTATCACTCATCTACGCTGTCCTGGTTCTGGCAGTTCGTCTGGGATTTACGAAATGGCGAGCGCATACCCTTGATGACATCGTCGTTACGATTGCACATGTATGTAGCTAGAAGCTCACGAACGGCTCCTATGTGGATCTGACTCGATCTAATTAATATGCAGCTTGTTGGATTTACCATGTGGGGATCGCTGTTCACATCGCTCGATAATGGTTTAGGAAAATCATTTGCTCTGCTTCATGATGCAGAGGTACCAAAAATGCAGCAGGTAAGCAGACACAACTGCCATGTCGAATGCGCTAAAACCTCCGGATGCTATTAGTACTTCTTTACGAGCCAGATCTTGTTATACATCGCACTTGCTCTGTCGAAATGCTCCATCCTCATACTGATTCGGGCCGTGTTTACGCAAAACTCAAAAGTGTCATTCTTGGCTGTCGCTACTATGATTGTGGTAGCGATATGGGGCTTTGTCGGCGTTGTGGCATCCGCAGTCGCCTGTTCAGTGGAAAACATCGTACCAAGACCTGGCGGGGGGTACTGTACTAGCTTAGTAAGTCCTGGAGCCGCTTTTCACCCGGAAGCTTTCTATAGCTCTGCTCTCAATCAATCGTTGCACTCGATGTTGATGCTGGGTGGGCGATATCGGAACGTATACAAAGAGTTTCTGAGCTGACCGCAGACCTATTGCTTAGGTTCCATGGCTAAAAGTGCTTGGTGCAGGCGACGTCTTTACGGAGACAGTAATCATCATCATACCGATGGTGGGCTTCCACGGTTCTCTCATGTCTAACAAACGTAAAGTCATCGTTATGTTAGCCTTCTCTACCAGGATACCGTATGTACCGTCACTGTACCCTTAAAGTTTCGAAGAACCCATACTGACATTGAAGTCTCACAGAAACATAGTATTCGCCATCATGCACCTGATCACGCACTCCAAGTTCATCGACAGTCATCAGCCAGCCATGAGCATCGTCCCGACCGCCGCGTGGCAAAGCGTCCTTCTCTCCTACAACCTCATGTCCGCAACGTCTCCGCTGCTCAAAGGGTTCACCGAGATATTCATGACCGCGGGTACCTCCTTAGGATATGTTCAGGAGGGAGCAACAACAGGCGGGGGGAGTGGAACATTGGGCAGTTATGAGCTACGATCGTTCACGAAGACCAAGTCTAGAGTTAGAAGTTCCCCGTCTGATGCCACAAACTCGCAACCACGAGTCGCCCAGGTCCAATGGAACACAAGATATAAGCCGACTGCATCGAAAGCGACATCAAATGACGACTTGCGGCACTACAATGAGAGCGCATCTATTGCTAGTCATGACTCCCGTCGAATTATGATCAAGCGAGAATGGAAAGTCTCGAGAGATTAGGATTACGGAGGTTCTCTCCTCGAGCCCGCTATGGAAGGCTTGTATCTTCGGGTATGTTTTGGCGCATGCACTACCAATGCCATGGCTCTTCAATCGTAGAGAATTGGTGATAAGGATTCCGGTTGTAGGCTTATATAAGCCGAGCGTACCCCGCCAAGTGGCGACGCAACATTAAAGTCCGATGTTCTTTTAGGCGACCGACCGATTGACTCTTCATCATCTGTTCGCCAATGAGACAGCTACACTAGTGTTTTCCGTTGCATGGTCTTGTTTCCGGTGGCAGATAACGATTTCACATAGCGATAATGATGGCTCATTCATCTCTCCAACTGTTGCAGGTCTTTCTTTTTCTGCAACGCGGCCCTCTCTTTGCACTTCCTCTAAGCTAATGAAATCCGGTTACGAACCTGGGCTTGCCACATCTCAATCATCGAGTGTGAGCGCCAACAAATCGGAATTTGATGGGAATGATGGGCATGGGAAGGCTAGAAGACTTTCTCATGACCTGCAACTTGAGACACAGGCAGATGCAACGGCCCCTAACGTCAACGACATTGAACAAGCCAAGGCTGCGGACCAGCCAGTGACATGGAGCGCGCTACCCCGAAAAGATCAACTCCTAGTGTTGATGCTTGCCCGTCTCTCCGAACCGTTGACGCAAACCTCATTGGGCGCATATCTCTACTACCAACTTCAATCCTTCGATCCATCGCTACCAGAGTCTACTATCTCATATCAGGCGGGAGTCATTGGCGCAGCATTTCCGGCGACGCAGTTTATGACCGCCATGCTGTGGGGTCGTTTTTCAGACTCTGAGTACGGCGGCCGAAAAAGAACCATTTATCTTGGACTGCTTGGTACGATGCTAAGCATCATTGGCTTTGGCTTCTCGCGCAACTTCACCATGGCAGTGACTTTCAGGTGCCTCGGAGGCATATTGAATGGTAATGTTGGAGTTATGAGAACCATGATTAGTGAGATTATCAAGGAAAGAAAGTACCAGAGTAGAGCTTTTCTGATCTTGCCCATGATCTTCAACGTCGGTGTTTTGGTTGGACCCATCCTAGGTGAGTCGCGCGTAGCGATATCCTTATGAGTTCGTATTAACAAGAAGTAGGTGGCGTGCTTGCAGATCCGTTTGCTAGTTACCCAGCGCTTTTCGGACCCGACTCAACATTTGGTGGCAAAGATGGGGTGCAGTGGATGAAACGATATCCTTATGCACTCCCGAACCTTACAAGTGCCGTCTTTCTGTGCTTGTCATCCTTGGCCGTTCTTTTCTTCCTTGAAGAGACGAGCGAGCTATCCAAACATAAACCGGATCCATGTCTGCGCGTTGGCCGATGGATACGTCGAGTCGTTTTTCGTCAGAAAGTCACATCTGAGGCTGGGTACAGCGCCGTTCCAGAAGATGACTTTGAACTACAGCCCACACCAACGTCGACACATGCAGAAGGTTTCGATAATTTTGACAAGCCGAGCAACATAGTTCGGCAACAGTTACCGTTTCGTCGCATATGGACACGAAACCTCGTCATGACGTTATTCGCGCACGGCGTTCTTGCCATGCATGTAGGCACTTTCAATGGCCTTTGGACCATTCATCTTTCTACACCTCGCTTCGATCCAGCTAATCCATATCCTCCAGGCTTAGTGCCTCATGGTCTGTACTTTACTGGAGGTCTGGCCATGCCTCCAGCGCGCATCGGCATCGCACTTGCTATCATTGGCGTCATCGGTATATCATTGCAGCTTTTGGTATACCCAAAAGTGGCGCATCATCTAGGGACAACAAAGTGTTACCGCGTTTTCCTTGCTTTCTTTCCATTGATGTATACAATTGCTCCCTTCCTCAGCTTGGTACCCAGCTGGACGTCACCACCCGATGGCGTAAGTGGACCTTGGATTTGGATCGCCATTACGTGCGCCTTGTTCATACAAGTACTCGCTCGCACATTCGCGTTGCCCTGCACAGCCATTCTCATCAACAACGTCAGCCCCCATCCGTCCGTCCTAGGGACCGTTCATGGCATAGGCCAGTCGGTATCCAGCCTCACGCGGACAATTGGACCAATACTCTTCTCTTGGGTGTTTGGTAAAGGTCTCGACATGGGCATGATAGGTCTAGCCTGGTGGTGTATGGCTGCTGTTGCCGTCGCCGGGTGGGTACTCGCACAAGGTGTTCGGGAAGGAGATGGACATGAGATACTGCTTGAAGGAGAGAAGAAAGAACCCAACTGATAACGGTGTACAGCCTTCCTGTTAAAAGTACTGTACGCGGACTGAGAAGCAATACATCCCACGATGTATCAGGATCACGAAGTAAAAGTGCGTCGAAAGCCTGAAAATTTGTCTAGAAGCTACCAGTTTACCAACAATATCCGCAACGTATGACTTGCGCTATAAACAATCCTATACAGGACATACGAATGTCGACGTCACAACCCTTCCTCCTCTCAATACTCCTTTCGCGTATCTTCCTATCAAGCAAAGACCGCTTGTCCGACGTTTCCGGAGGAGATATTGCCCTACCATATCTTCTTAGCACCATGGGGTGATCTTGTATGAGCGCTGACAGCCACGTCGTATCCCTCTCGCGTTGATATTCAAGATGATTCAAAATCCACTGACATCGTCTTCGGCTCTGGATGCAATACTCAACCTTCTTTGGAGGGTGAGTATCATCTCGTAATTACCCGGTCCACAAGTTTGCTTCCCTTTCCTCAAGCGAACTCTTAATCAATGTTTTCCGCACCGCCAAGAATCAAAAACACTTTCTCAAGCTGAATCCGTGTGTTTGATACTATGCTGTTCGCATCCAGGCCCGCATGCGTCTCCAATTTCGCCATCAAAATGTTGAGTTTCCCACGCCAGTCTGCAACATCGTCTTCCAATTCGATATCGTCTTCGAACCATCCAGCCTCATGACTATCTATGACCCACTCCAGCGAACGTAAGAGGAAGATGACCTGTGATCCTTGGATGTCTTCCTGTTTTGAGAAGCTGGCCTGTAGTGTCTCCATTTCCCCACTGAACAGCTGCTTGAAGTGAGTGTTAGAGAAGGCCGAGATTTGTGCTTCTGGAGACTGGGTGTTCAAGGATGCAAACGAACCCATTCCTAGTTCTACTTCTTGCTTGGATGCCTCTTCTGGCTTGACTAAGGTAACTAAGGCTCGGCCCCTCGGTCTGCTATTATGTCTTGATGTTTTTGACGGTGCACTGGCATCAGCCATCGGAGGCGGTGATCCAGCCGGCTTACCATTCTCCATCGAAGGAAGAGGAACAGCTGCCTTGATACTCTCCAAAGGATTGAATGACACAGCTGGCTCGGTGTCAACCATCGAAGATGGAGTTACTGAGGATTTCGTGTCCTCCACTGGGGGAATAGACATAGCCGGCCTGGCGATCTCCTCTGGTGCCAAAAGCTGCACTTTTGCAGATGTTTTCTCAACTTCCTCGCGCTGTGAGGCAGGATTTGGTGGTAGTACAACACCTGGTGCAGGGTTCGGTGGGGAGATAGAGGGCGACTTGGCGTTGACTTCATCCTTCGACATCTCTGCTGGCTTTGGTAGTGTGACAGTCTCGGATGCCAAACGCTTTGATGGAAGATAACCTAGGCCTGTAAATTGGGGTGCTTGGAGTACAACCGTGTTCGCGTGCTTGGGGGGCTGAGGAAGTGCTAGCACTGGTACGGAGGTGGTAGTAGTGCTGGGTACAACGGCGACGTGGTCTGAAGATGCTTCTGGTGCGTCCTCCATCGTGTCGTATTCGCAGTCCATCTCGTCATACTGTGCGCATGGTATTGGATCGAACGAATTCCACATCTCCGCATCCCTCAGATAGGACATCTCGAGCATATATGCATGCAATAGTGTTCTCCAGCTCGATTTGCTTTTCGTGAAACGTAGGCCCAGTGGTTTCTGCGCCAAGCGCGAACGAGGAAGAGGAGCGATATCCCTACGGCGAGGTGTCCTCGTCTGCAAATACTTCGATTTCACTGCCGAATGTGGCTCGCCGCGATGGTAAAGCTGTCGGCGGGTGACGTGCGCCTTGTTGATTGGCATGTTTTTGACCACGCGCTTTTTGGAGCTGCGCTTGCGGTCCGTCATGACGGGCGCGCAAGGCATGTCAATGTCGTCGATCGTGACTGATCTTTTCATTTCCTTGTTCGTCTGTACGAAGAAATCATGGGGTGGGTCGATCAATATTCGTCAGTGATGTGTTGTTAGCGTATCTGAGAGTCGAGGTGCTGTCCTGCAAGACTGTCACGTTGGTTATTGTGACGCTGGATGCGAAGGCAAGTGTGCGACAGCTGATACAGTCCCAAGCTCGGTTCAACTGCGTGAGAAGCGGGAAGGATCGCTCCGCGAGTGCAAGTGACTGCAAGTGAAAGGAGAGCAAAAGCTCAGGGCTGAACGGACCAACATCGCGGGTACACTTTCGGTCGCAACTTTGGCAGCAAATGTGTTGCAAAACCGTCCGCTTCGGATTTCGCTGCTCGATACACATAGACTGACAGCTACTCGGAAGGCTATGTAGGCGTATGCATATATCAAGGTCCGACGTATCTTGTGATGAGAATAAGTCAGGCAATTCCTCACATGCGGGCAATGGCCCATCGACGACGAACCACTCACACCATTCGAGTCACCATCGCTACTATCGTCAAAGGTCTTCCACATATACAGGGTACATATAGATGAACGGGAGAACCACCGTTCCGATCTTGCATCCATTCTTCAGACGATTCTCAACCCTTCCCGCGTCCACTTTGCTCCTGCTTTGGGATCTCCCATCTTCCGTGACCTTGAATCTTGAAATCCTTCCTTGACATTGAAATGTTCGTTAGATACGTCGTCATCTGCCTCACAAAAACCAATGCGCTTGAATAGATGTTGTCCGGTTTTTTCCAACAACAAGAATAACGCCCTTTGTACCTCTGGGCTGAATGAGTATCGAAACTTGCCAATATATAACAGTTTTAACTCCGTAGCTGTATATCTTAGGTCGTCATCCAGATGCACAGTAGCACCAGGTAAACTAGAAAACCTATACGTTCGGTGGAGGGCTTTCCCCAGGTGGACATCAGATGTGTAGGCGACAACATCTATCCTGTTCGAGTGACATCAATAAAAATACGGGTCTGAGGGATTCATTAACATACCAGGGATGGAAGAGGGTATAGTCGTCCGCCTGAGCCGTGTAGTCTCGCATGCTCATGTTTTTTCCAGATACATGCGTGACAGAAGCAATGAATTCCGAGTCTTGAATCTCGCTGCTGACCACATCAGGACGCACACCATACCACATTTGACGCCGGTTGTGCCTGTGGTTCGAATCCTTTGTTGATGCCCAACTCCAAGACGGAAAATTGGGCTTTACTAAATCCTCACGATCTGTAAATGAAACTTCCTCTCTTCCTGTCATTATCTTCCATCCAAGATTGATGCCAAAGCGCAACGAAACCATATCGTCTTCACTAATGTCGAGTGGCTGTCCCAGTTCCGTAGTCTCAGTATCGGAAAGTACTTCGGAATCTTGCAGCCAGAGCGGGATCCCATAAAAATGGGGATTCCGACGCGCCATGTAAAGTCCGATCTTGTACCCATCCTCTGAGACACAGTGTACCTTCGACGTGCGGTCAGACAATTCACGGAATATCCCATCGAAGGCGTTAATGTTATCTGTTTTGTACTGTAGTGTCCGAGGATAATATTCCTGTAAGCGAAGATATATATCATCGATAGTGAGACTTTCACTTTGCGTAGGAAGAAACAGCGCGTTTCCCGTGATCAAATTGATTAGTTCAGTTGATTGGAAAGTCCTATCTAGTTTCTCCATGATCTAATGTTTTGAACACTGGAAATAGACTTGATAATCAGTGAAGATGAGGCGACGACGAGAAAGCAGCATCTCTTGATAAGTCCAGCCTCGCGTATACCATATCGAAGTCTGGATATCCGTCAACGGGTTTTGCACTGCCACAAAAGCATGGCCTCCAATTTTGACAAGAGACGTTGCTTTTCGAGGTCGACTCACTCCTGGTAACCCATAGTCTGAGTTGTTACCTGCAGCAGCAATGATCGTGACAAAGGCGTTTCGGTAGATTGAATCCATGTTACGAATGGCGTTGCGTTTCTCTTCCGGATTATCCTGGTCGATGCAATACCTATCAACCCACAAGTAGCGCATACCGAGTTTCAGAGTGACAAACATGGCGTCCGATACTGTCTTTGGGACGTCCTTCAGGATCTGATTGTTCGAAGCTGCGTCTTTGGCAAACTCCTCTCCCCAGACATAACTCAAACAGGTATATCGACGGTTGGGAGCTGAGCAAAGTACCCTCTCTTTACAGTCAATGAGTCTTGTTGGTGTGAAGTCGCAACGAATAGATCTGCCACACATAGTCGCATGCTCAGATTGACACTGCTTGATGTATTCGTTGAACAGATCATAGTTGACAGAGCTAGGCTCGACTGTGCGACTGCACGGTAGATAAGTGTGTTCGCCAGACTTGAAATCGACGAAGCGCGCCTGGACTGGAAGCAAGTATATCGATAAACCATTACTACCCCTGTTGAACTTCAACCAAAACAACGTTCCTCTGAGATAGGTGAGAGCGGGATGCGATAGTTGAAGATGGTGTAGTGCAAAATCTCTGAGTAGGTTTTCAGCTTTCTTGTCACAAAAAAACGTCCTCAGGAGCTGTGTAAGCTGGTCGCAGAAGGGAAAGTTTCCTTGTTGACCGCGTATGAAATGGTTGTGGGGCAATGCAGATGTTATTGGGCACACGATTGCCTGCGACAGATGTCTCTCATCGCAAAATTGACAAACAGAAGAGTTGTGAAGCATTTCGTAGTGGCGATTAACGTGCGTTCTTCGAACTTGATGATGGACAGACACGAACAAGATAGAGAGAGGTGTCCAGAAGAGTCTGGGTCCTCGAAAATCTTGGTGGGGTAGTTCGACGGTGAGACCACGGTAACGGGGCTGTGTCGGTAGGTAGGTAAGCCACGTGTGTCAGTTTCGCAAGTGCCCTAGCCAATCGACTACCCCTGCACGCCATCCAGCTAAACGAGGCTGAGTTGCTCGTATTTCCGGAAACTATCTCATGTGTGTACGTTTTCTTTTGACAGGTATAGAATCTCATGTAAAGTTGTGATGCTTCCATTGCTGTATATCGACGCATTACCATAAGGTACTAGAACGGGCGACTACAGCATGGCAATATAGATCAGTGATCTAGAGGAAGAGTTGACATGGCACCTAGAATTCAGTGCATGAAAGTAATTCGTGTGTATGGAGATATCCCAGCTTCCAGCCATCCTCAACCTTATTCAACGTGTCTACTTGCCACCTCTAAATCTCTTCCTCGGATCATACCGCTCGAGTTCACCTCTCGCAGTCCGGCTCGGTCTCGACTTAGTCACTTTCCTCTCTTCAACCTTCTTTTCTGGCTTCGATCGCTCCACGTCTAGTCGACCAGGACCGTCGTTACGGGCAGGAGGCCACTCCCGCGTACGACTATCAGCCTCTTCAGTTCCACGCGCTGCAAATGCAAGCTCTCTTCGCTTGGTCTCGGCCTGTCGTGCCGCTGCATATGGGTCAATCGGCTCAGATGGCTCGACGTCCTGCTTCGCTGTCTGCCGGCGTGCTCTTTTACTCTTGGCGCGTGAGTGGTCGCTTCGGTAGCGTCGGGCTCTGTCTTCTGCTTCCTGACGTTGGCGACTTGCTGCTTGCGCTCGCTTTCTCTCTCCAATCTCCAGCTTTCGTTGGTTCTTGGCTGCACGTGCGCGCTGGATTTCTGATTCCTCCCGTTTCTGGTGTTCCGCAGACTCTTCCTCTTCGATGCGCTGCACGCGCTGTACTCGACGATTGTCTTCCTGCTTGCACGTTGACACCATCCTAGTCACGGCCTTGTGTTGTTCGCCGCTTTCTTTTCCTTCTCCTGGTCGACTCTGCTCACTCGGATACCCACAATGTGTTGGTGAGCCATCTTCTCCCTCGTGTGCCGCGTTATGGCGTTGCTGCTCCTCTTCGTGCGGGTCCTCAGGTCGACGTTCAACGCTGCTTCTGGATTTATAACGAACGACGCGGCCGCCGCTGGGAGAGCGACTTCGACGTCTGAACTCACGTTGCGCTGATCGGTTAGAATCACTCTGCTCGCCTCTGGCGCCTACTTTGTCCTCATGAGCCCTGTGCGGTGTTTCTTCTCCACCAATCTCCCCATAGTCGATATGAGAACCTTTTGCGTCGTTTCTCTCAGCGGATTGGCCTTGATGTCGAACAAAGCAGTCTCCAGGGGAACTTGTTGCGAGGTCTAAACAATTCGCAAGTTTTGGTGAAGTTTTTGTGCGCTTGGGTGAGCTTGTGGACATCTTCATCTCCCACTCGTCCTCTAACCTTCGCTTCTTGCTCATATCAGAGTTTGCATCAAATGTCGTCGTAGAACTTGAATGAGTCGACGCTGTTGCGTCATACACGATGTATTTATCTGCGAATCTCTCGCCGCCTATCACCATCATGGTCTCTTCCCTCTCTTCAACTTCGCCCGATCTACCCCGCTCCTCTCTCGCGACTTTTTGGTCGCTCACCCTTGAACCACTAGGCTTTTCCTGTTCAACTTCTTCACCATCAGTTCTCACGGTATTCTGTACCGGGATGCACTCGATATAGCCGTACCATTCGATTGGTGCCGGATCAGACTTGTCGTTCGGCACGTGAGGCTCGAGAGCGCGAATGCGCTGAGGAGCGCTCACCTCGTTGACGGGATCATGAACCAGCGGTAGCAGTGGCGGAGGCAGCGGGGTGGAAGTCATACCAGCGCCGGAGGCATAGTCTTTGGCTTCCTTGCTGGTGCTGATTTCTTCACCGTAAATATTGGGCAATGAGTAGCCATCAACGTTCGTACCGATTGCGTTACCTTGGGCGTCGAACTGAACGTTGATCGGCAACTGCTCTGAATGTACGATGTACTCATCTCTTGATTCAGACCACACTCTGAACCCTGCAGCTCGAGCAGCGTCACCTTGTTTGTTGACCAAAAGTGATGCCTTCACCTTTGCCCGCAATAAAGCGTTGTTACATTGCGCAATGTCACTGGTCTGGAAAGAAGAGTCTGCATAGTTTGGGCATCGTTCCGGGACGGTCGGGATAGCGAATGGCTTACTGGAAACGATATCGTGAGGGTTAGATGACGGTCCCGGCACATAGCGACCGATTGCGGCGCTGCCGATCTTGCTGACAAGCTCTTGATTTGTGGGCTGACGGTCATAAATCTTCTGGAATTCTTCCGCATTGCTAGGTGGTAGTGTATGTACAGCGGCGTTGCGATACCAGACGAAATTGGAAGACGCAACCACAGCCTTCGATTGGGATGCTGGGTGGTTTTGAAATCGAGTAGAATCTTGCTCGAACGACTCTGGGGCCGTCCTGGGAGGTTCGCTTTTTGGCGGAGATGTTTCGTTCGCGACAGGTCCTTGAGCGGTACTATTAGTTGCAAGAGACACTTCCCCAAGGGTAGCGTCTTGGTGTGGCAGGGCGTCAGTCACGGGTGCGCATCCTGGCATGACTAAGAACGATGGCTTTTTGCACACGTGAGGTCTCTTGGTTGTCTTAGACAAGTGAGGACGCAGTTTGTTTGGGTATCGTGGATGGAAGGCGTGACGAGTGACCAGGGTACAACAAGAACTAGCGCAGAGCTAGAACGAAAACTCGGTATACCCAACGCGACGTCGGCTCTACAGATTTTCCAAAGTGAATGCGACATTGTAAACACCCATTGTCTTCACAAAGTGCGTCAATCCAAATTTGAATCATGAAACGCGATATTCAAACATTCTTTGTCCTTACGCTGTGCTACCCACGTTCGTAGTCGTATCAGTGCGATTGCTCGATGCATGCGCCTGCGTGGACAGATGATGATGATGATGATTACAAGAAACCACGTGATACGTCGCTGTGTAGCTCATTCACATGAGAATACTGCACAAGCTGACATAGAGAGAATATGGAAAGTAACGATATTGAAACTTTGACATGAATTTGCATGACTTAAAAGAGAGATACGAAAGCTTCCACAAAGCATACTCACATGGGTTCATCCAAAGGAACAAAGACAGGTCTCTCTTGGACTTTCGCCTCCCACAGCTCCAAGCGAACTAAGTTCTGCATCACTCACATTCATCTTCCAGTACTAACCTCTCAGTCTGGAGACTTCCGCATTGGTAAGCGGTGTCCCAGCTTGCGTCACACCGATAGGTTGCAGTTGCCCCTAGAAGCTTGGAGAGCGAACATCTTGGTTGCTGACGTACTGCTACTCCTCTTTCTTCTGCTTCTTCTTGCTCTTTCTACGGAGGCGCCCTCTGGAAGGTCTTTCCGCTTTTGCGTTTTTAGGAGCGGGAGATGCAAACTGTGGCCGTGCGGTGGCTGCTCCTACTGCGTCGTCACCATCCACAATGAGGGGTGTACAATGCAGGTGGTTGGGGTGAAGAAATGATCGACCGTCCTGGCTTCCAAGTGCTGATGCCATTCCAGAGCGAACTAAGAGTGGTAGCGATTGGATGCGCGTCAATCCAAAGCAATGGCCACCTAGCGGTACAACGAGGTCTTCCGATCAGAGAACCGGTACAACAACATAATCGTAATTCCTTGCTCAACTAACCTGTAGATGCATGCATCTTGGCCGATGGGTGGGACAATGACTGGTCCTGAAGTCGTTCTTCCAGTTTCTTGGAGCGGGTAGTCTCGATGCAGCATGCCTTGCGAGAAGCCTGCATCTCGCTTGGTGAAAAGACGCGTAAGCTAGAGTATCATAGTAGACATAAAAATCGAAAATGCCAAGTCCAAAAGCCGTTGACAAGCCTCGATTGTTAACAGCCTAGCGAAAGACTTTAGTTATAGCGCTGAGCTTGGAGGAGTGGATGGGCTGCGGTCGTCCTTCGGTCGGCTGTGCTGCGGGCCGTGGTGAAACGCCGTACAGTGGTGCATTGCGCAAGCATCATCAACATGCCACAGCCTGCTCAGCAGCAGCCTGGTGTGAAGGGCAGCACGATGTTCAATCCTCCAATGGTAGATGGGATGATGAAGGCGATGATATACGAGCGAGCGAGTGGGAAGAACGAGGGGTGGAGCAGCAGAAGAACGGTTCCCACGAGGCTGACTTTCCTAAGAATAGCCGATTAGCGGGGCAGATCGGCGTCATTGGGCAGCGGCTCCCGGCGCAGTTGCAGGGATGCCCGTACAGCCTCATGGAAGACGCGTATCCGACCAAGCATAACCACCTCCACGCCGCCGCCATACATCTACTGACCTGCCAACACATCGCTCTTCCAGATCCCTGACCATAACTCCAGTCACACGTACAGGTCAGAAGGTTGTAACATGACGCAATGTTAGACGAGAATCTCCCCAGTACGTGTAGCCAACTAATGCGGCCAATCGTCATTCTATGGCTATACTAACCATCCCTAGCTTTCTTTCTCAAGGCCTCGACCGACAAGCTCAAGCACCACGAATCATTCTACTTCACCCAGAACGGCTCCGAGCCCGAAGCCCAGTATGCCCTCCACCACGTCGACCCAACCTCCAACGATGCGAAGAACACCTACGCCGTAGCCTTGTTCGACTCACGCAACCCCGACGTTCTATATGGCGAAGTACTTGCGAAGCCTGGATGGTCGCACCCAACACTCTCGCAGGAGGAGATTCGCAAGAATGGCGGCGTACCGCCCCCACCGCAGCCCATCTACCCCACAGAATTCGCGATCCAGATGTACAACCCCGACTCGCGCGTTGTTGTTAAGCACTCGACGGCGAAATGGAGCAGCACCGTGAGCTGGGAGTTCAGCATACCTCAAGTCACCTTCAGGACGCCTAGCAATTCCGCCCTCGACCGCACCATGACGGATCCGGGCGCCGATGTAAACACACCCAGAGTCAACTTCGCGTGGCGGAAGGAGGGAAGGCTGGGCAAGGATATGACCTGCTACATGACAGGCAAATCGACCGACCCTACCGGCAAGAAGGTCAAGAAGAGCAAAGAGCCCGACATTGCTGTCGCTCTTTTCTCTGGTCTGAAGGAGTTGACCATCATGGAGTCGAATCTCTACCGCGTTGAGATTGAAGATTACAAGGGCTTGGAGGTGGCCTTGCTCATCGGAGCCGCTGTAATACGCGATTTGTTCTTCAGCGACCTCAACGAACAATTCCACATCAACGCCAACGTCCGGAAGAACAGCGCGCCACTGCGAGCGAGGAAGGGGTCGTCGCCACTAGAAGGCCCGAACATCACAGCGCCGGTCATGACACCCCAGCCTCCGCCCCCACCAGCATACACCCCTTCGTCGTCGCAATACCCACCCGAGAAGGTCCCGCTCCAGCCTGCAGGAGGTGCTGGCGTGAACGCACAGCCACCTCCACCCTCGTATACCAGCAACAACAATACTGCCAAGCGTTCCTCGTTGCCTCCGCTAGCTACGAACCAAGGTCGCCCGAACCAGCCTCCTTCCCAACAACAGCGACCTTTCCAGCCGCAACGACCTGTCCAACAACAGCGGCCCGCCCAGCCACAGCGTCCAACGCAACAACGTCAAGAAGGTCCCAGGCTAGATCCCCGAGCACAATGGGAGATCGACGCCGAGACCGCGCGATTGAAGGCGCAAGTGGAGGCCGAGGCACGCGAGCAGAAGCGCCAAGCAGAAGCTGCTCGTAAAGCTCGGCGCAGGCAGGAAGAGGAGGAAGAAAGGAAGACAATACAATTCCTTGAGCAGGAACGCAAGCAGAAGGAACGCGAAGAGAAGGAGCGACGGAGGAAGCAGGCTGAGATTGATAAGGAGACCGAACGCTTGAAGAAGCAGTTCGGAGACCAGTCCAACCTACTCCGCCCATCGCCACAGCCTCAGCGACACTCCGCACCACTTGTACAAGGTGGATGGCAGAACCAGCGACCCAGCCCAGTGCCTCGTCCCGCCCCTGTCCCCACGCAGCCTCCACGCATGCAGCAAACACCGGGTATATACCTGCAGACGCCTGTCCAACATCGCCCTGCAGCAAGTCAAAGCAGTTTCTTCAGCAATGGTCTACCAAAGCCTGTAGCAAAGGCAAAGAAGAGCTTCTGGGGTCTGAGAACACAGAGCGAGAGTAACGCTGAGAAGCTGAAGAAGAAGAAAAGTAGCATGTTTTGAGCAAAAGCTAGCATTAGTCTCTTGGAGTTTGGGTCATGGCATTGGATATGGAGTTTTCGACCTTGTGAGTCTTTATGATACCAGACATTGCAATTTAGATATGTTTATTCACATCTCCCTTCTTTTGTCAGATGTGTTCCTGTTGATCTGCAGTGCCCAGATGCGATCTTACCCCATCTGGGCTAGCGGCAAACTACAACCCTTTGAAGTATGCTCAACACCAAATTGATTCTTCAACCATCCACTCCGTCGCGATCAACTTTGATCCAAATTCGAGTTTTGATTTTCTTCCAAGCCTCATAATGTGGTCTCATGCCACCTTCTCAACTTGATGCTGACGGCCGGCACGCGAACCAGGCTCTGTTCGCTAATTCGAAAACTTGCTCATTTGAGCACATTATTCTGGGGTCGGCATGCAGGGTCGCAGCTATAGCTCGCGCCACAACTACCACTGAACCCACAAGCACACCGATTCTAGACTCTTGAACATTGAGAACAAGCCTTCATTGGTTCACCATATGCGTTTCTTCGCTTTCCCAATGCTGTGGTTGCGGATAGACGAGTGGAAAAGACCATGGTGTTTGCTTGGCAGCGGAATGCTGGCGACTTTCTTCCGCTAAGACGACGGCAATGCGGCTAAAGAGACGGTGGATAGAGGAAGGTTCGTTGGGTGAGTGTGTATAAAGGGTACGGCAACTGCATGTCAGTTGTTGCACGCTTGTTGGGTAAACACACCTTTTCTCTCCTCTCACATCTCCTCCATTCCTCCAACTCGTCATACCTCCTTCCACATCGTGATACCAACCTCCAATCATGTTGGCCAAATCTTTCCTCGCAGTCGCTGCGCTCGCCGCAGGCGCAAACGCTCACTTCCGCCTCCTCGCACCCACCTGGCGCGGCAGTTCCTTTGAAGAACCAGCCAGCCAATGGATATATCCCTGTGCCAACGTCAATGAGACGACTGACATGGCAACCCGTACGACTCCCCCTCTTTCCCCCCCAGCATCCCATCAGCCGATCCAATCAAGCCACTGAACTTCACCAACTAATCAACTATAGGCACTCTCTGGCCCCCCAGTGGCGGTTCGACCATAATAAACGGCAGCCACCCATCCGCCCTCACAGCCGTTAACCTAGCCCTCGGTTCCAATGCCACAAACTTCAACATCACGCTTCTGGAAATGTTCAACCAAACCGGTGCAGGCGTGTTCTGCATGAAAGAGACTGGACGGGCAAATCTGGAGGAAGGATTCAAGGCGGCGGGCTACTCGGGCTTGGATGACGAGAGGATCAATGGATTGATGGCTACCGTACAGGTCATTCAGCTAGGCCACAGCGGAAGTGCGCTTTACAATGTGAGTATTGAGTGTTTGGCGGCGAAGGATGTAGAAGAGATATGGGAGCGGTCGGCGTGAGGTTGAATAGAAGTGGGCGAGGCTAACGATTCGTAGTGCGCAGACATCATGTTCAACTCCACAGCGGAATTGCTCTCGGACGATCAATGCCAGAACGGAACAGGGGTTTCAGGTGTCGCTATCGAGAACGCTGCGACTGAGACGACCAACGGATCGTCAGAAGCGTCGGCTACACCAACTGGTGCGGCAAGCAGGCTCAGTCCGGTTATGGGAAGTGGGTTGTTGGCTGCTGTCCTGGCCTGGGGGTTGTTGTAAAATCTTGCACGAGTTTACCGAGCTGTGGGGTGGTTGCAAAAGAAGAACGATTGCACTAGGGAAATTATACCTACTAACGCTTTGACGGAGAATACGACTTGTTCTTTTACGCTAACACTTGCTGTCCAATCTCAGCCACCGCCTATCCAGATCTTCTGCCCGAGCATCTCGTGTGTTTTTTACCATCTGCGAAGCGAGCCGGTGCCTCGAGGCGAGCCGGTGGCTAGAAGCAACCAGAACATGACTTCGGCAAAAAAGGACTGTGTGGCTGCTCGTCGGTTCTCATGGGATTTAACAAAGTCGTATTTTGCATGATCGCTAATCTGTACCGCCTTTTCGGGTATCCCGTATCAGATTTCTTCCGCCTATGAAAGTCCCAACTTCGTCAGCGTTCTTCCGCCCCGCTCTCCCTGTCGTATTCGGCATTATTCTCTTCGTTATCTTCTTCCCCTCCTTCCTCATCTGGCAATTCATATTCCTGGTCTATTTCGTCTTTTGCTGGTGTTTCAGGTTGTTCATCTTCCGAACTCGATTCGCCTTCTGTCATTCCTGCCAGGTGGTATTAGCAGATGTTCAATATGTACTCGAGCGATGAAGTAATGAACAACAAGAAAAGACTTACCGGGATCGCCTTCACGCGTCGACCGATCGCATTGCGTACATGAGTCTGCGTTTTCTTCGTTGAGCCAGCGACATACTTCGCATGGCCACTGAGGCATCGTCGATAGGCTGCGGAGGGCTCCAATCGGAAAAAGGGCCCACCGGATAGATGAAAGAACCGGCGGTGCCGCTCTTGAAATCAAGGTATACTAACGGGAAATATCATGAATGCCGAGACTGATGTACTGGGATGCCACATTATAGTCTTCCCAGGGTACGGTCTTTTCGCGTTGGCCTAACCTGCGATGATTCTAGTGTTAGACTCGAATTGTGTTAACAGTATTTATTGTGAAGGCCTCGCGAGTTTGATGTGAGACTCTATCATTGTCTCATTCATACAAAGCACTGTTCGATGGTACGCATGCATCAACGAGCGCAGATATTGCCTAGACTAAAAACATTGTCCACAAAGCGAGAACCATGTAGATTGACGCCACAGATGAATCTACCAGACAGATATCTACCAATCGATAGTCAAGTGGTGGATGCAAGGAAATTGGTTGGTTATTCCTCAACCGCGACACTTGGATCAGCATGGACACAAGTGAGTCATTGATGGACAGCCGCACGCATTGGTAATTCTAAACTAGTATAGAGAAACCAATGTAAGTCACCTGCTCCTAGTGAATGGCATGTTTTCTCGCGTCGCAGTCATCTGCACACTCCGCAAATCTCTTGCTAAGTCAAAAAGCTGTTTCGTTCCAGTTACCCCTCTCCACTGAAGGTTCAGTCCGCAACTCAGTCTCAACATTAATGTTATGCGCGGAAGCAAACTTCTCAAAATACGTAATAAAGCCGCCAAGTTTCGTGCTGCGCTATCAAAGAGTGCACCTCTAACAAGATCAGTACCGGGTACTCCTGCAACCATGCTCTTAGACCACTGTCCAAACCAAGACGAAGCAAACAATGAGATTGACGACTGGCTATCGTCCGGTTTGCGGTCGTACGTCGAAGAAGGTCAACGTATGCGTGACGCAGCAGACGGCATTCCTCCCGCAAGAACCTCATTCGTACAGCGTGGTACCATGCACGCGCTAGATAGATACGGCGAGCGTTCTCATTCTCTACCGCCTGAACGTTGGATGAGAACTCCTTCCGAGCCACACCGTGACAACAATGCAGATACTCCGCCTCGCACACATGAGAGTCTGCGCAACGCCCAAGTAGAACGTCCTGTCATCATCAATGGCGAGGGTCATAACATTCACATCAACTGCGGTCCTGGGCAGCAAAACGTTCACTATAGTGGATCAAGCGACGACCGGGACAATTACGATAACGAGAGGTATGATGATGACGGATACAGCGACGACGGTTACGATAATTACTACGATCACGGCGACGATGAAGAGAATGACCGAGATTACGACGCAGGTTACCAACAGTCAGGGCGTAGCCGCGATGCTCGTGATAACGGTCGCTTCCACGATAGGTACAGCAGCCACACTCGCGGTCGTCACATGCCTTACTGTGAATGTCGAGATTGCCAGCCTGATTTGACCCCTGATGATGGAAGTAGCTCTAGCGGGTCCAGTGATCATTGGTAGTCGTTGGGTAGGCTATGCGTCTTGCAGGATGTCGTTAAGATGAGTGGTAAGCTGCAATTTCCACTAATTGGGTGCGGACAACTTGTATCATCTTGAGAAATATCTTACAGCTCGATTGTTTTACATGCGATTACCTTTGTTGGAGATAACATTCGCCAGGAAGCTTTCGCACCATACGTATCATTGAAGGAAACATTCAACAGTTTGGTCATAGTTAGTTGATTTGCACATAGACGTTCAAGTTGGTGATGATAGAATCAAACAAATTTGCTTACCCTTAGGTGCCATTATGATCACAACTACTGATACTACTATATTCTGATATATGAGAGTTACCTGGATATCCACGCCCTTTCCAATATTGCTTTTGTCGGAGGAAGCTCCTTATCCGAACAAGCACATCCTTAGTCCCAAAAATGATCAACAATCTCTTTCGGCAGCGCCCCGATCCGCTTCTTCGTCTGGTATATTTTCATGTCGTCACCGCTCATTGCCACCAAGACTGCCGACCGCTGTTCGGTCTTCTCGTCGACCGTCTTCCGCAACAATTGCAACAGCGTTACAAGCTTCTGAAGCACCTCCTGGTTATCTGCTTCCCAACTCTCAAAACCCTTGTAATTGTCTTTGTGGTCGCCTTTCTGAGTGACACCCTTTATTCGAATGTCTCTTCGCTTGTAGGTCCCATCAAAGGCCGCGTTGTGCTTCCCACCCAGGCAGCAGGTGGGTGTTCGACCGAGCCACATTTGATCGAGGGGCAGAGAGCTAGTATTGCTTTTTAGCTCCATGATATGGTGCTGTGGAACAATTTTGCCTTGAGGAATGACTATCGTGCCCTGAGACTCATCGCATTGAATGGTCTCGGCGTTGTAGTCGCCTGGATCAAAGCTGGGGTGGACAGTCGGCAGCACATCAGGGTCTCGTGGCGTTACAATAGTCGGATCGTATGCATCAGCCTCATGACGTACGACTAAAGTTAGAGAGCCAAACTTGTACTTTAGCATTCGGTGATGAGTCGTCGCATCGTTGATCCCGGATTCGGTGAGCGCAGCCTCAAAATTCCGACCGTATGAGTTACGCGTCGATCTAACTTTCGCGTTGCGCACCTGTCTGCCGATGAAGAGGGTATTCTTTTCGAAGTCAAGATGGAGATGAAACTCTTGGAAAGAAGTTCCCTTCAAAAACTTGATCAAGTTAAGTATTGTGGTGCGGTTAATCACAATATCCACGTCGTTCAAGCGAGTATAAGGGTTCATCAAAGCCATGGCTTGGAAGGCGGGTTCGTACTGGTATATTGGAGCACGTTCCGCGTGCTCGTTCATGAAATGATAGCCAGTATCAGGCGCGACACAAAGTGGAAAATCTTCTGCCCTTAATCTTTTGAACACTGGGGGAGATCCAGGTACAGAAATCGTGGTCTTCTCTTTATCCATGAAGCTGTAGCTGCTGACAAGAGTGTATCCATCTGCCGAGGAAACCGTTTCTGGACTTGCGTGGATATCGGCGAATGTACCCTCCCAGACAAGCATATCCTCGTTCGCGTTATTGTACATGTAGGAGTACCATTCCTTACCCTTTTGCTTGGCAAGCGTCTCGAAATTTGGACCGCCGTATTCGCGCTTGCCTGTGTTTCTGTTGATGTAGTTTTTCCCGTGGACCAGAGATGTCGAGAACACAGGGTCGGAGGCAGAACGAGGGCGACCGAGATAGAGTGGTTGAGCAGGAAGTTCCAGATCCGTGAGAAAGGCGCCTGGATTCATTGCCACTATATAAAATGGTTGAACTGGTTGAATGAGAAGGTAGAATTGGTGATTGAAGGTCGCATATGTTGAATGATGTTGTGATATATACATGCAGGGAGAAAGGGCTTCAGTCTCCAGGCACTCATTGTGCTGAGCAACCATCGTGCTGGAACGAAGGCACGTAGTGAACGTAGAGCTTCATTAGCCTATGGAGACCCCGTGGCTACCGGAGCCGCCGTACTCTGAGCTCCCAGCTTCAGTGAATGCACAAGCGTAAGTTCACATCCGCGATGTGTGCTTATATATCTAGCTAAGACGATTGCTAGTTTGCGGAACCTTTTGTTGCCATGCTCGTGACAATGCTTGCGCTGCAGGTCTATGACAAGCACTCATCACGTCTGGTAAGTGCCGTAAAAGTACTCACACATCATCAAAAGCTTTCTCTTGAAGCTCGAATCATAGAAATACAGCAATACCAGTTTGCTATGAAACCCTCGTTGGCTTCTTGAAGAAATCAGCTATAGGACGTCGCATGATCTTGAACGCTTTGCCATGCCTACTAGACTGCACGACCCCCGCTCTTCTAGGTCGTCGGGTCTTCAAATAAGCTCGGTTTCTTGGGGTTTTTAGCATTCCATTTTCGATGGGAAGATCAGGGACTTTTGAGCCATCCCCAGAGTGTAGTTTCTTGCAACCCTTGCACCTTTTGCCATTCCTGCTCATGGCTCTGTTTTCGGGCATCGAATGGCGTCGTTCTCTACTGCCGGATACATTTCCTTGTTGTACATGAAGATCAGTCCATACCCGACTTCTGCTCTCCCACGGTTGTATAGCTTCTTTATCTCCTCCTTTTTCGACTGAATATAATAGTGATTCAGAGGGTGCGCAGTTCGGATTCTGTCGTCTCCAAACCTCTAGCGCATTAATATGTACTTGTTGCATATCTTTCGCATTGTCCTCGTCAAGGAGGTGCGTGCTGTTGCTTTGCAATTCTGGGCCGACGTCACGATCAAGCTCAGCATCGGGAATTTCCTCACGCCGGGCTCGAGCCAGTGCGCAATGGTAATCAATTCTGGCGTCTGCAAGCCTCAATTTTTCATCTTGTAACATGGCTAGGAAGGCTGACTTAACAACCTCGTCCCTGAACTCTGGAGGAACACCGTCGTCCCAGGGCGCCCAAGCTGAGTAGTGATGGCACATATGCTCAAATATGGTACGTGCCTCACGCAAAGCGTCTGCACAATCTTTTACGTTCTCTTTCTCAAAACGTAAGTTCCCAATTGGCTGTTCAGTTTCGAACTGTCGCGTGGTACCTCGTTCCTGTCCTTTGGGAAGCCTTGTCTCGTCGACCGCATTACTACGTATTAGATTTGCTCGCTGCCAAGCACGAAGCAACAACGCACCTACATCTTCCCATGCATCTCTGCATTCTTGCTCCGCCACGTTACAGGCTATCCAAAGGTAGGATTCATCCTCGAATATATGATTGAGGTTTTCTCGCGCAAGATACACTCGGCTTGCTAGAGCTCTTCGCTCCTCACTTTGCTGAGCAACGGGTAGATGCGACGATATCTGCATCGTCTCATCCAGCTTCGCGAGCTCCTCATCTAGTCTTTCGACATCTTTCCACCCACTTGCCTTCTTTTTCTTAGTTTCTTTTGCCGTTTCATTGATTTCCATCCATAGGTACTTGTACTGGCGTTCTGCGACGATCGCTTTGTGGACGTTATCCTCCAAGTCTTGTGAGACAATAATGGCTGGTACGACTTTTTCACCGTCGTTTACACGTACTAGACGAGACTCTCTTGAAGAAAACAAATTTTTCGGATCGTGTCCACCCTCCGGCAACCAATCTTGCGGTGCGCAAGTTGCCATCTTGTCTTGACAGGACTGCTTGCAAAATGGTCATATCAAATGTCTTCTTGATCACTGCAATATTGCACTGCTTTGCTAACAAAGAGCCTGCATCGGCGTCGAACAACAAAGGCGCTCTTTCTGTTTTGATAGATGTGTGATCTTTGTTGTTCTTACACATAACGCTTTGGTCTTTGAGGTGCCAAAGGGAAGCCTCTCTAAGTAATTTACGTACTAGCGTATTCCAACGCAGCATTTTCCGAACTTCCCGAACAGTAAACAGTCGGAAGTGAGCTTCGAGCATCGTTATTCTCGCAAGAGCGACAAATAGTAGCCTTATGTAAGACCAGCTATATCCCGATCGCCTCTAGTCACGGTCTGTTTATGGTGTTTGCCTCGTATTGATCCCCTGTCATAATTCGATGCCAGAACTCTGACTCGGCTTCATGATTCAAGCTTGAGGTATTGAGTATACTCCATGGATTTGTCAGGTCTGGCCACATAGATTCGTGAAGTTTTGCTGGTATATATTACCGTTGCTTTAGTGTTGAACACGCTTTTCTTGATGCTTATAAGATCTCCTTAACGGACTTCCTGGGATTGTTTCACTTACATAATTTGGGTATGTGGCTGGATTGACCTGGCCATAGAACGCAACGGACGGGCTGCAGATGCGAGCACATGAACGACAATGCATAGGTACTTTCACCTCATAAGTCTTGCGCAGACAAACATTTTAAATGTCCGCCTTTTCTTCAACTATACCTACAACTCACCTCCTACGACACACTTTCATATACGTCGTCAGATTCAACCATGGCAGACAACTATCAACCGATCTACATAAGCGCCACCGAGGCCCCTCCGCAGGAAAGTATATCGAGTGATACTCTGTATGATTGGAACTTCCCCATTGTACGCCCTTGCGAAACACCAGTCTTAGAATCAGATAGTCACGGTGTCGAAGATGATATCACCGAGTCTGTAGTGAGTAGCCCAACGCCCTCGGAGCTTGATATGCCGGTGGCAAGCAATTGGAGAATCGCTGGCCCGGCTTCACTAGAGGTTCGGCGGGAAATCCAGCGAGGCTCGCTCATCGCTGCACCAATTCCACAATTCGCGAAAGACAAGAACGGGAAGGGGAGGTTGACAGAAGGATCTTTCAAAAGCCCAAAAGGTATGATGCTTATCAAGAAATAGCCTTTGGTCGTGTACGGTGTCGATCGGGACCAAGGCCGACTGCCAACGAAACTGTATTGTATGCAGCGCCATACTTACGGAGAAAGTGGGTTGAAGAAAGGAGATCGTCTGAGAGAAGATCATCATCTTCACGTCAAGCTTATCCCGCCCGGTAAGAACAAGAATGATAAGGGTGACGCACCGAATGGTCCTCTTCTTATCCGAGAATTATACAATACGAAGTTCGTCTCGGAGAACGCGTACCTAGAATTCAAGAGTATCGTTGTCGTTGAACTGGACGAGCACGTCGACCTGGACGGCCGGCTAGAGCCGAGCAGCTGGTTCGATTTGTTTGGGCTGTACATCTCTACCATTGTGAGCGCTGCAAACGATCAGCTGAAAAGTACTCCAAGCCACAAGGGACAGGCTAAGACTATTGTTAATAGTCTTGTCAACGCAGTCGTTGAGAGCTTGGACGGGCCAGCCGGCGCAGTCTCGACAGGTCGACATCAAACCAGCGCTTTGGACGAAGTCACACCTCCGACCCAGATCGCACATGGTGAGGTCAATAAGCAGATAAGCTCAACGAACACTTTTGCTCAAAATCAGCTGATCGAAACATGCAATGGCAACATCAGCCAGCAAGCTACGGAAGTGCAATATGCTCGCGAACGTTCAAAAAACTACGGAATACGCGAGCGCAGTAGGTCCCTACGTAGATCATATGAGGAAACGTCTTCCGAGCATGACAATCGTGTCCGCAATTATCGGTTTTCTCTCGATTATGGAGACGAGCGTAGACGTCCGGGAGGCGATTGGCAGAGTAGTCGTAGGGAAGATCGTCATACTGTACGAGACTCGCGGCGCGGTGGCCGAAATCGTCGATCCGAATATAACGAGAGTCCTGTACTCGGTGAAGATGCCCCTGCTGAGCGGGAGTATCATGGAAATGACCGCCAATTTGATCGGCTTAATGGGTGGAGGCAGGGGCGTGTTGGCGGCATGAATGCGAATCGGCGAGATGGGGGCTCAGGTAGAGATGGCAGAAGGTGATGGGCTCAATGCTAACAGTGCGCTTGCAGAGAATGTATAAAGACGTGGTGCCGGTCTGGAACGAACAGATACGTGAGACACGAAGTGGCGGGGAGATCACATCTTCGCTCTTGTTCGGATATTCGAAGCGTAGGGATCCTTCTGCCCCTGGCAGACAAACCGCTCTGGCTTTACGCTTGGAAGACGGTGTATGAAGATGACTTCGCAAAGCAAAGGACGGCGACGCGACCTCAGATGTGATGTACGCGCGTCATGAGAGATAGATATATTCTCAAACGGGATGCCGCTTTCGGCCGCCCGAACTTAACCATTTCTACATAGCCACAGCTAATTCTCTTCAAGTAAGTTCTAAATCTTTGAAAGTATCGCGCACAATGCTCGCGTTTGCCCACCAATGTGAGGGAGGATCGCTGTACGCAGTAGACTGACATCGCAACGCCAGAGTAGGGAGCAGCCATCGCGCTTTTCCATCTTCTGATACATAAGTGACAATTCTCTACTCTGATCTCAAGGTGGCATCATTCTCACAACAGATAGGTATTGAGAAAGACGATCGAAAACATCAGCCCACTATAGCTAGTCGTCATTTCGTGGGTATTCGCCGTAGAGAATCCTGGTTATCAAGCTATAACGAGTGCGTCTATCCTTTGGTCATCACACCACCGCCATTAGCACCAATCACTTGTCCCGTGATCCACCCAGCCTCAGGCATACACAGTAAGCCGACAACTCCTGCAACCTCATCTAGATACGCCGGCCTCCCACCCATGTCCTTCGCTGCAGCGATGGTATCTTCCGAGTCGATACCTTCTCTTGTCGCAGCCAGTGGCGCCATGTAGTTGAGCGACCAGACCTTCTCCAACATTTCTTTCGGTAGACCCGTATACATACCAGTAGCCATTGCACCCGGATTGATTGAGTTGACTGTGCAGCGTTCGGCGAGCTCTCGTGCCCATACTCGTGTCATTGCTTCGAGAGCGCCTTTAGTGCCAGCATAGCAAGATTGCCACCAAAAGCCCATTGATGTCGTTATGCTGGAGACATTGATTACACGGCCGGATCTATCATGGGGCATATATGGTAGTGTAGCCTGTAAAATAAATAACGGTGCGCGCGCGTTTAACGTGAAGGTTGCTTCGAAGTCTGACAAGGCAACTGAGCCCATTGGTGCTGGGTTGACGATGCCCGCGTTGTTTACTAGTATATCGATCTGAAACTTATCGCCGTCACTGAAAGCCGATTTCACCGCGTCGATCAGTTGGTTTGGGCCGTGAGGCGTAGTGATGTCGACCCTTACTGGTAATGCCCGGACGAAATGCTGTTGTTCTATCTCTTGGGCTAAAGTAGTCGCGAGCGTACTGGACGATTCTGAAGCGTAGTTGATGACGATATTTACTCCCTTGGAAGCCAGATGACGTGCTAAGGCAGCACCAAACCCTTTCCAACGCTTGTTAGCCCCATATTTGGGTAGCTATCGAAGAACAATGATGATACATACCCCGTGATGCGCCAGTGATTATCGCAAGTTTGTTTTCCAAAGGCCTTGTCATGATGCAAGTAGTGGTCGAGTTGACATGTTCTAGTCTAAGCGCGACCTTCTGAATGCTAATATGCATACACAAGTGACAGCAAACCTTGCATAAAACCCAACAGGTTGGTGGCGACATACCCTGGATGCTGCATATGGCATATCAAACATTTTTCAGGGACTCTGATCCTCCGCGGATGCGGAAGAGCATGGGTATGATCCAGCTCCGAGTTCACATGCTTGGCCAGATTAGCGGGAAGGAAATGTAACTCAAGTGTCAATCACACATTCGTTCGATCTTTCACGTTTCAACATCTCACAGCAAATTATCCTCATCCCGAATTGCACGTTACACTCTTCAGACCACCTTTTCAATCCAGTCTTCCACCATGCGGCTAAACAATCGCGTTGCCATAATCACTGGCTCATCCCAGGGGATTGGTAGAGAGATCTGTCATCAATTTTTCGTTGAGGGTGCATTGCTTGTATGCGCTGATCTTAAGCCAATCGGAAAAGGCGAAACTACTGCTACGCATGAATGGATTGTCAGCGAAGGCGGGCAAGCCGTCTTTGTCGAGACCGATGTCAGTGTAGCCTCCAGCTGGGAAGCACTCATAGCGAAGGCTGTCAAGACATATGGGAGGCTTGATATGTACGTATAAACTCGCATTATAGCCACTTATCTGAAGGACGTAAACTTATAGCAACAATTACAGTGTGGTAAACAACGCAGGCATTTGCGCTGAGGCTAGCAACCCGCTGCCCATCGATCAAGTCGACGAAGACATGTTCGACGCTCACATGCGCATCAACACACGAGGCGTTTTTCTCGGTTGCAAGTATGCCGTTCGACAGTTCAAGGTACAAGAGCCACGATCCAACGGTATGCGCGGCTGGATTGTGAACCTCGCTTCCATGGTCTCCAATATCGGAATGCAGGGACTTAGTAAGTCATCCCGCGCAGGAACTAGCGAGTGATTTGTTTTTAGCGTTGGGCTTACGTTTCCAGCTGGGTATACAGCGTCTAAGGGTGCCGTTGCAGCTATGACGAGAACCATTGCACTGGACGTCGCGAAAGGAGGCATTGTGGCCAATTGCATCGCTCCTGGATGTAAGTCAACTCTTTCGGTGTGGAATTGGTCGCCCTGACGCTCGTTATCAGTTTCTCAAACCGCCATGCTTGATGATGCGCTTGGTGGGGCCTTGTCCGCCGCAGCGGACGCTGTCAAGGCCTCCATTCCTCGCGGCAGCTTTGGGCACCCCACCGATCATGCAAGGGCTGCGGTGTATCTTGCTAGCGATGATGCGAAATGGGTTACGGGGCAGGTATTGAATGTGGATGGTGGCTTGACCGCGCAGTGAATCATTCTCCTGTAGCATTAGGATCGTTGCAAACATGACGGAGTCGTTGAGGCATAACGCATGTGCCGTGCTTGGGAAGGTCTGGACTGCCGTTCGGCTTTGCGAATAGAAACCTGTCTAGAACATCTGAGCTTTCGCGACTGATGTAGCTCCATACTGATTGTGGTTGTGCTTGCATGGTATGCAGTGTGCCGGGAGCGGGCATTTTTCAGGGATGACGCGCCACACCCCGTTTTGTCCGCTCTTCCGTCTTCCCCGCGGCGGGGATCCGGGTGGGTTCCCCCCGTTCCCCCAAGCTTTCCTCACTGTGACGACTTTTCTCCCCTCTCCCCGATCCGGTTCCCTATGAGTCTACTCAAGACCCTGTACCGCCGGTTGTGGCTCGTATTGTAGTGGGAATACTGGTTGTCGCTTAGAAGCCTCACCATGGGATCGGCAGAGTAACGTGGGGGGAAAATATGCGCCTGGACTCGAAAGTATCATTACCATGCCGCATCCTCGCATGTCACGTACGAGATTCACGCTTCATCGCCAGCCTCGGTTACGCGACCTTGTCACATCATAATCGGTGGCCTAAGCGAGCGTGCTTAGCAGCGCAGAGCCCTTGAACGTCTAGGATAATCCTGCGAGGTACTGCTTTGGGGAGTGAAAATGACCGCGACTGGGTCGTTGCTTCAGCAAGAGAGATACCCAACGTTGGAACGTGCCATCTCGTCTCAGGTTGCGAGGAAGATGTGTGTAAATCTCAAGAAAGATTTCATCATTGGGGATCACTGAGGGCGCCATATGTCAAGGGGTCCATGGAAGGGGGCGTTTTCAGGCAGAGGTGTCTAGTTGCACCGCAGACATAAAGTGGCTATGGAGAAGGGCACGAGAACTCACAAAGAGCTATGTCCGGTCCTACGTCTCCCCAGTTGGCATTAGCCGTCCTCGTTCTCTTACCATTCGATGTCCTAACTTGGGCTCTTCGTTTCCATGTCCGGCTTTCGCGAAAAGCATGGGGGCCAGATGACTGGTCTATGGTGGTAGCAATTGTGAGAGAATAGTTATCACAATGATCTATTACGAGTACTCACGTTCCACAGCCACTCTTCATCGTGTCAACCATGGGCATGCTAGGGATCGCTTTCACAGGAGGTGGGAAAAGGGACAACGAGCTTACTGCAGATGAGAAACAAACCGCAATGTTCGTACGTAAGATGAAAGATCTACTTAGTTGCTTCGCTGACATCTCACAGTGGTGGTTCATGATGCAGACCATGTTCTGTCTAGCTGCCATTCCAGTGAAATGGGCCATCTGCTTTACTTTGCTCCGCATAGCCAATGGCAAGAAGGCATATGAATGGTCGATATATACCATTATGGCCGCAGTCGCTGCCGTCATGGCTTCGACGACTATATATGAGTTCTTTCATTGTACACCTATTGCGATGAATTGGAGAGCGGTGGAAGGTGGCTCTTGTAAAGCTCAAAGCAACATCACTGGGTTCAGTTTTGCCCTCTCGGCAGTTTCCATCTTCTCGGATTGGTTCTGCGCCATCATGTAAGTTCGCTTGCGACTCAATGAGCTCTGTTAACTTATCATGTCACAGTCCTATCCCACTACTCTGGAATGTCCAGATCGACTTCCGGGTCAAGATATCCATCATCGCGCTCCTCGGCCTCGGTATATTCGCGTCAACTGCGGCCATCGTTCGTCTCACTGTGACTGTTAACCTTAGTGCGACAACGGACTTCCTCTACTACGCTATGCCAGTAGCGGCCTGGGCACATGCAGAGTTAGGTCTTGGGGTAGTTCTTGCCAACCTTTCGGCTTTGCGCCCGCTCCTCGAGAAGGTGCTCGACATCGGTTCCGCCTTGCGCAGCGGCAGCAAGAAGCGCACCGGCGATCAAGCGTCCGGCGATCGATATATGGAGCTCGAAGAGGGTATTCGCAATAGAAAGTCCGCAACGCTATCAAAAAGGCTGAGTGTCATGAAAGGAAACGGTGCAACAAGTAGAGGCGAAGAAGACTTAGACGGTAATTCATCCCTGGGAGAAGATGACAGGTCCACAAGAAACATTATGAGCACCGATGGACGACCAAACGCACACAGTATTCAGGTTGATCATGAGTATGAGGTCAGCTACGAGAGTGGAAAAGGCTCATGGAGAGCTTGAGTTATGATTGAAGAAACCTGAAAGTTAACGGTTGATCTATTGGTACAAAGAAGGGGCTCGGGGGTTTTGCCGTGATGGTGATTTTATAGTAGGCTGCGTGAATATGGTAATAAGCTATTATGGTTGAGCGCCTCCTACTGAGAGTATGCGTGAAGTGAATCTGCTCCAGGTCTGCATCTGTGCCCGAACTTCCGCATTCTATCCCTCCTAGGGCTGGCTTCTTGGGTTTTGCACATATACCTGTGATGATTGGGGACCTGTGGCTTGGGATGGAACAGGGCCCCTGTCGTCAACGCATAGCTAATTAGCCATTCTTGTGGTTAGTACCGACGCTCAGCAGTCGTGTAGCGATGTGCATCGCATCCTTGTCCGCCGCAGGTATCGTAGCCCTTGCGAACATCGGTCACCACTGATCATTGGACGGATGCCCCCACCGTCGACCCTTTATCAGTGTGTTGAGGCTAACATCAGGCGGCCTCGCGCCTTTTCGCGACTTGCGGCCTCCACAGTCGAGGCCAGATATGTTCATTGATCGGCGGGTATATGTTAGTCACTACCCTTGCGGATTAACGTACCTCAAGGTCTGTCTGAATACCGTGCATACGCTACTGCATCCAGTCACGAAGTGGCGAGTCTGAAGTTGATCCAAAGCATGACAAAGGGGTCGGTCGTATCTCCAGATATGCATATCTCTTTGCATGAATCATGATGCCATCTTGTCTTTGGCTAATATATCCCCCTAGTACACCGATATTGACTTGTATCCTCGTTTCTGTTTTTCGCATATCCTTTCCAGGTTTCCACAAATCAGCCTCATCAAACACAATGCCCAGTGTAGGAAGCGACAACAGTCCACCAGACATTGTCTCTGAGAAGGCGGTCCCAGAGACTGACAATCCTCTTACCTCCCTCGACTCCGAAGAGGCAGACAAGCTACGTTCTGAAGCACTTTCGACCGATGTTACCAAGCTCAAAAACGGCTATTTCTCCAGTCCAAGGATTGTAGGGTCATTCTTGGGAACGGGCATCGTCGTTGTTGCGACCTACTTCCAGTTTCAAGCCCTAGCTGCCGCTGTGTCTTCTGTCAACGCAGATATCGGACCCAGCGCCAATATCGCCCTTGTAAATACAGTATGGACTGTGTCACAACCCATCTCGCTTCTGCTGTTCGGTCGGCTCAGTGATCGCTTTGGTCGTCGCAACTTTGCCTTGGGTTCCTGTGTGCTTGCGATCGTCGGCGGCATAGTTGCAGCAACAGCACAGTCTATTGAGACGTTGATCGGAGCAGAGGTCATCATGGGTATTGCCTCTGGAGTACCAGCGGCTTATCCACTTCTAGCTGGTGAGCTAGTTAGCAACAAACACAAGTATATCGGCACTGCTCTGGTTGTCGTGCCTAATGTCATTGCAACGGGATTTGGGGCGTACATTGGCCTGCGGCTGGTCCAGGTGGCTAGCTGGAGATGGATCTTTTACATATATATCATGATGATGGGTAAGTCAACTCGAAAATGCCTGATTTTAACATACCAATGACAATGCGTAGTGCCCGGCGCTATCTTATGGTTCTTCTTTTACCACCCACCTTCTTATACCCAGCTCCACGGGAAAAGATCCAGCAAACTCGCAGAGCTTAAGAAGGTTGACTGGATGGGCGTCGGTCTTCTTGTGGCTGGCTTAGCTCTCTTCCTGCTCGGTATATCGTGGGGTGGTCCGGCGCAACCTTGGTCCTCTCCAAGAATTCTCGGTCTATTACTCTCGGGTGCTGCAGCCATCGTCGCATTCGTCCTTTACGAAGTCTTCTTGCCGCCAGCACAACCGATCGTTCCTATGTATTTCTTCCGCGACATGCGTGGCTTCACCTGTTTGGAGGTTATTTCAGCAACCTACGGCATCATCAACATCGCGCTCTTTGTCATGTGGTCGCAACAGGTTGTCTATATCTTCGGCTCGACTGTGAGCTCGTGGCAGGAGACCGCTTGGCTTTCAACGACAGCTGCATTCGGTCTTTGGGGAGGTATAGTCATTCTCGGGCCGCTCATGTCATGGATCGGTCACATCAGGTACCAGATCCTGATTTCCTCGATCTGGATGACCGCTTTTCTTGGTGCGATGGCCAGCATCACAGTAGAAGACAAAGCTCGCGCAATCGCTTTCTCGTTTCTCGCAGGCTGGACTATCGGGTGGGGTGAAGTCATAGCAGCAATCGTCGTACAGTATGTAGTCTCCGACCAAGATCTCGGAGTGGCGTTTTGTAAGTTTTCCCTTTCCATGTGAGATGTGCGATGCTTGCTAACAGTGCTCAGCTGTCATCTCAGCATCCCGTACCATTTTCGGTTCCATCTTCACTGCTGCCTTTATCGCAGTGTATACGAACAAGGTGCCAGGCTATCTCGCACTGATAGTACCGCAACGTGTTCTAGCGGATGGGCTACCTGCAAGCTCCTTGAGCGCACTTATGACGGCTGCAGCTACCGCCAATCAAACGGCTCTTCTCGAGATTGATGGTATGACACCGGAGCTGCTTCACACCACCAATATAGCTGTTAGCGACGCCTACTCCAAGTCATACGCCTATGTGTACTACTTTGCTGTAGCTATTGGAGGGCTCGCAATCATTGCATCGCTATGTATGCGAGACTTTGATGAGTATTTGACCGGCCACGTGTCGAGGCAGCTATACCACAAGAGAGACACGAGTACTGATCCACTGGAGGTAACGACGCGAGAAGTCGATGAAGTTCAGGATGGTGATATTGAGGGCAAGATGACAGGCTGAGATCACTGATATCTGTAGGAGGTCAGGCTTGGAATTAACCTTCAGTACGAATGACTTTGTGCGCTGTAAGGTTTACGCTATTCAGGTTTCGGCGCTTCATGGGAAAATACGCTGTCTTTACCCCAGTCACGATATACACTGAAGTGCTTTTCAGATGCGGAAAGGCTTAGCGTAGAAAATGCCGTAGAAGAAGCTCCTCTTTCTTCCTGTAGAACTTGTGATTTGATTTACGCGATATATGGCAGGAACATGTGGGACCAACGCAGAGGCACCACTTACGCTGAAAGAGCATAATCCGGGTTCGAGAGCCGAGCGGCCCGAAGAGAGCGTGATGCCAACGAGGTTGAAAGCGGAAGGGACGTTTGGTGTCCATTTCCTGGGACGATACCCGCCGAAGCACTAATCGCATATGTCATCGAGCCTTGGCGTGTCGTCATTCAAGTCGTTCACGACGCGCTTGTTTCGCGTCAACATTGTTGCTCTGAACGCGCAACTAAATTGCTGAAACATACACGTTCGTATTCTGGTCACTAACCATATGCTAGTCACGGTTCGACGGGTCTTATCTCTTGCATCCGAGTCTCGATCCGCCGCCGTCTATCCCCTACCGCGCGTTCGCTGACGCTGGGCCACTGCTCCGCTTTCTCCGACTTTCGCGACACCGGCTGTGCTATAGACTCGTATACTGTTGATGGAACTCGACAATTCTCAATTCCATCATCCCACACCGACTCGTCCGCCGAGCTCGAAACATCGTCATCGGCGTCCAGCGCCCGCTGCCATTTTTCTGCCATGTGCAGCACATATCCTGCAGGCTTCAAGTTGGGCTTAGCATTAGCATCGATGCCTTTTTTCCAAGCCTCTACGGCATTGTGATCAAGACTCTTTATCTTGACTGTTGCATACTCCTTAAGGTCGTATGGCATGTTTAGACTCATGTTATCATCTGAACCGACGATGGAGACATGCGCCTCTGCTGCTGCTGCCAACTGAGCCTCATGTGTTGCTTCTGCGCGTTTCACTAGTCCGGCAAGCCCATAACAAGTCCGAACATGATCACGGCTGAACTCTTCCTCCAAAAGATGCTTTGATGCATCTGGTCGATCGACAACACCAGCAACATATGCCGCGAGTCCTCGTCGGAAGGTGTCGCGATGCTGCTCGTGCCGTCTTTGAGCTTCACGCAGCTCCCGACGTGCTTTCTTCTCCTCTAATTGGATGTAGGCCCGGATGTTCTCTAGTCGTCCTTCAAGGGCGCCTCTGCTATCATGCTGGTCCTTTCCAGACAAGAGCTCGCCTATCAGTCCGCATTGCACAAAAACATCCTGGAGGATATCCTCCACTGATAACGTAGCATCTTCCCAGGCTTGACGAGCAAGTTCGGCAACTTGTTCCAACCTTGCTTTCTCCTCTTTGAACGTCCTTTTTGCTTTATCTAGCTGGTTCGCCTCCTGCTGCATGCGCTGGACGACCTTGTTCTCCTCAGGGGTCGGTTTTCGGTCTCCCTTGAGCTTCACCATACCTCGCATGCGTTCAAGAAGATATTCTCCAAAGATCTTGTTTTGCCTCAGTGCCTCATCCATTTCCCGCAATGGTGCGTCTTTTGCGCGCCGATATGCCCGCCCAGCTGACACCTGTTTTTCAATCATCTGAGCTAGCACATACGAAACTTTCATCATCATTATTGGCGGCTTAGAGCCAACCTTTTTCAACAGGAACATTTCCGAAGTTCCATTAGCGTAGAGCTGCTCGACACTTGCCTGGCTTCCAGTATCTTTATCCTCTATTCTAATTAAGGGAGACCTCAGACTTGCGTGACCGTCCTTGCTTGTGTCTTTGGGATCATTTGTAGTTTCTGGACCCTTGTCCATCTCTACTCCTTTGCTCGGACACAACAATTTTTTATCGGTTGAAGATTTACTTTCTTTGTTGTCATGTTCGATAGCTGGTAGCTCTTGCTGAATATCATTGTCGAATTTGGCGCGTTTATTTTGTTTTTCTTCCCCTGCTTCTCTTCCACTGACGGTTTCCGCATCATCCACTGTGAGTTCTCGTTTTCGGTTACTCTCGATCTTACTAGCTGCGTGTTGGGCGTCTCGCTGACTATAGCCATTCATGTTAGCCATACTGTAGTATTTGTATCGAAGGCTCAGGAAGGGTTGATGCTCGGTAAATGTATGGTCCAAAAGGAACAAAGCACCATTTCGCATTGTCTGCGCATTGTTCTTCATCATCTCTCTAGTGCGTGAGCTATTATTCCTCGATGAAGTACAGTCGAGTGGTTATCATCTCATCAATACTCTGAAGATAGCTACCAGTCACTCAAAACATGTGAGCAACAACGTCTACGTTGTACCTTGCACCGATCTGCTGGCATCCGTGTCTCCGAGTAGGGCGATCGATCGTTCGGCGGACGTTGTGAAGAATACCACTCTGTCACCAGCGACGGTAAGATCATTCCGCTTCCACTCTCAATGTTGACGAACTATGCTTTTGTTTAAGTACGTAAAGGCACTATCAAAGATCACCACAAGAATATTCCCACGGTTCACATCAAATCTTACCACAAGCATACTACAATCTCTGTAGTCCTGAATTAAACCAGGGTGCTTCGATCTTGTTTCCTTCCCACATTCAGGCAGCTGTCTCCATTAGATTGACAATGGGAGGCCATATCAATAGAGTCCATCCACGGGGACCCTCAGGTGTTAACAGACCGCTTCCAAGGCGCCGAAGCGCAAGGTATTCGAGACTCATAAGAAGCGATGAGGAATTGGACAGACGCCTAGAGCTAGCGCTGCCAGTTGGTTGGGACGGTCTGATCATCGATCAATATCCTGACGAACAGACCGAAGCGGTTTATCTTGTCAAAGCTTCAAACATCAGGCAAGAGCGCATACTAACAGAACAGCAGATATCTGAATTCAGGCCAGGCGATTTGGTACTCGCAAGCGTCCATGAACCGACTACTGATCCTAAGAGCAGAGTTGGAGATGACAGTATCACAGCCACGATGTTTGGCAAGGCAGTGTCTAAAGATCGTTTCCACATTCTGCTGGAGAAACATCCCAAGCATGGGGTATTCGCTCCAATCGGATCACGCGGTTCAAAGGGATTGCACGGCCTCAGTGAAACGGAGCGACTTTGTCGAGTTGGCTTTCGTAAAGCAGGAGAACATTATGATCGTGACAGACTTACCGATGAAGACCCTGAGTTTTTGTCCCTGAACGTTCCCGTGGAGCTTGCACAGGGCGTTCTGGATCGTTGGTCGTTCTTGGATCTCTCTTACCGAACGTCATTATATTGGTCCTCAAACATTCGATTCAGAGGATACCTTCACAGATCAGATACACGAAGGGTACTCGAACTTTGCGAAAGTATGAGCCGTGTCAACTTAGCGTCAAGTAATGGAGCTACGCCATCAATCTCTCCTCCAGATAGGAACGCTGTCACAAGGCCTGACTCACCTCGTAGTGCCGATTCTATAGAACAAGACATCGATCTTGGCCCAGTTCTCTGGGAGATGACAGGTCGAAATGACTACGAACAATCAACTTCCGACAAGCCAGACTTGGACGATAACGACGACCCGGATCGACCGAAAGGCACAGCAGAAGAACAAAAGAGGGCATTTACCAAACGGAACACGGAAGTTGCATCAGTCGTTCAAGACCTAGTGAGAGCCGAAGAGAAACTCTTCAAGGATGTGAATGATGCCACTCTTCTCGCAGCCCAGGCGGAGATACATGCTAGAAGAGCACTGATAGATTATCAGGACATGATGTCGGCCGGTACAGCAGGAGAGCATGCCCTGGAGCTTTTCAAGAATGCGGCCGAACAAGCCGTACTAGATCGTGATACGGCACGAGAGAAGAGGGACAGATTGACTGCATCAGTTGAGGAGGTACTGGCGCATCCAGAACTCAGGCCCCGCGTACCTGCTGGCACAGACATCAACGAACAGCGACTGACTATTATCAATAACGCCACCAAGTCGCTTCAGGATCGACTACAGAGTATCGCCAAGCAAAAGTAAGTGTTTATAGTTGGCCCGCTTACGTCACTAGACATGACTAGTCACGGCCATAGTCAAACGTAATATGTTGACTTGCTACAACTGGCATTTGGCATCGAGAATGCTCATCAGTGCTATCAACTAGCAATGTGTACGTTTCCTTTCTTTTGCGTTCAAGCGTTCATTAGCGGTAAGCAATGAGATTCATCAATTGCATTTGTCCACTGACGAGTATTGCATGATGATTATACAACAGCTCTTCCCGCCAATATAGTGACAATGGCAAGTCATCACGGTGACTCCCATGTGAAACATTGCAGTAGCTCCCAGCACAACACAGGAAATTAGGAAACTGGGCATGAAAATGTTCATATTCGTAGGACATTTACAACGGTCTTGAAATAGGACATAATAAGATATTGGGTATTATCGCATCAAAACATCGTCAACTCCACAGCGCCTCGCTCTTGTTCTCTTACAATAAATTCATGCTCGCGTCAAGTTCGATCCCTCGAAAGCATCATACCATCCCTTCATCTCCCACCTCCGTGACTGCAACCATTGCTTCGTCTTGGCATTTTCGTAGATGTACGGCTGCTTCCACCACTTCTCATGTACACTGACCAGACCTTTAGCAATGTCGTTGTCGTTGGGGCAACGGATGTTCCAGGTATAGGCAATCTCCCGCCAAGGCATGGGTCCGTCCCAGCGATGCGCGTGGTTGATAAGGTTTTGCTCGGGATATCGGGGGTCGAAAGAGCCGGGTGTGTTGAGTAGCGTCTTGTAGTACTCGAAGACGGGAAGCGAAGGCGCGAGGATGAAGAACCCGGCGTTCATGTTGCCGGGGCCCTTGAGACCTGTGCCATGTGTAGGCGGGAAAGCATGGGACGAGTCCCAGACTTCGGAGTTGGACGCGAGGAGGTAAGTTGAGGGCAGATCGGTATCGTTGGACGGCTTGGTAGCGAGAAGTTGAGCGGCGGGGTCGTCGAATACTGGGTCGAGATTCTTGAGCAGCATGGAGTCGCCGTCCATCACGACGATGCGATCGTACTGGGTCATCTCCCAAACACGCAGCTTAGTCATTACGTCGTCCCATCTGTGCACCTCGGGATGGACCCAACTATCGTTGGCAGTGTGCAGGAATTCTACAGCATGAACGATGGCGCCATCCTTCTCCAGCCGGTCGCGTCGTGCCTGGGTGACGGTAGGAGTGACCATGACAATGACATCATGCTTTGTGCGCGTCTCAGGTTTATGAATGAACTGCCAGATGAGGATACGGATGGCTTGGAAATATTTGTCGTCCTCCAAATTGTCTGCATCGCCATTTGGCTTAAACAGGTCGTCGCCTTCAGTGGGGACTCCCGTGAGGAAAGTAACGTATGCTAGCTTTTCCGGCCTGTCGGTAACAGTGACGTTGGCTTCGAGATAGGGCGGTGGTGTGGGAATCGGTGGCGGCTTCTCGGGTTCGGCGGCTTTGTGGCTGATTAAGGCCGGCAAAGGAATTTTGTCGAATGCGCGCGTTTCTACAGCGAGAAAGATGCATGTCGACAATATCACTACTGTCGCCAGTGTGATCCGGATCCATCGAGGGCTTGTGAAGATGTTCCAGGGGCTTGGAGACTTCATCCAGGCGGGCTTTGACCCACCCATGGACGCCAGCATGCTGAAGATACAAAGAAGTGCAAAGTCTACGCAAATTGACAGCAGCGCAGCAGGCTGTATTTCAATCTCATCCCTTTCCACTCCGGTCCCGTAAGCCCTGCCGCATGTGGTTGGACAGCATATTATGCCAAGGGGCAAACCCAACGGGAGGTAGCAGTGACCGTTCGTGAGTCGTGCAAGCCCTGGACAATCCTGCGCTTTGGCCAGACCCTGTCGGACGCTGACAGGCCTGACATTGAAAGCTTGGCGGTAATGCAGAAGTTTGATTAGTTGGTAAGCACTTAGCGGAGATGATCTTGCGCCTTAGCGGTATTTTCAGACCAACTCAGCCCTAGCCGACGCGGTTCCCTGGGCATGGTTGCCTACCGAACAACGTTCAAAAGAAAGGGCCGAACACGCTGCTAATTAAGACTACCAATGCAGATTACATTCCATCATCGTCAGTGAACGTCTATATGAGATGACCTCGAATGGAACGGAGGTAACCGATGTGAGTTCAGATGTGTACTTCGTATTGATATTCTCGCTAGACCGCCAAATTTAGCTAAGCCTATGCTTGTCGTGCCACGACTTTAACCTTGGAACACGCTACAATGGGCGCCTAACAGGGAATTCAGCAAAGCGTGTACTTTTGAAATTTGAAGGAAGACAAACGTCTGCAATAAGCAAATTCTGCTCGTGAGTAGCTCGGCCGCAGTTCCAGACGTTCAGGCTAATCCGGCCGGAACTACGCACGTCCACAACTGGGCTAATTTGGTTTGAGTGCACGCTGAAAAGAAACGCGACGCGGTGACAGCGCATGCATGTCTTGCAAGGTTGAGCAAGGTATCGGCATAGGCCGTTGACGCCGATGCCGTGCACTGCCACCCAGTCAAGCTTACACCTGTTGCGCAATGATCACCAGGAGTGGGGCATGCTGGCTGTCAGCTCTACACGACGAGACATGAACACACACAGAGTGAAATAGGTAAGTAAGATCGACTTATCTGGTCATGCTAGTTAGATACGTTAGCGATTGGCGAACATTGGGTCGAGTTGACATGTATAAGGCCTCCAGATGTCGCAGTATACGTACGCTCCTCTCGCAGACTCGCAAATCCGGTTCCTTCGCATACAACGACATGCAGCCACTCTGCAGCTAGTATGTGACTTAGAACGGGTTGTTGTCCCTTTCGGCGATGGATACACGGCGCTTTCGTATACATGGGGTGACCTTACGCCGACGCGTAGCGTTCTCATCGAGGGCAGAAATCACGATGTTCCTCAGAACCTTTTCGATTTTTTTCAAGCCTACCTCGTCGCTCATCCCGGGGGATCATCATACAATGGGAATCTTTGGGTTGATCAAATATGTATCAATCAGCTTGATCATGATGAGCGGAGCCAGCAAGTGAGCATGATGGATAAGATATTTCGATCAGCGAGCAAGGTGCTCATCTGGTTAGGATGTGAGCCTACTATGGTCGAAGCTGCGCGACAGGTGCGGTATGGCGATGGCGACACTAGTAATGCTGTCGCGACATTGTTGCATCACCCATACTTCTCAAGGGTCTGGATTGTCCAGGAAGTTGCGCTCGCACGCAAAAAGGTTATTGTATGTGGGGACGTGCAGCTCGAATGGAGTGACTTGCTTGATGCTGTAGCAAAGCACTTCGACGTCTTGGACCGCATACCAGCAGTGGTCCATGAAAAAGAACACTACAGAACGCTGGAGATGTGTTTGTACAAGTACTGTTGGAACGACTGTCACGACCCGCGGGACAAGTTGTACGGTCTACTTGGTCTGAGTGCTGAAAGGTGGCGCATCAACGTCGACTACAACAAGCCACTACTGGAGGTATATCTGGACGCTATCTGCGCGGTCTGCGAAGAGCTATTCGACATCCTGGACCCGGACTGTTTCTACGATAGATATATTGAGTACCCCGTCAACCTCGAAAACTATCGCACAACACTCCTTGCTTTGGGTGTAGCGATGGGTTTTCCTAAGAATCAGCTCATGGGCCTAGGACCTTTCATCGAAGCAATCCAAGCAGTGTACCACAGCACGTATTTACGAAACATCTCGTTCATTTTCACTGGGCTCCTCCATTCGAAGGAACGAGAGCAAGACTGTGCGTATGATGTGACACACCCGAAAGCAAACATTACAGTCCGTTGGGGCTCGATTGTTGCAACCCGGCGAAATCCTTTCGTGCGCGACGTCATCCCTCGGATGGGCCTACAAATAGCCTCAGCTTCATCGCAGGACGACGTGCATGGCGAAAATGATGATGAAGGACCAGCCTGGGATCGATGGTGGTTCGAGCACAACGGTAGGACGCAATACTTCGTCTGCCCACACACAGACGAGGTTGCGCTGTCTAGACCGGCAGACTCTTGAGGTATTCCTTGCCGCTAACGCTTCTAAGTGCCAGTGTTTCGCGACACTCGTGTCCGGAAATCATAGCTGGTAGAATTCTGTTTCTCAGAAGCCATCCTTGTGTTGATCCTCAGTGTATTGGAGATGGAGTCAGGAATCGCTGTCCATCTCGAAGGAATCGATGCTAGAGTCTGCAGCCTGGCCTTGGCCGCTCAATTGATGCTAATTGAGGCATTATAATAAGGGTCTCGAATCTTAGCGAGAGGATGGAGATGTGCCTCTGGGTCTGCTGGAGGCCTGAAATCTGTAGGGCAATGATCATTGGCTTTTGCTGAGCGCTCGAATCTTGGCTTGAATGATGAGCAGTATACAGACTCGGTGGCTGTACTCGGGGTACGTTCTGAAACTGCCATATCCGTCTTTATAGCCTGCCGTTTTTGAAGGATCTTGCCGTCATTCGTGGAACCTCGGACGGCTCGTGGAGGCTGTGCCTCGCCATCGGTAAAAGGCGCCCACCGCTCCTGCATGCCAAGACTTCGCGTAACGTCCCATTAGCGCCTCGAATCTGGACCTCCCCTTGACGCGCTCAGGGACTCGGTCTCGACTACCCCGATCAACACATTAAGCGAGTTTTGCGCTATGAAGTACGGGATCTCAGCATCCTGGTTCAGACGATGGGACGATCCAGGTTCATATTCTTCCTGTGGCTCAGCTTCGGCTAAGCCTCTTCCTCTCCACAGACATGAGGCTGAGCTCGTTGTAGGCAGCCGGCTGTCGTGTTAGCCGTCTACATACAACATGCAACGCTGCAATGCAGTCCTGCAACCATTGACTTTGCCTTTTTCACTAACAGCCTCGAGGTATACTACTATTCGAGAACCAGGATGGAACGATATAGCATTCCCACATACCAAACACAGCCATTGGACAGGAATAGAAGAGAGATCCGGCTGCTACATCTTCACCCACGAACCACCGATCACATAACGGCTACATTGAGCGTAGCAGATCTCGAGAGCGCTGCTGAGGCTTACTCATGCGTTTCCTATGTGTGGGGAAATCCGAACGAAACGGTACCAATCGAAGTAGATGGGCATGAGATGCAGATCACGCTTAACCTGTTTGACTTTCTGCATCACATCAGAGATCCTAATGATACCATCATCCTTTGGGCGGATGCTATCTGCATAAACCAAAACGATCTGGGAGAAAAGTCCCACCAAGTGGCGATGATGGGGGACATCTACTCTAGATGTTCAGTCGTGCACGCTTGGTTGGGCACGCCCTCGTCGAAGATGGTACCGGAGATTAATCCATTCGCAATGTTCGAACATATTGCGGATGGAAAGCATTGGCACGATCTTCCGGGCGTTCTTGAAGAGGGAAATGACGAGGGAGAACCAAGTGATGTGTTCGTTGATCAAATGGCTGCGTTTCACCTAATTGCTGACAGTGCATGGTGGACGCGATCATGGACTGTTCAAGAGATCATACTACCCACATCCGGTATTTTGTGGTATGGATCACATAGCATGACCTGGGGTCGCTTTGCGCTAGTTTTCGAAAGAGCAAACGCCGCATACGTTCATTGCTGCACAGAAGGTACGGAGGCGACGAAACACTGGGGCTCAAAAATGGATAAGTTCAACCGGTTCATGTCCAGCATTGCGGTCATCGATAAATTGCGACAGTATCGACAACAGCCGACAGAACAAGTAGTCGACGTCCTGTCCAGCAACGAACAACCACCATCATTTCACAACATCTTACTTTCCTTCTCAAACCGACAATGTAAAGACCCTCGCGATAAGATTTTCTCGGTCCTCGGTTTGGCACCCGCGCGGATGTTTGATGCATACACACCCAACTACCAACAACCATTGATGGATTGCTTCACAGACGTCTATCGAAGAATGTTGGAGTACGACAACGATACTTCAAGAGTCTTGTTGGGTAGAGGGTTTGGACCATATAATAAAGGCTTGCCATCTTGGGCCCGTGACCTCTCCAAGCAACATGACGGGCAAGATTGGGAGGAGACCAGAGCGCGGCTTTCTGGCTTATACGATTGTTCCGCAGGGTCGTCAAACACAGTCACTGTGAAAGATGGCAGAGAGCTTCACACCAAAGCTAGAAAGGCCGACACCATCCGAGTTGTAGGCAAACCACACCGACTACAGAAATCTGGTGTGGCTTCACAAATTATAGCCATACTACAGTCGTATGAGTTGGCGTCGGAGACTTTGACCTACACCGAGGAGGCGCATCTAAACAAAGCATTCATGCGGACTATCTGTGCAACAATCACACAAGACGTGGAAAACAGTGGGCAATGGAGGAGATGCGAAGACGATGACCTGCCCAGCCCCGAATCTTGGCTCAACCTTCTGACAGGAGAAGGTTACACGTTACCTTACACGTTTACATCAGCAATGTTGTTGGCCACGGAAAATCGTTGCTTATTCATTACAGAAGCGGGAAACCTTGGAATGTGCTACCCTGGGACGAAACCTGGAGACGAAGTTTGGGCCTTGTTAGGTATGAATGTACCCTTCGTGCTGCGAAAGGCACGTGGAAAGCATCAGCACGAGGATACATATCACTTGATGGGAGACTGTTTTCTGCTTGATCAAATGGATGGAGAGATTATGCAAAATGGCGAGGAGTCAAAGTCGATAGTTCTGGTTTGATCTTACTACGGGCGAACGCTAGGTGCATGACAAGACATGCTGTCAACTGACTCAAATGCAAACACCGAAGACAGCTCTTCCTGCACATCTCTGAATAAATGTTCTATAGATTCAATCTCGATTAAATTATCTTCTATAACTAGATGCAGAAACGAGATACATCGTGTATGACTTGAACGACGGAGATTGCTTCACAAGTTGAAGACGGGATTACCGCTCTGATGGAGCGTTCCTACTTGCTGACCGATCTTGGAATTATAGTTATTGAACGCTGGGGCTCTGTGGTCCTATTCGAGAGGTCAATCGTCGACCAGATGTGTACAGTACGGGATTCAGATACTAACCTTCGATGTCAACATTTGGACAACAGCTTGATGGAGGTCTCCGTCCTGTTGCGCGATGACGTCTTTGAGAGCAGAAACACAATCTCCAGAGCCAATAGTAGAAGCTTCAGTCGTGCAAAGCCTGCGCTGTTCTTCGCGTGACGCAGGAAAGCATTCCACGAGATCATTGACAAGATCTGTGACATCTTCAAGCAATACCCTGAAGCGTTTCCTCTCATACAATGCCCATTGCACTTTCGGTCGTAAAGGCGTGCTGTTTTGACGCTTGATGGACATAGCGCGCATCTTCTCGTGTAACGACTGGCCTGAGGCCTCCAGGTTTGTAGCCACGTCAAGGACCTTAAGGTCCCCGTCGATCTCCCCCATACGGCTTTGGTATTTCTTGGACTTACTCTCCATTTTTGCAAAGAGGTCCATTATCTGCCCTAGCACATTTCCAGCTTTTTCAATATCCTCTGGAGGGCCTGTCGCTAGTTTGATTGCGTGAGCATTGCTCAAGTCGCCATCCAACCCAACAGACTTGCCCCAACGTGAAAGTCGCAGCCGCAGAATATCTAACTTGAGCAGGCTGACTTGGAAATCAGTACCGAAAGCGCTACCGAGCTGGACGTATTCGAAGCAGTCTACGGCGTTGTTGAAGAGACCAGCCAGGGCGACGATGCCAACAGCAAGACCAGCCGGCTCCATAGTACCTACTTAGACAATGGTAATGATGACAGAAAAAACAATCGCACGATGATTTTTTGCAGACCTGTTAGAAAGCGGCGCGGTTCGGCTTTTCATTTCCTGTGTTCACGCGAGGCTGAAACGCTGCCCGCAGCCTGTTGCTGCATGATCCTTCAGCCCCTTGGAGGTCTGCCTCGCGAAGCACCTGTCCAACTGCTCAAGCTCTACCGTCCGTTCAATGTGTTCCCGGGCTGAGACAGAGTCGCACTACCTGCTTGTACCGCCCTGTTCTGCCTCTGGTCTGTCACTTTTGTTCGTCCTGGCTGCTCGGTGGGCATGAACGCGCACGCGACCGCCCAGACTATTGGCTTCAACAACGAGGGTGGGAGGATCGCTATACAGGCGGCGGAGTACCATGTCCATGGAGACAACATCGTAAAGTATACAACATTACTTCATACCGAGATTGGCGGTCGCTAAGAAAGCTGTAGTCAAGCACAAGAAGGTGGTCTGGAGAAACTACCGTACGCCGCCGAAGCGCCGTTCAACGCGTATATCCGGCAGCACGATCCGGAATGCCTCCCCTTCACGCGAACAGCGCTCTTAGACGACATATATGCCTGGACTGATGGACACGATAAGCAATGCGTCTACTGGCTAAGCGGTTTAGCTGGTACCGGAAAGTCAACAATTGCACGGACCGTAGCTCGTAGGCACTATGAGCGGAGGAGCCTAGGAGCCAGCTTCTTCTTTACCAGAGGCGGCGGCGACCTTGGTCATGCGCGTAAATTCGTAACAAGCATTGCCGTTCAGCTTGCATACAATGTTCCGGTATCTCGTCAGCACATATGTGACGCGATTGCAGAGCGCCCTGATATCTCGAATTCCACGTTGCGCGACCAGTGGCAGCAACTCGTCCTTCGTCCGTTGTCCGCGCTCAACACTTTGGGTAACATCACTGCTTTAGTCCTGGTCATCGATGCTCTGGATGAATGTGATGATGATGACGATATTCGGATAGTTATCGAATTGTTGGCCGAAGCGCAAGCACTCAGCGGACCGAAAGTGCGCGTATTCTTGACAAGCAGGCCTGAAGTAGCGATCCGGCACGGCTTCTACGACGTGCCAGATACATCACATCAGTGTTTCGTGCTGCATCACATCGCATCCTCTGTTGTCGATGCTGATATCGAGCTCTTCTTGAAGCACAATCTTGCAATCACTGGTCGAGAACAACGCCTGCCCGCTGGCTGGCCCGGCTCTGAGATCGTCGCAAAGATGGTGCAGAGGTCCAATGGTCTCTTCATCTGGGCTGCAACCGCCCACCGGTTTGTTCAACAAGGCAGACGTTTTGCGGCATGAAGGCTGGAATCCGTCATTGAGAGTGACACAAACACGCAAGCAGAACCCGAGAAACACCTCGATCTAATCTACATGACCATTCTGCGAAGCTCGCTTCGCCCAGAGTATTCAGAAGCAGAAGCAGAAGGAGAAGAGCATTGCAAGAAACTAAGATATGTTCTTGGGACCTTGGTAGTATTGAAAGAGCCTCTCGCAGCGGAAGCCTTAGAGAAGCTGCTAGGTGTTGTAGAAGAAGGTATCGAGTCGATAATCGAAGACTTACATGCCATCCTTGATGTACCAGGAGATAAATCAAGACCAATACGTCTTCATCATCCTTCGTTGCGCGACTTTTTGCTCAACGAAAGCCGATGTACCGACGCGAGATTCTGGATAGACGAAGCACAAATACATACTGCATTAGCATCGCGTTGCATAGCACTGATGACGAGCTACTTCAAGCAGAACGGAAGGGTTGATGATCAAATGATAAAAAGGAGGGCTGAGAACTTTTTCTCGGCCATGATGAACGCGTTAGAGGAAGCACAGATGTCACATGAAGAGGAAAATAAGGTACTTAAAGAGGAAAATAGGGTACTTAAAGAGAAACACAAGGTACTTAAAGAGAAACGTAAGGTACTTAAAGAGGAAAATAAGGTACTTGAAGAGAGATATAAGGTACTTGAAGAGAGATATAAGGTACTTGTAGAAAGATATAAGGTACTTGTAGAAAGATATAAGGTACTTGTAGAGGAAAAGATGGTATTGGAAGCAGACATCTTGAAGCTGAAGGAAGCGAACCATGCCGAAGACCTATCAAGCTATCCCAGAGATAAGTATATGAATCCGAAGCCCCCAGAGCGAGACCTGGGAGCCGGGAAGTGCTATGCGAGACTTATATTTGAGAGGGTCCACTCCGTCCGTCACGCGTATGGGGAGTTCTTTAAGCAGCTGGAGGCCTTCGCCAAGAGGCGTGTGGACGTCTCGGGTGGGCGTGCAGACTTTTTGAGTGAGGATGAGGACTTTTTGAGTGAGGATGAAGACTTCTTGGAGGGGCTGGAGGAGAGCTTATTGAAGCACCACCCGCATGGGCTGGATCGACTTATAGAACTTGAATCAAGAGTAAGTCATGACGACGAAGCATTATATTCTGTCGAGCTACGGTACGCAGTGTCCAACTGGGCTCGTCACTTCAAAAAAAGCGGAGCGAGGTCCGTGGACTATGGAGAAGCCCATGTCTTCCTTGAGAAGTATCTTCTGGACTGGCAGTTGACATTGATTCACTACGGGAATTTTTCTGAAGAAGCAGGCAACACGAAGTATCTCATAGACTGTGTTCCTGTAAGTCTTCCAGCAGATGTTCGCGCGCAGATACTAAATGTACCTAGGAAGACAATGCTCCTCTATTTAATGCTTTCCTTCGGGAGAATATTACAGAACGCTCAAAAGCAAGGTGGGAATCGATGGGCACATTGTTGTACCTCTGGCACAATGGGGGATTCTGCAAGGAGATGTGGGAATTGATGAGAGCGAAATCATTATCCGATTGCAAGTTTTGAATATCTTACACCAAACCAGCTGAGAAGATATATGCCCAACCACCGGTGGATGGCAGGGGGTATCGTAGACCAAAAGAAAACAAAATCCAACCCAACAGCAAGACGAGAACAAAGACATGCTCACTAAAAAAATAATCGCAATCTAGCACCAAAGTGATAGACAGATATGCCACCCGTTTCCAAAGTCCCCACCCCAAACACACAACCAACCGACCACATCCACATTATAGGTATATCCGCGGGGTCATCGTGTCGTGATCAAATCGCGTCCATCGTCTCATCTCCTAGCATCGCTTTCCCTCCTATTACTCGGAGCAACACTGCTCTCTCTCCTATTACTTGGTGCAATACTGCTCGCCGCAATACTAACAACATCGCTCATGCTATCCTGATCCCTCTGGTAGCTATACTGCATACCCTCGCCAGGGCCTTTGAACCCGTTGTCCCAAGCGGAGATGCGCGAAAGAAGCCTAAACACCCATTAAAACGATTCTTAAGCACACGGCAAAGTGTGCGCATTTATATGCGGAGTGGTGAGCGCTCACCGATCGTCTGGCGGACCGTAGTACTCTTCGGGAATGAGCTCGTAGTCGCCTTCGACGGGGAGGTAGAAGGCGGAGACGGCGATGCCGACGGAAGTCAGGAAGAGGATGGTCCAGCTGGCGGTGCAGAGAGACCACGAGAGGTCAAGGTGCCAGCCCTTCCAGAAGCGGTCGTCGTTGTCGAAGAGGAATGCCTGGAGGAGTTAGTACTGCGCATTGCTTTGCTTCTGCGATATGGACCCTGCAGCACGCAGGGACAACGTACCACTATGGCCATGCCGGCGCACTGGACGATGGCGCTGAAGGAAAGTACGCCAACGGCCACCTGCCAGCCTGCGGCCCTGCGCTGCACCCCACCAGAGATGATGACAATGAAGGATACGATGGCGCATAGCTCAACGACGACGCCAAAAGATGTCAGGAAACCGACGGTCCTCCACATATTGCAGAAGGACGGGTCCTTTGTGCAGTCGCTCATCTTGGGGAAGGGAACGCAGGTGCCTGTGACGGCGGAGCAGCGACTGTGCAGGCCGTACGAGTATTCGCGCTCGCCGTTGGGACTGTAGCTGACCCATCGCGGCATAGATATACTGGCGATGGTCATGATGGTGCCTGCCTAGTCAGTCGCTACTTCCTCTTTCAAGTGTTGTCGTCTCTTACAGGCCAGTGTGAGGATGAGCCCCACCCCATATACAATTCTTCGCGTCATGGTGGATGTATCAACAGTGTGTCTTTAGAGGTAAGATGTCGAGGTGAGGAAGAAACAAGTCCGAATTTCTTGTCGGATCGGTGGCGCAATGCGAGGAGCTGAGGGGTTTTTGATACGGAGGGATGCGCGATTAGGTGTGAGGCGTGCAGCGTGCAGGCAAGAGGCTCTAGGCGGCGGTACAAAGGGTTGCAGGCGTGCAGGCGTTCTCTGCGGAGGCGCCACCAGCGGATCGACGCAAAGGCAAGGAGATGCGATCACAAGTAAAGGTTCTGACAGGTGACAGTGTTTTGAGAGGAGACGCGGGGAGCGGATTGAGCCGGGGCTACAAGTCGGTCAGGTCAGGACACCATGGGCGTGATGATGGAGGGTGTGAAAAACGCTGCTCTCCCGTCTCAAGTCGCGCTAGGAGGGGAGGTGCACTCAATGACGACAAGGGTGAGCTCGGACGCCTTTCCCCACGCATACGCGCGAAGACCACCCTGGGGCTTTCACCGCTAGGAATACTTTCTCTACATACTGATAGCGCACCGCGCCTTGTGGGTATTGATAGCCTCGTCATGTTTGTACCTTCGCATTTGATATTTATGCATCATACTAGAAACATTACCCCTCCAACACACGACCACACGGTGATTGTTGGGGCATGCGGGCGCAGACTGTGTGTATCGCATTTGAGAATAGCGGTGTCAAATCCCATGTTGTGCTTTGCGCCGCCCTCCGATCGCCGATCATGTCGTGATAGACTCTGCCATGATCCTAGGCCCTGTTACTTCCTTGGAAGTTAACTTACATCTTTTGCCAGTCTGGGTAAGTCAAGTTTTGGAGACTTCCGAATCTTTGCATGTCACAAGTTCGAGGCATTTTTTCGAGATTATCGAGAGCGATTTGCATACACTGATAAGGCTATGGTCACGCACACTAGCCACGCCTACCGATCAGCACCGGCAACGCGAACACGTGGGGTGGTAACTCGCGTGGTAGATTGTGGTATAAACCACGCACAGCTACAACAAAGTCTATCTTAGTCTGCTCACCGCTCCAAACTGCAGGACTGATGTTGCTATGAAGCTACTGTCGCTAGCATAGGTGTACCCCAGGCGTGATAAGAGGCGCTGGGCATGGAAGCCGGCAAGGACCTAGTGAATGCACTCCGCACTGCAATTGCAGCAGCTACCGATATTGGCCTGCGACTGTAATTGGGCGGTAGGTGTTAGGTGGCGCATGTCTCGCATGGAGGGGAGACGCTTTGATAACGATGCACGCCGTCGACGGCAATTGGACGGCCCGCCAACCCAAGGCTAGAACGTCTAAACCCTAAAGTATCGGGCCCCGACTTTCTGTAGAGTCAAGTAGAAGTATATATAGTACAGGCAATGAACACCAAAGGGAATGGGCTCTAGAAGACAACGTCCTCAGGTTCGCGCTCAGGCTGTGCCTTGGGTTTCTGCAGCATCTCGTAGCAGAGTATCGATGCTGCGACACTGACGTTCAAACTGTCGACCCCAACCTCGTTGGACTCGCGGCCATGAGGAATACCGACTTTGTAACGCGCCAGATTGACTAAACTGGTCTTCAACCCCGTGCCCTCTGCGCCCATCATGAGAATTGTAGGGTGCTCTGCAACAGGGCTGTGGTCAGTAGGAAGTCGTTTTCTCGTGTGCGAGATACTGTAAACGACTTTGTTGGCCCCGGCTTCCATGGAATCGACAGTTGACGAGGTAAATGAGGGTGGAGGTGGAACAGCGTCGCTCGCATATATACACCAGCCTGCATTTGCACTCTTCTTCAGGAAGTCATTCGAGTCTCCGACCTTAAAAAGCGGAATAGCTTCGGCGGCGCCGGCGGAAGCCTTCACTGCAATGTGACTCCAATTTGCAGTGTGATGGGTCGGCGTGATGATGGCGTCCGCACCTAGGACATAGGCCGAACGAGCAATAGCTCCAAGGTTGCCTTCATCGACCTGTTGATGTTAGTCAATCATCTGGTGTGAGGATCATCTTACTCACCACGCCATCAACGTAGAGAATCAGTGGATGCCTCCATCCTCCGGACTTGTAAGAGTACAACTCTTGCTTGCCATTAACAAGCACATCTTCTGCACTTTGACTATCGAGTGTAACGCTAAAGCTCTCGTCTTCCATAGATACTGTCTTTAGCTCAGTGATGGGCGGGACAGGCAGAGGTGATGCCTCGAGTATCACACCGTTGTGTGGTCGACCACTACTAGCTTTGTCTAAAGCGCGCATGTACTCGTCTCCGACTTCATGTGTGATCGAGAAGAGCTTCTGAGCTCTGATGCGAGACATAAGACCATCTCGACTCGCACCTCGTGAATGCACATAGAGATTGTAGAATTTGCGTCGGTTCGCTTTCATCGCAGAGACGACGCTGTTATATCCGTATATGAATTCAGATGCGGCTGTAGTGTAAGGTAGCGATTCTGGTCCACGGACTGAAGTCTTCTGGGGTTCCGTCTCGCTTCTTGCTCCTGATCTAGTATCAGACGACGCCCGTCCGTATCCCTCTCTTCTAGCGCCTTTTGAGTCTGGTCTTTGGTTGAATCGTGGCCGATCATCTCTTGAATCTCGAGTACGCGGAGCATGAGAGCTTGAATCCTCATCTACTCTGTCTCCTCGTGTATCACGACGATCGTTTGTCCATGGACGACGTGGTCTATCGTCGCTGTCCTGCTCCTGTGGTGCCACTTTGCGATCAAAAGACCGAAACCTGGTCTCTTCTCGTGGACGGTCCCGCCACGTATTCCCGCTTCTAGTGTGTGCATCTGGAGATTTACGGAACCTACTTGGCGCATCGTTGTCGCGGGGTCGTGATGGCCCAATGCGTCCGAACCTGCTACTGCGAGGTGATGCACGCGGTCTGTCGCTGAAAGCTGGTTCCGGATCTTCACGAGGAGCACCAAATCTCTCGAACCTTGCCTCGCGGCGAGTCTTCACCGGTCCGTCTCCCTCATCATTGTGGCCGGTTCGTGTCCGTGGTCTGAAGGGTCGGTCTGGTCCACCCTGCCTGCCCCGCTCGATGGCAGCAGTGATAGATTTGTAGCGGAGGAAGGTGCGAGGGACGACCAATTGATGAGACCGCAGTAGCGTGCTACTACTCAGGCAAGAATAAACCATAACAGAGTCAACTTAGACGTCTTTGTGGTTTTGACTGTGTCATCAGTGCAGAAGCGATGCGACGAAAAGTTCCACATTGCCAAGCCAGGCGTTCGCACTAACAATAAGCGCAGAACGCGAAGTCACGCGTTTGGCGTTCGGACGCTATCATCATTGACCGAGACGCGACGGAAACCACGGGTGCAGCAACGCGCACGCACACCCCATATCCACCCGTACCCTTCAAACTCTACGTCAGAATTCTGCTCGTTAAAATTTCAAGTCGACTATGCGAGCCGCTTAATCGCGCTTTTACGACATTCCAGCGAATGGTTTACCAGATGCTGTCCTGGACTCGCTGTGCCTTTCCACTCGGCCCCTCTGTGCCACAAACTACGTACCGCAAACCGCCATTATGAGCAGCGACGAGGACGGCGCAGCGCTCATGGCAGTATTCAAGAAGAAGCCGGCTGGGCGCAACACTAGTGCTCCCCAAGCAGCACCTCTGGGGGAAGCATCTGATTCCCCAGCTACCATCTCTCTACAAGACGACACGAATGATGATCTGGAATTTTTACGTATCGAAATCCCGCCTCGCAAACGAAGACTTTTGTGTGTTCGCATACCCCAGAAACAAATTAGAAGGGCAGAATACAAGTACTATGGGCCCCAGGATGAGGTGGAAAAGGTCCTTCATGAGGCCTCTGTTGGAAAGAAGAGCGAAATGAGGTATAAGATCAAGCTGTTCGGCAGTGATCGCGTCAAGCAGGTGAGTTTCCATCTATCACTCTATCACTGGTAAAGGCAGCAAGAGCGACGAATGCAGCAGGGTTACTACATAACAGGCGACTTGGGTTCTTTCTTCTCTTACGAACCTCTGTTCTTGAATGTCTACTAATGTCCATAGGTTACCTTCGAAGAGCTCCTTAATTTCCGTGGTGGCCCTGAGGCACTGCAATCGTTCCAACCACACAGCGATTCGAGCGACGACGCTGACATGAGGCTTCGCAACCAGAACACTAGGGCGGACGTTGAGGGGTTTGTCGATACAACAAGTTTCCCCGTATCATCGTCCGAGGACGACGAGCAAGACGAGCTTGCCTCTGACACATCAGGACGCCCACGCCACCGCTCACAGAGGACAGGACGTGGAAGTCGTCGAGAGAAGTCATCGAGAGATCGCTCAGAGATCAGTGATCTGATCGCGCTCTCAACGAGTGAAGAGGACGAAGACTCTGATGACGGCGGCCGGAAGGGCAAAGGCAGGCCGCGCAAGGGTATACAGCAGCCCACACGACGCTCAACACGACAACCAATCCGAACGAGGAACAATGACAACGATGACGACGAACAAGAGGAGGATGATACCGACGACTCCAGTGCCTCAGATATTCTCCGGTCAGACGTACTTCCTAGTCGCAAGCGCAAGAGACAGTCTCTACGTGCAGCAAAGCCTGAGAAGATCCCTCGAGCGGGCGTCCGACAGTCTGATCGAGCAACACGTGCTACCAACAACATGCAGGAGGCGGATATGAACGACATATACCGGTCAGATACCGCGCCCAAAGCCGTTGCTCAGAAGGTCTCTGTTGTTCGCGAAGTGTTCCCGAAGCTCCCACGGAGCGATCCTTTCCGTGCGCGACATGCAGAAGGTTGCGAAGTCTGCTTCGATGGACCCAACGTAGCACCCCTGGTGTACTGTCAAGGTTGCTCTCTAGCATACCACAAGAATTGCTTGGGTAATCGATCTACTCGCGATCATTTGGTCACCAAGGTTGGCGATGAGCAGTTTGTCCTGCAGTGCAAGAGGTGCATTGGCTTCTATAAGAAGAAGGACGCGACCGCTCCCGATCTATCCAGATGCCAAGATTGCGCTGTTTCTGGAGTTTCGTGCCGACCCTTCAGGCGCCGCAAGACCACGCAGCAAGAGATGAAGGAACGTGAAGAGAATGATGGCTATGATCCAGTCATTGACGTTCCTTCTGAGCTTCTCAACGACCGTAACAATGTGTTGTTTCGCTGCACAAAGTGCTCTCGCGCCTGGCATTATCACCACCTACCACCTATCTCGCAGTATGCCATGGACGTCAATCGTGACGACGAAGAGATGGCGGACGAGCGATTCCGCGAGTACTCTGGTAAATGGATGTGCAAGGAGTGCGACGAGACCATCAATCAAAAGGTTGGCGGCATCATTGCCTGGCGGCCATCGGATGTCGAGACTTATCGGCCAGGAACTCCATGTGAGTTGATTTGCGAAGACGACAAGCAATATCTTATCAAATGGGAGAACGAGTCCTACTTCCGGGCGTCATGGCATTCCGGAGCCTGGACCTGGGGCGTGACAGCTGGAGTCCAACGCAAGGCTTTCTTTAAGCGTGAGGACGGACCAAAGATGCGAACTGAAGACGCCATTCCCGAAGAGTACCTTCGCATCGACATTGTCCTTGACATCAAGTACACGAGCTATGTTGAGGTTCGCAGCGAGGAGATCGACAAAGCCCGTATAAAAGAAGTCGATAAGGCGCTTATCAAGTACAAGGGTTTGGGCTATGAGGACACTGTCTGGGAGAGTGTGCCTACTCCAGAAGACGGTGATAGGTGGCTAGACTTTGTCACTGCTTACACCGACTGGGTTGCCGGTCGCTACGTCAAGATCCCCAAACAGGGTCCCCTCAAAGGACGGATTGAGAAAGCTCGAAGCACACCATTCGCTAAGCTTGAGCGAGAGAAACAACCTGATAATCTCGTTGGTGGTGAGCTGATGAAATACCAGCTGGACGGTCTGAACTGGCTCTACTACAAATGGTACGATCAGAAGAACGCCATCCTTGCAGACGAGATGGGCCTGGGAAAGACGATCCAAGTCATCGCCTTCATGGCAACCCTTATCCAGGAGCATAACTGCTTCCCGTTCTTGATTGTAGTGCCCAACTCGACATGTGCCAACTGGCGCCGGGAGATCAAGCAATGGGCACCTTCTCTTCGCGTAGTTGCCTACTTTGGATCTGCCAAAGCTCGCGAGATGGCTTACAAGTACGAGATGTACCCCGAGAATACAAAGGACCTACGATGCCACATTGTTGTAACTTCATACGAAGCGGCGGCCGACGACAACTGCAGGAGATTCTTTAGAGGTGTCAGCTGGGCCGGTCTCGTCATCGATGAAGGCCAGCGTCTGAAGAACGACAAGAGTCAGTTGTACACAGCCCTTACAGCAGTACGCGCGCCATTCCGACTGCTGTTGACTGGCACGCCACTACAAAACAATGCTAGAGAGCTCTTCAACTTGCTGCACTTCCTGGACGACACTATCAATGCCGAGCAACTAGAGGAACAGTACGCTGAGATGACAGCGGAAAACATTCGGGAACTTCATGACCAGATCCGGCCTTTCATCCTGCGACGTACGAAGGCCAAGGTGCTGACCTTCCTTCCGCCTCTGGGTCAAATTATTCTTCCAATCTCCATGAGCCACTTGCAGAAGCAAGTCTACAAATCGATTCTATCGAAGAGCCCAGAGCTTCTCAAGGCTCTCTTCACCTCCGATAAACAGTTGAAACAGCAGGAACGTGCAAACTTGAGTAACATCCTCATGCAACTGCGCAAGTGTCTGTGCCATCCGTTCGTCTACAGTCGGGAAATTGAAGAGAGGAGCGACGTTGCTGCCGTCTCTCATCGCAACCTTGTAGAGGCTTCTGCTAAGCTCACTCTTCTTGAGACTCTTCTCCCAAAGCTTCAAGAACGTGGTCATCGCGTGCTCATATTTAGCCAGTTTCTCGACATGCTCAACATTATCGAAGACTTCTTGGACGGCATGCAGCTCCCGTATCAGCGTCTAGACGGCACAATGGGCTCGCTCGAGAAGCAGAAGCGTATTGACCAGTTCAACGCGCCCGACTCATCGCTATTCGCCTTCCTTCTCTCCACCCGCGCTGGTGGTGTTGGTATCAATCTTGCAACTGCCGACACCGTGATCATCCTAGATCCTGACTGGAACCCTCATCAAGATCTCCAAGCTATTGCTAGGGCTCATCGTATTGGTCAGAAGAAGAAAGTGCTGTGTCTTCAGCTAGCAACTCGGGCATCTGTAGAAGAGAAGATCATGCAGATGGGCAAGAAGAAGATGGCTCTCGACAAAGTTGTTGTACAAGATCTGGACAAGGAAGACCCGGAGGATGAGGATGTTGAGTCCATACTCAAATATGGCGCTGCAGAACTCTTCAAGGATGATGACGCAGATAATGACATTCGATACGACGACGCCTCTATCGACAAACTACTCGACCGTAGCCAGATCGAGAACACCCAAACTGGTGACGATGACTCTGCAGAATCTCAGTTCGGCTTCGCCCGTATCTGGGTTAATGAGAAGGGTGGCTTGCAAGATGACTTCGATATTGCGGACGGAGAGGTGGCTCCAGATCCAGGTGTCTGGGATAAGATCTTGAAGGAACGACAAGCTGCTGCGGCCGCCGAAGCGCTTGCAAAGGCAGAGGCTATGGGTCGGGGACGCCGGGCCAAAGCAGTACGTGATGCCTCAATCTTGATAAGAAAAACTACTGACATCACACAGGCTGTCGATTATGCTACGGAGAAGAGAGATGCTGATGCTGCGTCTGTCGTGGGTACAGATCACTTCGAGGATACTGCCGCACCACCTTCACCGATCAAGAAGCCCAGCAGAAAGCGCAAGAACAAGACTGAATCTGAGAGTGATACCGACTTCCAAGCCGAGTCTGAAGACGAAAGCGAGCCCGAGCTAACTCATGACAATGTTGATGCTGCCAAAGAGCTCGGTAACGTTCACCGTCCCAGTACAACAAGTATCGCCAATTCTTCACCCTACAAGCAGAATGGCGTAGGTGCGTCTAAAATTTCATCTACTCAACAGTCACAATTTCCCGCTGTCATTTTACCTCTCCAGAACACGCCCAAGAAGGGTGGCGCAAGGGCTGTCAGATCGCCGCCGAAGCCAGTGAAGGCGTCACCACTGAAAGACCGTTCGAGAGTTGGACTCGACCTCGGGACGCATCTCAATGGCAACAATGAGACACAGTCAAATACTTTCTCAGGGCAGGCATCGTCGGCTCGCGGACCATCTGCGTTCATCGATCTTTCATCGCCTCCACCAGAGCCAGCACCAGCACCAAAAGCACCAAAAACTAATCAAGCAACAGTCAAACCATTTGCACGCGCTATTATACCCATCCGCAACCCTCTCGAGCCAACATATGTCGCTCCCGGTATTCACATCTGCCCGGCCTGCCACAAGAACCATCCTTCGGGCGCTTGCGAGCTCAAAGCAGCAGGTGTTGAGCACTGCGGCCTCTGCGGGTTAGCACACTACGGCCACTCACGCACATGTCCCCACATCAGATCCGAAACACAAGTCCGAGAGATGCTTGAAGCGCTCAAGAACTCGCCCGAGAAGAAGGAACTGGTTGATGCAGCGATCAAATATCTTCGTGGTGTCAAAGGTACACTGGTACAGCAAAAGAAGAGGGATAGGGAGAAGGCGGCTTTGGCTAAGGGCCAGCCCGTTCCCCCACCTACATACGCAGGCATTGGTCGGCCTCCGAAGAATGCGTATTCACGTCCGCATGGTGCTCTTAATGGAGGTATGAATGGTATGAATGGTGCTGGAGACAGCAGTCCGGCTGTGGGTCCTTCGAGCGATGCACCCCGCTTGTACACGCCTTATGGTCCACCAGGACGGATGGAAGTTGCGCCAGGTAGCGTTGGTAATGCGCTTCAGGGTCAGCAGCGCACGTTTGCTCAGCAGCAGATGATTGAGCAGATGCAGGGTCAGGGCTTTGATGATCAGCAGGTAGAGAGCGCGTTGAGGGGCTTTTTGTTTCAGGGTCAGAGTTGAGTACACAGCGAGTCGTTGGGATAAGGTGGATTTTTGGTAGTCATCGGTAACTCCTGATGGGAGGGCATGGTGAAGGACAGGAGATGACATTTTTAAAGATGTGTAGTAGGAATCTCGATACCCATAATGACCGCTAAAAAACCGTCGATATATTGAAGTCATGTGGCGACCTAAAGATATTCGCTACGCTCTACTAGAATATTCACAGAGATAGGGGTGTATACCTTCAAGGTGCATCCTCAGCTTCTTCCGTTTCCACGTATTCCTCTCCTTCTACATCTTCATCGTCTTCCTCGAGCGCCTCCCTGAGACTCTCCACCCAAGCATCATAGTCTTCGTTCGTCTCGTGACCAGCACCCAGAACCCTCCTGTTGGCTTTTCCTTGATCTTCTTTCGCCATAAGTGCTCTCTCAAGCACACCAAATTTGGGCACACCAAACTCATTCTTATATCCAGCCCAAATGCCCTCGTCATCACGAACTAGTCCATTCCTCCAGCAGTAGGCCATCCACTGACGCCAATTTGCGTCCTGCTCCAATACTTCGGGGTTGCCTATCACGACCAAAGCTTCTTTTGCTCGCGTGAGAGCAACGTTCATTTTCCTCCTCTCTCCAATGATACCCACACCCATACTGTTGTCCTTCGCCAGGAACCTCTTCCTCGCTCTCGTCGTACACAGTATCACAACGCGTTTTTCGAGGCCTTGAAACGCTTCCAAAGGGCCGATGTTCACGTCCCATAGACCTGAACCATTGCCATACTTGGAAGACCGGATCAACGAACGCATTAGTCTGACCTGCGCGGCGAATGGCGACATGATACAGATATCCGGCTGCTTCACGGAAGAAGAGTAGATCAGGGCTTGCGCAATATCGCAGGCTATGTTCGCTTCGGAGACGTTGTACCAGCCGCCGCCATCACGTTCAATCTCGTCAGTTCCATCATGCGGGACGAAGAGAACGGGCCACCTACGTCCGCGCCAGATGTCCGATTGCTGCAGTGGTGTGTTTGGTATCACGACCTCGGGTATCAACGTATTTTGGTAAAAGATAGCGCTCGGCACGCTGAGAATTGCAGGGTGGGAACGGTAGTTTCGGATCAGCAATGTGAAGGGTGGGTATGTGATGGGCAGCATCGATCGCTTCAGGACTGGTGGACCAGATGAAGGTTTTACCTTGGACCGTGAGAGGGGGTGATCATTATATAGTGGTCGCTTGAAAAGGCGGGCGAATAGCGACATGGTAACTCGGGTATCGCGGGATGCTGTTCGGGGGCCGAGTTGGTTCTCGTCTCCTGCCATCACGAAGCGTGGTTGAGGTGACTTTTCTGGATACGTGGAAGGTGGACATACAACGCTGATGGCTGGCAGAACGTCAAGTTCAGTAGCTTGAGCTGCCTCATCTATGAGCAAAGCTGTCCAGTGCAGCGGCGGGGTAGGCATTTCTTCCCTCGGATTGAACGCCGAAACCATAGCCTTCTGCATGGTCCAGAGATCGTTGTTAGTCATCCTTGCTTCTGCCAGTATTGAAGCATCTTGGCAAGAGGCTACCACTACGTCGAAAGCCATAAGATCCTTGAAAGGTGGTAAAGAAAACATGTCGTTCTCGATATGGCAGTATTGTAACAACTCCCGTGGTACTTCGTTATCAGCTCTTCCGGGTCGGTTGAGACGGAAAAGCTGCTTCCTTGAAAGGTAACTCTTCAGTCTCAAAGCGATTGTATCTGCGGCAGGCTCCGACGGAGCACATATGAGCAGGTGTTTGACGTTTGAAGTCTCCAGCAGCTGCATCGCCGTCTCAACTAGTGTCTTCGTCTTGCCCGTGCCTGGTGGCCCGCTGATCAAATATGGAAGAATGTCATATGTGTTATTGCATATACCATTGACAGCGTGGGCTTGCTCATAGTTGATGGCTTTATCGTACAATTCGCGATGCGGAACCTTGCGCAATGTAGTTTGACGTACTCCATGCGATTCTCCAGGAAACAGCATTCGAAGACTCCAGTCATTACGATGATCACCAGATGTAGCCTCAGCAGTATCTCTCTGGAGGGTGGCATACTTCGTGCCGGGCGATTCGCCGAAGTGATTCTCCAGAGATCCAGAAACATCTGTACGAAGGGTCAGGCTGACGTGCTTCAGCTCAGAGCTGAGATGCACCAAAGCTCTTCGCTGGCTTTTGATGATGTTGAACTTGAGCGGTATAACAACATTGACGAACATGGGCATAGGCGGTATGCTAGGATCGGGAAAACCTAGGCCGTCTGCTTTGATGTAGACTGTTTCCTGCGCACGGTTGATACCAAACACTGCACCGTCGTGTTGTATGCCCGTCCAGGACTTGAAGCTGACTGAAGGGGTTCCCTTATACCAGTACTGGTCGTCATTTACATACACCGGCATGGGCATTATAGCTCCTGTTCCGTCAACATACAGTTGTCGTATCTGTAACACGTCGCCCATCTCGATATGTGGGCTGTCTTCTCTCAATCCAGGTACCGACAAGCTCCACAGGCCACCAGCTGAAGGCGATTGCCGGAGTGGAACACGATACATTGCGTACGTTTCATTATGTTCTTCTTTCGCAGCACATTCGATGGCGGCCACTCTGCTAAAGTACTGGAGGTATATGAACTCATTGAGTGCAGTGGCCGGTCTCAAGGAATCGGCGGCTGATAGACCCAATGACTGTTCAGCCTCCGTGTACGGTGTAGGTATGAAGCTCGTCCCGACGAAGCTGTGCACATACTGTTCAAGATCAATCTGATGCCGAGGAACTGTTGGATAAATGGTCGCCATCTCAGTGTTGATCGACTGTAGAGCTGGAGGAACGAAAGGAGTCGCGTAAACATCATAATCCCATGAATTGTTGACAAAATCACTCTGGGAGGTATCACTTGTTCCGGAAGATCGTAGTGTGCCATGTTTCCCTGTTTCAGAAGAGACTTGCGGTCCTGCTGCTGTCGAAGTTGAGAACCCCGGGCTGACTGAGCTCTTCGCCCTTGGGACAATGTTAGGTACAGCTACAAGTCTTGAGAGGTTATCCTTCACCGTATTACCATGATGAGATTGAGGCATGTTGAAACTTGGAGCCATGTGCAGCCGGAGTCGCGTTTGAGAAACTTTTATGGGAAGGAGTCGCTGAGAGGTGCATAGAAGTGCCCTCAAGCGGAAGGCTCAGATAAGTGATGATGCGTTAACACTTGCTATCGCAGTGAAAGACTTTGGTGCAGCGTGGTGAGAATTCTGGCCTCCTCAGGGAAAACCGTAAGGAATGTATTAGTATTTGTGTCCAAAGGATAGAACCAATAGCTTCTAATATTGGTCGTTGTTGTGGAGAATGTCTAATGTTGTAAAGTCGTGTAACATTCGTAGCGATGGGCGCCTGCTTGGCGCCACGCCAAGGGCGGGCTCGCTGCCAAACGCGTCCGCGTTCTTCCCAACCACCCCCTGATCATGAAGTCATCCAATATCTCTGCAGGTCTACACACTGTCATCGTGTTGGCAGCTCAGCAAGCGCCTGCCCTGTTTCAGGTCCTCAACGAGATGTAGAGTATTGTGGTGGTGCGACTTGACGCGCTGTTCCAATCCTGACATGCTCCTTCCATCCAGCTGGCAACCCCAATGTACGATCCGCGACCGGTACGGCGCTCGAGGGGGCTGATGTTGACTCTTCGCTAGCAACTGCGGGTTAGTGGACTCTTTGATCCGTACGCTGTTCGATGTCGAGATCGCCCCATTCGCACTTCCCCGCAATACGTCATGATCCGAGGTTGTTCAGCTGGACCTTAATTTGTCAGGTATGTAGTGTCTGTAGAACTTTAACATGAATATAGAGTGATACCAGCATCTCTCCTCAATCTTTCACACCTTCTTGCATACACCTCGTCAATTATGTCCAACCAGCAGCTGGTCGAAAGCAAAGGCATCTTCCATGGCCTACCCGTGTATCCATCCTCGCTGAAGGGGCTAACAGCCATCATAACCGGTGCAAACGGTATTTCTGGAAACTACATGCTGCGCGTATTGGCGCAGGACCCAGAGAGATGGAGTACGATCTACTGCTTGTCACGGCGGCCACCTACGATCCCGGATGGGCTGCCGAAGAATGCCGAGCATATCCCACTAGACTTTCTACAAGATCCTGAAGAGATCGCAAAGGTATTGAAGGACAGGGGCGTTAAGGCTGACTACGTCTTTTTCTACTCGTATGTGCAAGTCAAGCCGAAAGAGGGCGGCGGCTTGTGGAGCGACGCAGAGGAGATGTGTAAGGTGAACAGTAAGTGCTGATCGATAACCGGCATTGAGATACAAGGCTAACATACTGTAGCTGCTCTACTCAAGAACTTCTGCGAAGCTCTTCCGATTGCCAACATCAAACCAAAACGCATCATGCTCCAGACCGGCGCGAAGAACTATGGTGTACATCTTGGTCCCGCAGCGACCCCTCAAGAAGAAACGGCACCGCGTGTCACTTTAGAACCCAATTTCTACTACCCACAGGAAGACTTTCTCTGGGATTTCTGCAAGAATCAGGGCATTGACTGGAACATATGCATGCCATCAGGGATTCTGGGCGCTGTCCCGGATGCAGCCATGAACATTGTGTTTCCACTAGGAATATACGCAAGTGTGAAGAAACACCTAGGCGAGAAACTCGAGTTTCCGACTGATCTGCATGCATGGGAAGCAACAACATGCATGTCCAGTAGCAAGATGAATGCTTACATGGAGCAATGGGCCGTGCTGAACGATGGAGCAAAGAACGAAAAGTTCAACACAATGGATGGCACAACCTTTACATGGGGCAATTTCTGGCCAAAGTACGCAGGGTGGTATGGTATCGAATATGAGTATCCCAGCCTAGACGACAGCGCGTATACCGTCATCACTTCACCATATGACCCGCCTCCACGAGGTTTTGGGCCACCAGCAACATTTCGGATTCGCTTTACGCTGACTGATTGGGCAAAACAAGAGAAAGTGCAGAAGGCATGGGAGGAGATAATCTCTAAGCATGGTCTCAAGGTGGATAAGCTGCAAGATATGGACATTGATCGTATTTTCGGCTTTACCGACGGAATGATGAGCTTCTCCTTGGATCTCACGATGAACAAGGCGCGCAAAATGGGGTGGCATGGATTCGTCGACTCAAACGATGCCATCAAGGAGGTACTTGGAGAGTTTGCAGATCTCAAGATGATTCCTCCTGTGGGTAAGTAGTCTGCGAAATACAGCCTGGCTATAGACCCTGCCAATCTGCGTTACTTTATCGCTTTGAGCTGTTTCTGTTCTCCTTGTTTTCCCAATGCGAACGTTCATAATCATTCTCTCGGATACTAGCGTAGTGATGAAAGTGTCATCTGTACTACTAGTAACTTCACTCGTTATTCTTACATGAAGCTATGACTGGGGCCAGTGACGTAGCTTATGATGGCGTCGTGAGCAGAAGACATGCCGACTTTCTCCCATGTCGATCCAACCGCATCCGCTTCTATGTACAGCCTTTCGATGACCCCGAAGATGTCGATCTCTAGCAGGGTCCTCTCACCCACCGGTCTCTCCATGATCGTCTTCATCAGAAGCTGTTCAATTACCCACCCTTGACCACAAGTCGCCTGACTAAGGATCGCCAATGCACCCAGGCAGTCTCGATCCAGAGCACTCACCTGCGCAATCTTCCAATTCTCATCGATGATCCGAGACGATAGCGAGGCGGAGTAGCGAGCTTCGGCCAGGCCCGAAACGACGTCCGCGTAAGGCAAAGTAAGACGGATGACGTTCCTGCGCTCGACAGCTTCTTCACGGCGGAACTTTCGAATGAGGTCGCGACGGTCTTCTCGGCCCATCATCTGTGAAGTCAGTACGACGGTGGGGGATACCGAAAGAGGAACCTGTCAGTGACTGTCTCTACTGGTTAACGCACCTTGAAGGCTTCTTGACCCATGCTGCCTCCTAGATAGAGTACTGTCTCGTGATTGGTATCGGTAGCAAGGAGCTCATCCCTACCGAGGCGTATCATGATAACCTCACCATTATGGATGTTACTGAAGTTGCAAACTGGGTCGCCTTCGATCGCGATACCGTCAATCAGCTCGCCAGGTTCGCTTGTACGAATTGGCTCGCCATTGATATCGCAGGGCCAGACCTCTTGCAGTTCGATCTTATACTTGAATCTGAAACGGGCTTTGATGGCCTCAATAATGTCCTTGTGTGCGGCTGAGGGAGTGATGAGAACTACATCGCTAGTCAGTGTGGTTTTCCTTAGTCTACTCGCCTAGTACCTACAGTCAGTGATTGTAAGGTCCTTGGTTGGGCAATAGAGCTCGACAATGACGGCGTTAGTGCCCTGGTATGGGGAGATACTGCGCATTGTGAGTACCTAAAGGAGTTGTTGAAGTGGTGTACGGAAATAGTAGATGAGTAGTGGAAGGAGTCCGAGTTTAGGTTGAGTCAGCTCACTGACTCCTGAACAGATGTTATAACTTCCAATCTAGCAAGCGGGGGTCATATTTGAGGAGGAAAAGGGAAAGACAGCGCATGGACACGAATCTCCTGGAAGTGAATCCCTCTCGTGGCTTGGTCAGTGGATCGTAAAGAAATATCCAGCAGGTACTGTCTCCTTTGAAATTGTCTCTGGAAATACAAAGATCAATTGGCATCTATGATTTCGTGTCTGCATTGTCTCCTGACTATTCTTTGGGTTACGCGCTATCAAAAGGCCAACGTTGAGCTCGAAGTTAGCTAGCTTTCGAGCTTTTTCTCTTTCTCTTTTCCCAAGGCACGACACAACCTCATCTCACCATGCATCTGGATCACAGAATATCAACGCTACTGAAGTTCAACTCTTGGAAAGCACTGGACAAGTTGTGAGTGACGCGCTCTCTGGATCCTGTTATCACGGTCTCAAGCGACTCATTACTGCCGAATCGCTAATTGGCATTGATAGCACGGACTTTCTTATTTGATTTCTGTGCCTCTGTTCTGTATATCCTCTTCTGGTGATGCGCGTGCACTAACTAACGTCTTCCACCACGATACCTAGGTAGCGTAGTCGGGATTGCTCATGTGCGGGATCTACCACCGGCTGTACGAAGATCTTTGGTCAGCGCTATGAGATCGGCTGAGCAATAGCTCCGATTGGCTCGAATCACCTCTGCTTGCGATTGGATCCGTTTCGGCCTGGCGGGTCTGACTCAGGCGCACCGTGTTCAGATGCACGAACACGTCTTCCGTCCTAACAGAGAAGTTAGAAGCAAATAGCTTAGGCTATATTCAGAATCGCCTCCAACGGTTGTAAATGAGTCACTATGATGAACGTATGTATGGTGGAGCCGGTTGGAGAAGCCCAGACTGACTAGGCATCCATACCTAGGAAGTATGATCACATATACATCGAAAGTAATTATCTTCGAAATCTGAAAAGTCCAAATTTAAGAATACCACCGCATCATGGCTCATAAAACCCCTGAATTCGATCAGCTTGTGCTGGAGAAGATTAAAGAATTCAACGTGCCAGGCCTTTCGCTTGCCGTTGTGCAGGGCGATGATATCTACTCAAAGGTAAGTAGGTTAGATCAGAACTAGCGAGCCTTGAGTACTCATCCTTTCTAGGCGTATGGCTATTCGAAACTACCCGACGTCGAGACAAATACAGATACCCTCTTCGACCTGGCAAGCACGTCCAAGAGTACCACTGCAGGAGCCGTCGCACTTCTCGTAGACGACGAGAAGTACCCAGACGTACAATGGACAACACCTGTTTCGAAGATCCTTCCAGATGACTTCATCCTTCCTGACCCATTCCTTACAGAGCAGGTTACTATTGAAGACATACTAAGTCATCGTAGTGGAATTGCTACCCATGACGAATCGTACTTGAGTGCCCGCGCGAAACATCCAGACAATCCAAAGTCTTTGACCCGCAACCTGCGCAATCTTGAATTCGTCAAGCCCCTTCGCACCGAGCATGTATACTGTAATATCATGTTCAGCGTCGCGGTGCATCTTATCGAGACTGTCAGTGACATGTCCTATACCGACTTTATAAGGACGAAGCTCTGGAAACCCCTCGGCATGACCAATACATTTCATGACGTCCACGACATCGAAGCCAACAGCGACAAAGATCGCAGAACAACGTCATACCACTGGCACAGCGGATCTCAATCCTATGCTACACTACCTCATTATCCTCCAGCTCCGGAAGGGCATGGCGCAGGCTGTATCTTTAGCAGTGCAGGCGACTACGCGAAATGGATCCGCGCTCTCATCAAACGCGATCCAATTCTTTCCAAAGCGAGCCACAAGGCACTTGCCACCCCTCGAAGTTTCGACCTTCTAGGTGACGAGAAATGGTCTATACCCTTCAAAAGTGAAGAGCTCTACACCTTAGGCTTAAGCCTTACCAGCTATCGCGGACACAAATTGATCGGACATTATGGCTCAGTACCTGGATTTAAGGCCATGGTTTGCTTCATGCCCAAGTTCGACTGGGGACTTGTAATCTTCGGGAACTCGGATAGCGCAGCCTATGTCAATGACATTCTGAAGTTTACGCTACTAGACAAGGTTATCGATGTAAGGAAGGAAGATCGCATCGACTGGGGTACATTCTTCAAGAATTTCCAATCTATGGATGATGCGGAAGAGGCGGAGAAACCTGAGTGGACGAAGGTCGATAGTGTAGAGCCGCTCGATATTGTTGTGGAGAAGATAGCTGGTAGCTACCACAACGTTGGGTACAAAGGGTTGGTGCTTGAGGTGAAGGATGGGAAGCCAGTAGCGGATTGCAGCGATCGATGCTTTCCTTACATGCTGAAATTTGAGCATCTAACGGGTAACATGTTTGCTGTAGAGATGCATGGTATCTGGGAAGGCAAACTATACAGTACAATCCGAGGCGAGATCAGAACAGAGAACGGGCAGGTAAGAGCAGTGGGTGTCGAGCTAGAACCGGACGTCAAAGGCGGTCTCATCTGGTTCGATCGGGTGTAGTATGGAATCACTATTTATTGCGTACGTTTCGGAAGTATTAGAATGCAGTGCCGCAGTGGAGGATGTGTAGGAGTGAAAGAGGCGGAGCCGACTCCTGGCGCTAAAGCCTCGCACTAGCCAGGTGGAGCAAGCGCTTGAGACCCCCGCCCGTATCGTGAGATGGCTGGCCAACCAAGCGTTTCCCTCAGCGGCAATTCACCAATCGTTTAGTCAAATATGAGGGTATAAACATTGCCAAAGTCTGATCCGCACTCGCTGTGAGTTCATCGCGCAACCATTTCGCAGACTCAATCTGCTGACTTGTTTGTGTCAATAGCCCAACGCGTCAATACCGACGGCGCGCCACCATCAAGATGCTAGCAGACGGTAAGATCGACTCGCTAGATACGCATCTGGAGCAGTTCAAGCTCAATGATCAGAACAGACAAATCGATCTAACAGTAAGTCGATACCGACATGTTACCAACTCGCATCCGCTGACCTACCTAGAATCTCTTAAGAGAATACGGTCAGCTGCTTGACGAGTACAAAGAGTTAAAGAAGGCATATGAAGAGAAAGGCAGAAGTAATGTCGTAAAGCCAGCAGCTGCAGGTGCCTCTACTGTGACTGCAGCAATAAAGCCTCAAAATCCTTATGTCTTGGTGTTGATAGACGGTAACAACTACATCGTAAGTGCTAGCAGAGTTTCGTAATATTCACACTGACCGACTCTAGTTCAACGATGAATTCGTTCGCGAAAAGGAAGAAGGCGGAATGCGCGCCGCTCGTATGCTCAACAAAGCTATAGAGAAGTACCTACAGCAAAGCGTTCCACAAGCCGGTTCCGCCCGCATTCATGTCAAGATCTACGCGGACTTGACAAATCTATCTAAGCAGCTTGCAAGAACTAAAGTTATCGGTTTGGAAAAGCGATCGCTATCTCCATTCTCTGCCGCGTTCACTCGGGCCATCAGCCTCTTCGACTTCATTGACGCTCTAGACGAAGAAGGCACTAAATTCAAGATTAGAGAACAGTTTAAAATTGCTACCGAGGATACAGCTTGCAGACATATCTTGTACGCTGCTTGTCATGATCCGGCGTATCTAGCTCAATTGTCGCCCTTCAGCGGCATACGCGACAAGATTACCCTTGTCCAAGGCGCTGGATGGAACTCAAAATTCCACGAGTTTGGCCTGGATGTCACCCAGTTTCCAACCATCTTCAGATGGTCCGAACCCTCCGCTGCTACACCAGCCAGCAAAGGCGCGTCAGCTACAGTACCTAAGCAAAAGGCAGTAGTAAGACCAATACTTAAGCCTGTGTCTCCAACTCCTCGCAAAGAATCATGGAGGCGAGATGGCTCTTTTAGTGTCTCAGACTCCGCATTCGGCGATCTATCGCCTACAGAAACCAATGGATTCGATGAACAAGACAGCGTTGAGTGGGAAGGACGATCCGCAAACACTCAAAACGTCAAGAACGGCTCCACCTCAAACCCACAAAAGGACTCTCAGCTCTGCAAGTACTTCCAAAAAGGCTCTTGTAGCTTTGGCGAAAAGTGCCGCAACCAACATGTCCCAAAAGGTCTCGACGGCGTAAACGGCTCTACCTCATCCCCATTTAAGGCTCCGGCTGCCACATCACAGTCATCCCCACAACTCACATACCGTGGCAACATCTCCGCCATCCTGCCACGAGCGCTAAGATCACACGGCTTCATCCCCCTGAATATATTTCACCAACGCATAGACGCATACCGTCCCTCACCCTCCGCATCAGCCTGGAAGATCTACAACGCACGTTTCGCAAAAGCCAAACCATGCAACACCTTTCACCTGCAGGGAAAATGCACTAATCGTCCCTGTCTTTTTGACCACAACCCACTGGAGCGTGAAGCTAAGCAGGTGCTGGAGTATGTCTTGAGTTGTAATCCTTGCCCAAGGAAGGGAGCGTGTAGGAAGAAGGATTGCTTTTATGGCCATCTTTGTCAGAAGGATGGGTGTATGGGACAGAGTGGTGGTGGTGGTGGCGGTGGGGGACCGAAGGCGTGTCGGTTTAAGGCTGATTTGCATTATAAGGCGGAGGAGTGTAAGCTAGAGAGTTTGGTGCCGGCGATGGAGGATGAAGTGGCTGTGAAAGAAGAGGAGATTGGGGGGATGCAGTTGATTGATGGGGAAGATTTTATGTGGTAATACTACTGGAAGTTGCGTGAACGGATGCGTTCATGATAACTTTATCGTTCAGCAACCTCGGCGCATTGCTGTCAACCCTGTCAATCCATCTTAGCTAGGAATGTCCACGGTCACTGGCCATGAAACAAGGTTTCTGCTAAAACAACGTAGATCCTGTAGAGATGTTATCTACATGATCCACGACCACCACTATATTGGCTGAGTAGCTCACAAAGTCATTCTAGAATGATCGAATATGCATATGAATTATGTCGATAATGACCTCATGTAAATGCCCATCCTAATTGAACGCCACCGCTAAAGCGCCATACATGCATAAATAACAAAGACAGAAGGGGTATAAAACAACCTGAAGAGATGCCCCAAATACGACAACATAACTACAACAATCCGCATGCCCAGCTAATACTTTCTTCCTCTCCGCCTCGGCAGCCCAGACTCCATGCCCACAGTTGCCGGTACGCTCGCGGTAGCGGGTATAACGACCTTGGGAGCAGGAAGTCCCTTCTTGGGCGTAGGAATGCTGATACCGGAACGATTTACATTCTCCTTGTCTCCAGCTTTCGCGGAAGATGGCGTTTGCGGTAGTACGACTTTCTTTGGTGCGGCGAGACGACTTTTCCGTTGAGCTCCTGGCTGTATACCCACAGGTGTCACGTCGAGAGAGGGGAGTTTGGTATCGGATGTGCTGGAAGACAGACTGCTGTCGATGCCCGTAGAGTTTGAAGACGCAACGGGCATCTTCTTGACTTTAGTCGACTTAGCTTTGGGTGCTTGCTTGTCCGATGCTTCTTTTTCTTCTTGTACAGCCTCTGGGAGGAGATCTGAAGGCGCGAGCAGACCCTTGCCAGGCGTACCATTTGTTGTTCCTAGACCGCGTACTCTTCGTACCTTGGGTGTGGACGCCTTGCTGATCTTCTCCTTCTTCTTCTTTGGCTCAGGAGCATCTGACATTCCCAGTTCGTCTGGAGTGGATAATGACTCTGCTTCAGCTAGGGCATTTGCGAGAGTGTCTGGATTCTCCTGGTAGTACGCCAATGTCTCATCCCAGCGTACGTTCTTACCGACGATGGGCTCCTTCTCCGCATCGTCAATAGGTGGCAGATTATATGAATCCATTGCAAGCTTCATCAACCGGACGGTGACGCAGAAAGCGCCTTGCTTGTTCTTGCGTGTGTTGTTTCGTGTCATGTCAGCCAGTACTTTTGCGTCGTCCTTCTTGAGTACGACTACTTCGTTACCGTCGGCACGGCGGATGTTGATCTTGGGCGGTCCTGGGGCGGGCAGTCGTGAGATCTTCTTCCGTGAAGAGCGTCTGGCCGCTTGTGCACTCTTCTCTTCTGCAGTTTCTGTCTCCTCTGCATCTGGAATAGGCGATGGAAGACTTTCAGCGGGCTTGTTTAGTGTCGGAATCTGCGATAGATCCAGCGTCAATTCAGTGTGCTGCTTGGAAGGCGAGTTCGGGTCCTTTTCTTCGAGCACCTTGCGGGGCGAGGCCAAGGCATGACGGACCACATCTGAGTCTCTCCGATTCTGTAACGACTCTCTCTTGTGTGTGATAACGGCAGCCTTCTCAGCTTTGCTTGCGGCAGCACGGTTGAGGAAGTCCTTGAGGATGGCCGTATCATCGTCGATAGCAACCGTCATAGTAACATCGTCGGGTCCAGACTCAGGGCGCGGCGGCGGCGGAGGAGAAAGCAGTCTACGCGGGGCAGGTGATTGCAGTTTCGTTGGTGTGAATGAAAACGTCAATCCATCAGCAATGTCTGTAGATGCGACAGGTGCGTCGGCCATGTCAACCTCGGAAGGAGCCGCATCTTTCTTGGGGCTGGGGGTATGCTCTTCAACGGCTGCTTGGTACTCTCGTTGGATGTTCAGCTGCAGAGAGGCTTCCGTAAAATCGTCTTCATGGGCGCTTGCTTCAGGAGAGCTAGACACGTCTTCCATTGTGTTGCCGTCGTCCTGAATTCCTCCTGCCAATGCGCCTAGAACTACTTCAGATAACTCGGCGTCCTCGTCCTCATTTAGTTCTTCGTCAAACACTGGTATTAGTGAAGTGGCAGCATCATCTAATGGTAAAGCTGGGTATTGAAGCTCTGTCACAGCGTCTGGTACCCCTGACGTTAGCCCCACCTCTTGAGGCGGTGTCTCGTTGCTTTTGCCGCTGACCACCTCTTGAGTCGGGGTTGCAACTTCCTCTTTGATTCCCCTCGTGGAAATCTCCTCGGCATTGATCTCCTCTACGACCTTACTCGTTTCTTCATTGAGTACAGTTTCCGTTGTCGCCACTTCTATTTCCACTTCTGGGCTGTCGCTCAGGGGTAGCTCTGGGTATTCCACCTTCTCCGGCGATGCGTTTGAGGTAGTCGACGTCTGCTTGAGTGACGAACGGAAAAGCTTCGCGATCGTCGCGTCTTCGGCAAATCCAGGGTCTTGTTGGTCTCCTACACTCTCGTGATCAGGAACTCCGGCCGTCGGCGCATCCGCTGCAAACGTGAAAGCCGATCCGTCGTCCTCTACAGGCTCCATCTGTTCATCTCCATCTGCGATTGTCTCAAAGCTGTCCTCGCCTTCCATGTTGTGAGTATCATCTTCTTCCTCTTCGCTGTGTGCTTCGTCGTTTGCGCTGATTACGGAATCTCCAATTTGGGTCGTTCTTTTCCCTGCGATCAGTCAGTAGATGCTACAGTAGAACCCTTTGTGGCCATACTTGGCAGAACGCTCTTCCTCCTGTCCCAGCGCGTCGCCTTGAACGCGCGCTTCTTGCCAAGTCTACTTGTGGACTTCTCCATAGCTTTGGGACTCATGTGTTGCCGCCTCTTCACAGGCCTTGAACGCGCATCTTGTTCCTCCTCATCTTCTGACTCCTGTGGTGTGTCGTCGGCACGCGCCCTGGGATCAAATCTCCGCCAGATCTTCTTCTCCTTTCCCCCACCCACCCTCTTTACTTCCTGTCTTCGCTCCCATGCCCGCGGCACTTTGGAAACTGGGAGAGCACTTGGAGTGAGGAATGCGGCGTCGGTCTCATTCCATGTGTTGTCGAATGTTTTGGTGGGTGTGGCGCGTTTGCGCGGAGTGAAAACCATGACGTCGGCGGTCAAATAGTACTAGTATAGATATATCAATGGCGCGCAACCATGGGTCCTGTGTCGTGAGGCTCGTTAGTATCGTCGTGAGGATGTGTCGTCTGTGTTGGCCGTCGGTCGCTAGGAAGGTACCATCGTAAACAAAGCCGGACAGGGATTACGATGGGGCAGGCACGCTAATGAGATTGCCGCGGCGGAAACTTTTGAATCCACCGACTCGACGACGACGACGCCATCCAACCCACGAGCCCGCACAAGGCCAGCCCTCACGTCGCATCCGGATCGCATTGATCTGCCGAAAAGCATCTACAAGATGGTACCGAAGCCTCAGGGAACCGCCGTTCAGTCGGCCACGCACCGACCCCTCCCACCGCTACCAAAACTCCGCGTCCGACGACCGAACAAGCCAGAGGCAAACCCATGTCTGGGAGCAATGTCATCAGTTTTGGGTATGTCAGGATGGAATTGTGGAATGAGGAGGTTGAGGTGTGATATTGGGCTGTGCCGTAGGGTGTGATGCGGGGCCAAGAGTGTTTGGGAAGACAACCACGAATATGGGCTGACATATGGCTACAGGATGCTGGGCGTCTTCCGGCTACAGTGTACAAGGCTGTGCGCAGCTTGAGCAGAAATTACGGCAGTGTATGGATGCGCCAGTATGTTCACCGCCTCAGCGACCTTTGGACTTCTCTAACCTTTCAACCAGCGAGACCACAACCAGAAGAAGAACAACATCAACTACCACCTCTCGAGAATGTACCCCAAGATTGTCGGCCCCCACAAGCGGGACTAGATCATGCGCCCTTGTCTTTGTATATTATGTATACCCACGAAACAGCATCATGGGGGAGTTAAGTCGTTGGCATCATCGACAGGCGTTATGGTTACGATCGTTGTATATAAACGAATCTAGTAAGAGTGGGCATTTACATATGGGCCGACGATATCAAAGTGCAACAAATCTCGACCAGCTCTGTTACGTACAGACATGTCAGATGTAAGGGAGGAATCAGGCCATGAGCGGGCCAGTAGCTGTCCGAGCGAAGACTGCAGGACAGCCCTTCACGCACGACCACGCATGCTTTGTCTGCTGGCTTCATGTTTCAGTACGGTCCATCATTCTAGACCAACTCCCACTCAAGGCCATAGCAACTACCAGTCTTGCAAACCACATCTGCCGAAGTAGGCAGTGCATACCACTCCCCACGTTCACCCACGTGTGAGACTGCCTTTGTATGTTTCATCGCTCTCGCAGGCCGCGTGATAGGCCTGATGCTAAGTCTTCACTTCCTCACCAATAGCAACCCACAAAATCAGACGCAGCTGCCAAGGGATTACCGCAGTGTTATACCCCGCTCGTCATTGCGCATAATTATGCTGTGCATCGTTGACCGAAACACGCTCACTTGGGCTATATTTACCATCTTTGGCCAGCGCCACATGCAGGCTTAGACCCACTCACTCTACACCCCACCAGCACATCTACCAATGCGTCGCTCAGCCCCCCAGCCGACCAGATCCTACGCCAACCTTGTTCCGGACCTTTCCCAACCTTCCAGTGGCTCGTCACGCACACGTTTTGTCCAGGGCGGAAAATCTTAGGTGTGATTGGGCTGATGCGGGAAGAGAGATGAAGGATGTTATGCGAGACCTTTCCTGAAGCTACTCTGCCTTCCCTCATCGTCATCGCTAGAGACCGCTTTCGATTGGATCGCCAGGGACATGGCCCGGTCGCATAGCCAGGGAAGCGATGGGAGCTTACCCTGCCGCAACATGTGTTGCCAGGGTGCTGGTTCCCCTCCCACATGCACTCAGCCGCGTAGAGGTGTTGTGAGCTTCTTATAGTCTGCTGTATTGCGTAGCGATCTTCGTTTTTTTGCACCTCATACAACGCCAGCGTACGACTCTGTCGGTCGTCATCTTTGTGTATTCGCAAAACTTGGGTTGAGGACGGTGTGTTTACATAATTAGGAGCTGCACTCATGGAAAGATGATGGCGTTTACATTTCTTACCTTCGCATTGTTAGGGCCGGCCATGGCATACGCGGCTGCTCTCTCGATACCGGAACCTACACAATATACACCTACCATGGATGGATGGAGTCCAGCTCCCACGGCAGCACCACAGCTTCGTCTTGATCTTTCCAGGCGTCAACAAGGGAGTAATACTTGTGGATATGTCTCTGCTTCTGGCATCTCAGGTAAGGTTGTTATGACTCTAGTCTCCGACTTGTACTGACTGTCCAATAGTGAGCGCAGTAACATGTTCAAATCCCACAGATGTATGCGCAACAAACGGCCATTTCGGTATCCACGGCTGCTGTCAATCCGGCCTGGGTACTTCCTGTACAATAGCCACAGCATGTATTGCCTCAACAGCCATGTCAGCATCCTGCACGAACGACGCCTGCTCTTCCGACGCCGCGATAGCAAAGTGTACAGCGAGCTCAGCACCAGCTTGCTACCAGTGGCAATTCATCTACGATAGGATAGTCCTTACACAGTATGGCTGTGCGGCCAGCGCCTTTACAAGTACCGCGTACCATAGCCTGGGCATGAGCCTGCCAACCAGCTCCGCAGCGAGGGAAACCGTTACCGCGACCGTCACCAAGGAATCTATCAGCACGCCGACTTCCTCCAGTTCTTCCTCATCCAGCTCGTCAAAACCCAGCTTGGGCGCCATCATCGGTGGCACAATCGGCGCATGTCTCTTTGTCTCCTTCATCCTTTTCGTCGTCTTTCTTGCATGGCGCCGTAGGAAAGAAGCAGCGAAGAACAATCCGCGCTCTGCTGGTGCTTTTCATCGGACTAGCCAACAAACCACGGTGGAGTACAATCCGATGGGTTTCCCCTCTCCAGGCTTTTCGTCGTCAGGGTTGCCTTCACCGGCTAGTCCGTATAGCGATGATAGCAAGACCTGGCAACAATATCTATCGAGAATGGGCAGGGGTAGGGACCAGGTGGATATTGTGGAAGTCGACGGGACATCTAGGGCGGTGGAGGCGCCTACGGCTGAAAAGTGATCATACATTTACTGTTTATCCTCGTTTGTTTTGTTCATCGACTCGATGGTGGTATATCATTGTTTTCCATTCCGGACCTCGGTCTTGGAAGATGTTTTACTTGTTCTTGTTTTTATTACAGCACGGTGTTGATGGGATTGATACCAGATTCTTGGGATATGCAGACACGATGAGACAGTACAGGGCATAGGCCCATCACACTATTGGTATATTCTTAGACTAGCACATACACGGCAGGACACCATGTCCTTTACGAATCCTATTTTAGCAGATATGGATCACATATATCTCAAGGCGCTACCACAAGATCGACCTTGACGCAAGTGCATTTAGACTTATGTTTGAAGATGACATTTGGTCTCAATAAATTCATTCGCTTGCATTACTACACTATACACGCTATCAAGACTATCTTCGACTGAACGGCGAGTTAGGAACGTTGCCCTGCCGTGAGACGTCAAATCTACTGGAAGCGCTTTTCGGCGGCCTTCCAGTTGATGACGTTCCAGATAGCCTTGAAGTACTCAGCCTTGCGGTTCTGGTAGTCGAGGCTAGAAATAGTTAGTTCAACATGCTCTTGTCAAAATATCATCGTCTAACTTACTAGTAGGCGTGCTCCCAGGCGTCAACACCAAGGATAGGACGGAATTGACCAACGACCGGGTCCTGGTTGGCATATGTCCTGATCTGGATAGCTCCAGTCTGCGTGTCCTGGACCAACCACGCCCAGCCGCTGCCCTGGATACCCGCGAGCGCAGTGTTGAACTTCTCCTTGAAGGCATCGAGGCTGCCGTAGCTGTTGTTGATGGCAGCAGATAGCGCACCAGAAGGAGGCTCACCACCGCCCTGGTTGGTAGGCGCGAGGTTCTCCCAGAAGAGGCTGTGGTTGATGTGACCGCCGCCGTGGAAGTTGATCAACGGCTGCAGCGCAATCTGTGCCTTGATGTCTTCCTTTTGCTTAGCCTCGGCGATTTGCTCGCTGAAGTTGTTGAACGAGGTCACGTAGGTGTTGTGGTGGTTCTTGTGGTGCAGTTCCATGATCTTGCCGGAGATGGAGGGCTCGAGCGCGCCATAGTCGTCTGTCTTGTATTAGTATGCGATGCATGTTTTTCAGATGGTAGGACGCACATGGGAGATCGGGCAGAGTGGCCTTGCCACGAACGAATGTGGTGCCAGCGAGACCAGCACGGGAGGTGACGGGGGCGGCGGCCCTCGCAGCCGAGCGCAGGGCAGATGTGCGGAGGAGAGTGGTGTTCATGATGGCTTCAATTGATGTCTTGGATTCAATTGAGTGTTAGGTGTGTTATGGTGGTTAGAAGCTGGTGGAACTCTGGCTGGGGAAGCTCGGGATTTATTATGGTCTCGCATTTCGTCATACCAACATGCCGACCGCCGAGCTTGGAGCTTCTACATAGCACAACCTCCACTCCTCACGGAAAGGTGCCCCTCGGCCAATGAAAACGCCCTGATGCCGCGTCACGTTCGCATGATGTATGCTGAAGTCTCGCGAACAAACGCGCATCTTCATGTGAGAATGTCCAGAGAGAAGAGATGGCTTTCGCGATATGTTAACTCCCCGCGATAGCCCCGCGCGGCGTTTTCAGGAAGAACTAGTTACTCAAGACGTGGGTGGCAGCTGTGCAATTTTGATAATCGCGTGCCGAAAAAAAGAGGCGCTCGATTCAAGTATCAGACATCTCACCCCATGTGAGGTGATTGAGGTTTGCCCTGCACTTAGGACATAGCCTCTACCAACGCGCTCCACCTAGGCCTCCTTCTTACAACTTACTTTAGCTACCCCGCCAACGTCATCATGGCGCCCGTTAATGTTGTTCACTTGCCCAACGGCCAAAACCTTACAGTCACGCCTGTCTTTGGAGGCCTCTTCTTCAAGTCGAGCGATGTCCACACGCATTCGCCATTTCCGCCTGGCTGGACAGTTGTGCTCAACTCCGAGGATGAATTGGCCACGGACGAGCAAGAGCAGCAGCAGCAGGATGAGGAGGAGCTGTTCCCACCACGTCGCATACACCGCTTCAAGAAGCCCACCTTGAATGGAGACCACCTCTACATCTCGTCCATATCGAATCCCAGTAGCAGCGAGTTTAAGCCGGCTGCGTCGCCAACCCGCCAGATCGCCATGATGCTGTGGGCGACGCTGTACTGGTACTTTCACCAGCCCGAACCGACACTACAGGTCACAAACACGCGTTCGAAGAACACCGCTGATGCTGGCAAGCCCAAGGGCGAATGGCGCATAAACATCAACAGAGAGGGTGTTTTCAAAGGCAAGGTCGTGCTGCCCAAGCTGGAGCGCATGGGTCTCATCGCCAGCGAAGATTCGACTGTCGGATGCGCACAAGAAGAGTCTTCTCCTGAAGGCTGGACACATATGTTTGTCAGTCGAAGGACGTTCTGGCAGCTTGACCCGAGAATATACTTGTTCACTCTATCGCCATTAGCCAACACCAACTCACCTTTCCCGTCAGGCTCACCGTATCCCTCGAGACCGTCGTCCCCAGCGGGTGGATCTGATGTGAAGAAAGAACAACAGCTTGATCAGGTATCACCAGGTCTGTGGTCACCAACGGCGCCAGGCCCCTTCCACTCGAGCTCGCACCTCCCAACATACTATCCACCCCCTCCCGCGCAATATGTCTTCACGAACAACACGCGACACCCCATACGCCCGAAACCACCTCGACAGGGAGAGATACTGTACACAAGATATATACCTAGCGTTGGACAATACCTGTCTTTCCGAGTGGCTTCCATCTCTTCGAAAGCGCTCCGACACCAGGGGCCAGTCTCCAGCCCAAACCGCAACAGCCAGATTGCAGCTTCTGACTCCGTCGCTCCCAACATGAACTCGATGAACGCGGGAATGTCTGACTCGGAATATCTACACAAATGGATGAACGATCCCCGTGTATCGCATTTCTGGGGCGAGGCAGGTCCACAGTCCCATCAAGAGGAATTTCTCAAGAACGGCCTACGATCAAAGAACTCGTTCCCAGTCATGGGATGTTGGGACGGGAAGCCGTTTGGCTACTTTGAGATATACTGGGTCAAGGAAGACAATCTCGGAAAGTACTTACCCATTGTTAGCGACTACGACCGAGGTTTCCACTGCTTGGTGGGTGAGCAGGAGTTTAGGGGCGCACACAGGGTCAGGATCTGGCTGAGCGCATTAGTGCACTATTGTTGGCTCGCGGATAACCGGACAGAGAGGGTCATGTTGGAGCCGAGGGTCGATAACGAAAAGTAAGTCTTGTACCAGCATTTGACGGATAGTGCTAACAGTTCAGACTTGCAAACTACCTTCAAGAAGCTGGGTTCTACAAAGAGCGCGAAATTAGCCTTCCACACAAGCAGAGTAACTTGTTCAAGATCAACCGGGACGTGTGGAAGGGTCCGGCGCTGTGAGTCCGCGGAGACGGCAATAATTGTGGAGTCGCAGTTGGGCAGAGCCGCATGAACGGGTTACGGCTCTTGGTGGATATGGTTACGTGGAGTAGCGCAGAGTAAGCGCATCATGAGATACCAAGGTCTAGACTTCTATTCATGTTGAACCTGCCACCTACGTGGGGGAGTTCGTAGTCATTCTTCTGAGTGTATCCCGCCGGCCTCCTCGACCGGAGAAATACCCACCGAATGTTGGAGCGTGTATGAATGTGAAGCAATTCGGAGGTTCCTCGTAACAAGTCCCTCGTTGCGAGTACCTACAATTTGGTTGCCCAGAACCCCAACAACGCCGCGGGAAAATTTCTGCTACCCCAAATCGCTATTTTATCGTCGATCGGTGTCTATCTCCCCCTCCGACATCACCCTAGAAATCGACCATTGACGTGCGTTTCCAAAGGTGCGATAGTACCTAAATGTGGGGTTTAGCGAGCTCCAAAACTTTTTGACTACACGTGAGGACGTCATTGGTCTTTGGGTAGAAAAAGCGCGCCACAACGCTGTGAATCATCTCACGAATTGACTTCACGATACCCCAATATCCTTCCATACAACTGTTCTTGTCGTGATATCACACGTATCGTCGTTACGGCAAAGTTGAAAAATTACTCTTATACCAGATTCGGAAGACTATCGGACTAACCCACAAAACAAACCGCCAAACAGTTACTCATCCACCACATCACCCCTCAAAACACCACACAGTCATGGCTACCAGCAATAGCTCCCTGGACATTCAGTCCCGCATATCAGACATGAAGACCAAATCTGGCGCTACCATATTCGATGCGTACCAGACTTCCCTTACAGGCCGGTACTGTTCGGCAGAGATGTCGCAACTATTCTCGCAGCGCAGCCGACACTCGATATGGCGCAAGCTGTGGCTGTTCCTCGCAGAGGCAGAGAAGGAGCTAGGAATCGAGAACATCAGTGATGAGGCGCTCACCCAGATGAGGGAGCACCTAACCGTTACGGATGATGATTTCGGAGTTGCCAAGGTTGAGGAGAAGAAGAGGAGACACGATGTTATGGCGCATGTACACGCCTTTGGACAAGTTGCTCCTGCCGCAGCAGGTATCATCCACTACGGAGTAGGTTATCACGTGGAGCGGTCAAAAAAAAACTCTCAAGAAAAGGTACTAATTCCCACAGGCAACCAGCTGCTATGTAACGGATAATGCCGAACTCATCCTTATGCGCGATGGTCTGGATCTCCTCATCCCCAAGCTCGCCAAAGTCATCTCCAACCTCTCCGCCTTTGCCCTGAAATGGAAAACCGAGCCTACTCTTGCTTACACCCATCTCCAGCCCGCTCAGCTCATCACCGTCGGCAAGCGAGCGGCGCAATGGGCGCAAGACCTCCTTTTCGATCTTGAGGCCATAGAGCTCGTCCGCGAGACCCTACAGTTCCGTGGTGCCCAAGGAACGACCGGCACACAAGCCTCTTTCCTCGAGATCTTCAACGGCGACAGCAAGAAGTGCGACCAGCTCAACGAGCTGCTCTGCAAAAAGGCCGGATTCCCCTCCTGCTACGCCATTTCCACACAGACCTACACCCGCAAGGTCGATCTCATCATCGCAAACGCCATCTGCGGTCTCGGCGCCTCGGCGCAAAAGATCACAGGAGACATCCGCCACCTAGCCGCGTGGAAGGAACTCGAAGAGCCGTTTGAAAAGGACCAAATCGGTTCTTCCGCCATGGCATACAAGCGCAACCCCATGCGCTCAGAACGCATCTACGCGCTCAGCCGTGAGCTCATGTCCAAGCCAGCCTCGTTCGCAAACACGCTTTCAGACCAATGGATGGAGCGTTCCCTCGACGACTCGGCGATCCGCCGCATGGACATCCCCGAGATGTTCCTCCTTGCCGATGCCATCTTGCTGTCTCTCGACAACGTAACATCCGGTCTGGTCGTCTACCCCAAGCGCGTCGATGCACGCGTGCAAGAGGAATTGCCCTTCATGATCACAGAGTCCATCATCATGCGTCTCGTTGCCAAGGGCGAATCGCGCCAGGAAGCACACGAGCAGATTCGCGTACTCTCCCACCAGGCTGGTGCGCAGGTCAAGAACGAGGGCAAATCAAACGATTTGGTTGATCGCATCAGGAACACAGAGTTCTTCAAGCCTATCTGGGGTGAGCTCGATACTATGCTTGACAGCAAGTTGTACACGGGACGGAGTGAGGAGATTGTCGAGAAGTTCTGTGGAAAGGGGGGTGTGCTTGAAGGCAAGCTGAAGAAATACCAGGATTACATCGAGGGTGCCAAGGTCAGTGAGTTGAATGTTTAGAGGGTTACATATCGGAAAAAAGGGTCCGAGAGAAGAAGAAGGGAAGACTCTAGGCGTTCATTGGGAGTCAAGATAGATGAACGGAGTTGAGGAGAAAAGTAATCAACTTACGAGTATCTGGTCAAAAGTCCTACTCAATTCTTCGGCAAAGCAATGAAAGTCGTGTATCATTCATCATCATCATCCCATATGTATGTGCCCTCGAAATTACTAAAAATATGCTAATTCTATGCCCAAAACGCTGATTGCCACGCAAATACTGCTAAAATGCCCCCTTTCCAAGAAAGAAAAAGAACGCTTTACGATGCCGTGCGAACGAAGATGCCAGACGCCAACAGAACACGCTACAACGCTAATGTCTAATTCCTTGCATCCACCGATCAATCTGATCTCGCTGTCTGGGATCCATAGGCGGGCCCATCATGCCCCCCTGCATCATACCCATGTTCATGCCATTCATGCCCATGGGCATCTGCATACCGCCCATCTGCATGCCATTCATCTGCATTGGCATCTGCATGCCCATGCCGTTCATTTGCATGGGCATACCCATCATGGGGTTTTGTTGCATCATGCCGGGCTGCTGCATGCCCATTTGCATGCCCATCGGTCCCATCTGGCCCATCTGTCCCATCATGGGTTGTTGCATACCATTCATCTGCATAGGCATCTGCATACCCATCATACCTTGCTGAGGCATGGTACTCGTTCTCTGCTGCCCGTTCATCATCATGGGGTTCTGGGCGTTCTTGTAGGCTTGAATCTTCTGGCCGAGGGGGATGTCATCGTCGTCCTTTTGGTTATTGCCCACGCCCTTGAGCAGGGGGTCCATAGAGCCATAGCTGCTGGCGCGCATGGTGGCTGTGAGACGTTGTTGTTTCTTACGCTCTTGATCGAGGACATTTTGGTGCAAAAGACTTCCTTGGGGGAGGTGAGAGACGAGCTGCTCATTTGAGACCTTGCGAGCTTGGTTGTGAGGGTCGATGGGGTTGGCGGAGAGGATGTCTGCGAGACTGTTGGTGGAAGCGAGACCGGGACGGTGGGCGCCAGGTTGCGGGGCCTGTTCTCCTCGGGCGGCAGCTTCGGCTTGGAGACGAGCACGGCGTTGGCCAAGTGTCTCTTCTTCTTCCTCTTCCTCAGCGGGAACAGGTGCAGCAGGTGCATCTTTGGACTGTTCTTGGCCAGTGGCCTCTGGTGCACCAAACTTGCTCATCATCTCAGAGGCAAAGTCATCACTTACTGTGCTCTTACGCACGTCACCGAGCGCTGTCTCACGTTCTTTCTTTTCCTTGATACGACGCATACGATCAGCCAGGGACTCGCCCGGCTCCTCATCCGAGTCTGGGTCGGGGGTTGTGATTTGGGGGATGTTGATCTGGCTGGTAGACGCTCCTAGGTATTGAGTACGACGCTGGTTGGGGTCGGCACCAAGTAACCTGTTACGGCGACTGCTAAGGGGCTCGCGATCCTCCAACTCTCGCTGCTCGATAAGACCCATGCTCTTTTGTCGCATTTGTGGAGGCGCAGTCTGCTTGTAGAGAACGCCAAGCGGCACATCATCGTCAGAATCCTCCTCCGCGGGTGCCTCCCAAGCCAGATTGACTCTCTTGCGGATTCGCCGTTGCTTTTCCGCCTCAGCCACGTCGTTCATCTGCAGCAGAGTTTGGCGACCATCAATCAGCCCCTGCTCCATCAATGTCACATAGTTCATCTTCCTAGTCTGTTGTTTTGCTTTGCGAATCTGGAGCTCAGCGAGGAGCGTGGTCGGCGCGCCGTACTCCGGTTCTGGCTCGCCCTCCTCTTCACTCGATTCTTCTTCTTCATAGGCGTCCTCCGGATGTCCTTCCTCGAATGAGGGCCGCGAGGCATCGGGATCATGCCCGGCCGGTCCTCGTGCATCCTCGTCACGCTCCTCCAACTGATCGCCGAGGCTCATCCGACTCTCGCTTGCCTTCACAAGCAGCAGGTTCATATCAGCTGAGCTATTCCGCTTCTTCAGCTTCTTTAGACGTTCGCCTTTTGCATTGTGGTCAGTATCCAGGATATTGAATGAGCTCCGTCTTTGCGTCTGTTGCAGTGTCGGTGGAACTTCAGGTAATTTCGAACTCTTCCGTTTGTGCTCTGGCCCGTACACTTCATTGCCTACGTGTCCAGCGAACGGATGGTCGGTAAAGGCAGATACTGGAGCATTAGCAGAAGCATCCAGGATGCTTTCAAGCGTGTCTTCTGCAGACTCTCCCTTGACGGCAAACTCCTGGGCGGGGGCAGCTCGATTATCAAAGTAAGCGCTTGCTCGTAATTGTGGGGGGAGAGCCATGAGACTTTGTCGACTCTTCTTGTTGGGCTTCGCGTCCATGAGATTGTCACCGAGCAGCGGCATTGACTTTCTATGCTCTGTCTGCATTGTTTCCAACAGCTGTGTCCGGCGTTTAGCTTGCTGGTTCATGTTAGGCAACTGCGATAGACGCTTTGGCAGGTTGAGCATCTTTGGCACGGGGGCGGGATAGAAAACCATGCCGTCGTCTGGTGGCGGCGCGCCTATGGAGTGAACGCTCGGGTTCTGTCTATGCATAAAAGACTGGGGGTTTGACGAATGCCGGCTGTGGGCATAACTACTCTGCCGACTGTGATGCGACGGCTCTGGCTCCTCCTCGACAGTGTCTGGACAGTGA